GGAAGATATAAACTCTGTCTCAAGCACAGTGCAACCCCATTTATGGCAAAGTTTGATTGTGTTGTTATAGTAATTGGATTGTATCTAAATTTCATGAGTGATTGCCCTTTTATAGATAAAAATTGCCTGACATTAGCATGTTAATAGAGAAGATATTTCTTTAAGTTTGCAGTGTAATTTCTTTCTTTTTTTGTTTTTTAAAGATTATTTGTGTGTTTTTTGTGTGTTCAGTTATCTGGCTCATACTGTTCATGAGTAGAAAACACAGAGGAAAGAGGGTACATCCTGACTGAAAAACTGAAAAATGCTTGCACATATTTTCTATTACTGTAAATCTGGCTTACATACAAAAAAAAAAAAGAATCAAAGGATATTTTATTTCAGCATTTCCATTAGCATGAAGTTAATAAAATGCCAGATAACTTAAAACAGCCAAATATGCATATATACTGGCCTATCTATACAGGTCTTAATCTGTGCCAGCGAGGAGCAGGCAGACTGTTTCAGCAGCTCCATTTATTTTCCTGAGTTTTTCCCACTTTCATCTATCTTTTTATTATTTTCATTTTTGGTGTGACTTCGTATCGTTCTCATACTATTTCTAACATAATGGGGCTAAAGTTTTTCTGGAAAGCTCTGTTTTTCATTCTTTTTTCGCTGTCTTTGCATACGGAGCCAGCGTATTTGACAAGGCTCCAATTGTTTACACCCTAGACCAGCTGCTCTGGTGTACTGCCACACACAGAGCAAGCCCATATCCCCCATGAGCTGAGGAGGAAGAGATGATTCAGCCAGGCGGGAGTCAGACAACACCACCGGGGAAGTAGGTACAGACCAACCATCCCCTCCGTCCATCATGGGTAATGTCAGATCTCTCTCTTACTAGGTGGATCACCTGGCGGCTTTAACTCATCATCAAAGACGCTACAGAGGCTAGCATTCTATGTCTGCCGGAAACGTGGCTGTGCTACACATAACGAACGCCTAGCCATTCTCCAGACCTAAACCCAATGGAGAATCTTTGGAGAGACCTGAAACTCTGTGTTTCTCAGAAACCTAACTGATCTTCTCTAGATCAGTTAGGTTTCTGGGCTGTCACTGAGAAACACAGAGTTTCTCAGTGACAGCCCAGAAACTTAAATGATCTATGTTGAGGAGTGGGCCAAAATCCCTCCTACAGTGTGTGCAAACGTTTGATCTCTGAAATTACAAACAAAGGTTATTATACCAATTATTCACATTGATTTTCTGTTCTTCAAATACTTATTTGCAGCTGTATCATACTAAATAGTTAAAAAAGTCATACATTGTGATTTCTGGATATTTTTGTTTTTTAGATTATGTCTCTCACAGTGCACATGCACCTACAATGACAATGTCAGACACTGCTCGATTTCAAAGTAGACGAACTTGCAAAATAGCAGGGTGTTCAAATACTTATTTCCTCACTATATATCTAAGAGCCACTGTTGCATTTTCAGTCAATATACATAGGATGCCAAAGTAACACTGTAGCTATTTTGTCTAATATATCCTTTAAGTATTATTGTGGGTATAAGCTTGGGCTTACTTACAGAAAATGTTTTTAATAAAATCAGTTATGCTGTATAACCTACACAACATCCAGACCTTTAGGCCTTGGGATTATCCAGCTGCTGAAATAAAAGATCAGGAAAGAGATAGAATAGAAAGTTTGGCAGGGACAAAAGGAAATCAATCTTGTTCACAATATCTTTTAATAAAACAAAGTTGCAATTAATGTTTGAACATTCGGTATATTTAATTTGGGTTTATTTTGGAACAAGTAAGGTTCCTTGCTTTAACAGCAGATGTTGTTTAAAAAATCTGTAGCTGGTAAGTGTCTTTTAAGACGATGTTATTTCACCAGAGGAAACTGGAAATGAAGGTTGAATTTCTGTGGGTTTAATGTTATGACGTTATGATTGATTTTTTTTTTTTTGTCCATTAAAGGGGGCTAAATTTCAACATATACTAAGCTTGTAATGAGAGGTTTCCTCTTTTTCCTTACCCTCCAGTACAAGGTTGATGAGGCTGTTAATCAGTTTTACAGCATATGTAGCTGGTCCTGATAGCTTTACTCTAATTATTTAAAACATGGTCCTCATTAGGAACATATTGTCCATTCCATTTATATATATATATATATATATATATATATATATATATATATATATATATATATATATATATATATATATATATATATATATATATATATATATATATATATATACATAAACTCTCCTTTTTTCTTCCATGCTCGGGTCCCCTACCAGAGGCCTGGGAGCTTAAGGTTTCTGCGCAGCATCTTTGCAGTTCCTAGGACTGCACTTTTCTGGAACCACTCCTCAAGTTTGGGGGTCACTGCCTCAAGTGCCCCAATGACCAAGGGTACCACTGATGCCGACCTTCCAGGTTTTCTTCTCTGAGCCCCTGGTATTTCTCTAGTTTTTCATGTTCCTTTTTCCTGATGTTGCTATCACTTGGTATTGCTATGTACAGCTTTCCTCTGCTTTTTTGTTCACCACCACAATGTCCATTTGGTTTGCCATAACCATTCGGTCCGTTTGGAAGTCCCACAGGATCTTGGCTTAGTCATTTTCTACCATCTTTGGGGGTGTTTCCTACTTTGCCCTTGGGGTATCCAGCCCATACTCTGCACAGATGTTCCTGTACACTATTCCAGCCACTTGGTTATGGCACTCCATGTAAGCTTTCCCTGCTAGCATCTTACACCCTGCAGTTATGTGCTGGATTATAACTGCAGGGTGTAAGATGCTAGCAGGCAAGAGCTTATGCCAAACCTTGTTAAGATATTATCATATTGTGATAAAGTTCATTATTTTCCATAATGTATTGATAAAACTTGAAGATTCATACATTTTAGATTCATTGCACACTAACTGGAATATTTCAGGTCTTTATTTGTCCTATCCTAAATATCCAGTTGCCATTAGATTGTTTATTTATTTATAAGTACACATTCTCAAAGGTTGTCTCAAGGCACTTTTCAAAAGATAATAAAGCTATCTATTATACTATATATTTATACATTTTAATTGCATTAAAATATATATATATCCATTTAAATGTTTAACCTCTGGTGCCTATTGTCAGTGTCTGGCAGTGGTTAGAGGCAAGTACTTAAATCCTCTTTCAATTTCTAGATTCTTTGCTCTACTCACCTGAATCCAAAAGCTAAACTACCTCATTAATAGCAGCCAAGTTCTGCTAACGAGCTCATACTGGAGTCAGGTGTGATGAAGCAGAGGCACACCTAAACGTTATCGGACACTGGGCCTGGAGGATTTCAGTTTGAGACCTCTAGGTTCGAGAATTTTCTGCCAATGTCTATGACCTAATAGGGTTTACTTCCAGTCTTACTGGATTTTCATCGTACTCCTGTGGTTTCTTACTTTAGTTTCCTTAGTTTTTTGTTCATTTATTGATATATCTTTATCATTAGTTTATAAAAAAAAATGAAACAAAACAGGATCGATACTCATCAAACACAGACAACAGCTTGTTTTGTAAAGGAACAGTTAAAAGTAAAAAAAATTTATTTACATTTCTGTTTTGATTGTATCGCCTTCAGAAAAAAGATAAATTCCTCCAAAAAATTAAAAACACTATCCCAAATTTTCCAATCTAAGTATTACAGCAAACCTTTGTAATAATAACATGTTAAGTCCCAAGGTACAGAATAGGTACAAAGAATAAGTATGAACCTCCCCAAAACCCATCCGTTTTGGCCATTTGACCACACTTTTAACCAGTTTTCTCCGTGTGTGTTCTGCATTTTGGGCTTACTCCTAGAACCCATCATGACAACTTGTAGGGAAAATCTGCAAATAACACTTAAAGGCAATCAGTTCTGTCGAGCTGCTTGCCTCTGCTGAGGGAACATTACACAAAACATGGCAGGCATATCTAATACAAGAAAGAGGAGACGGTGAATCTCTATTTGAATCAGGCAAGAGAGTGTCTTCTTATAACCACTTTAAATCTTAAAAGGTTCATGAGCATTGCAGATCTTTCATTTTTCACTGATCATCAGCATTTGATATTACTGCTATAGCTTTTAGATTTAAAGACAAATCTCAACTGGGTTTAATTATTGCAGTCACAAGTTGCAAGGAATTCTTCTAATAGGGAAACTATTTACCTGACAATAGAAAATGTTTCTTTTGCACAGCCCATTTCGGGTCAATCATCGGCTCAAATCATTAGGTACGCTGATATTTATTGCTTTTGTAGGTACAGTGTTTGACACTTGGACAATGAGTACAATCCCTCAAGGTGGCCCTCTCATGGCCATCATCCTGCTGTTGAACTTGTTCTGCTGCAGCTACTTAACAAAACCTGTTGCGCTATTTCTATATTTAAATCACTGCTTTTTGTTCATAAGTGAACTGTTTTATTAATCGTACTCCTGATGATCTATTTCTATGACAGGACTTTGACCTGAGCACTGAGACATCTGACAGCAACCTACAATGTAGTTGGTAATGAGATGGGAAAAGAGGTAATTGAAGGATGAGTTGAGATCTGGGGAAAAGGAAGTAAGGAAGGATTTAAATTGATCACAGGAGGAACAGGATCCCCAAGAGACAGGATGGATTAGCAGCAAAGCAGGGTAAAAACAGTTAATGCAAGAAGGGGAATGGTGTAACTAGATATCCTGTAGTGAAATTGGTTGCCAAACAGAGGTGATACAAAAAAAGATGAGTTCCTGTAGGCCAAAAATAATTACTCTGGCTATGAATCAGATCAGCTTTTATTGTGCGAAATAGCGATGTATTTAACAGTCCTGTACTGCCAACCTAAGTATATTTGCAGATGTAAAGATCTGAAATGAAAAGGTTCCAACCCACAAGACCCTCCAAAACATTTTTTAGATCAGAACATAAACAAGCAGTTGTCATTCTTTTGATTCCAACTCGTTTATTCAGTGTCACATCAGAGTACTGTTGTTTGGGGAAAAATAAATCATTCCAAAAGCTAATATAGGATTAACATAAACACTCAAATTTTAGGTAATTTAGAGAGTCAAAAGGCAACAAGCAATGTGGCTCCCGAGCAATAACACTATCTTGGGAGGGTTTTGACCTCTTGGATGTTCTGTCAGCCGAGTTGATCCTCATACTGCTTACGGAAACAGTCTCCCACAGGAAAGAATTCCCAGCAACGCTCCTGGTACATTTTCCACACATAGGATTCCTGAAAAGTCAACATAGCCTTCATTTATCAAAACGCTACATCTAATTTATACATCTTTTGACAATACACGGTAGTTACAAAAGTAAACTGTTTAGGAGTGTGCATGGTGAGTGTAAGTATAGTTTTCCTTTTTTGCATGTTTGGCACAGGAAAGAAACTTCTAAAAGGGGACATTTTATATTTTGAGCCATAAAAATCTATCAAAACGTAGTGGATTTCTCTTCATCCTCCTGAAACAGTGTCTGTTAAAAGCACTTTTTGCCTCAAACTTAATTAACAACTGCAACAGGGGGTTTAAGTGAAGAACAACCCTAGGCTTATGGAAGATAATACAGAACAACACAGTTCCTGTCATGGCTATTACAAACAGCTTGAGCAGCAAGTCAGCAGAAAGACCACTGAGGTGATTGCAGCTGCTGTTTGTGAGTACATTTTGCTGAAATCTTTTAGAGCACCTTTTATGTGTTGTTCCCACACTTCATTTCCTCATGCATCAGGTTCAATGTAACTCTAGCAAACAATTCTGCTACATTTTAAGCAATGAAAAATAAGCTGTGCCTCTTTTTGCTCTGTGTCGAAGCCAAATAAAAGAGAAAGAGATTAACTGATATTCCATTTGATTGTACATCAATATTTTAAAAGCCCTTTCATTTATCATGTGCGAGTAGTGGGTTTAAATGTGTCCTAGTGTCATTAATGTTCAAGAACTATGCAAACCTTTTTACAATTTTTTTTTATTCTATCTATCGGATCTTGAGGATTTGGTTTGAGCAAAAGGCTGTAGCACAAATGAAAATTAAAGTTAGGATAAACAATTTTGCATTCCCCTTTAAATATATCTTTCAAGAGCTCTCCATTTGATAGAAAGAGATTTAAAATATCTGATAGAGCATAAAAGATTTATCCAGGAATAAGCATCAGAACTTAATCCACTTTAGAAATATCACTGAAATGTTAAACTGGTTCACAAAGATTAAAAAATTCCTTTCTTTGATCGATGGCACAGCGTTATATTGGAAGCATTCTGTGCCAAATTCTAAATTATAATGTGTGAAAGAAGTGATCATTGATTTAATACCATTTACCTGCAAACACTAAAAACTTATTCTCTGATGTAGAGTATTTTCAGAGAAAAAAAACAAAACCAATGATAGAGAAAAATAAAAGCAAATATACAGCTCTGTAAGATAGAAGTGAAAGAGAAATTATGCATGTTGCTCTTTGCAAAAGGTTTTTTTTTTTTTTTCCAATAAAATGAAAATTGTAGTTGAAATAATATCAGGCTTAAATTATAAATTGCGTCTTTATAGAAAAAAAAAGTTAATGCAAAACCAAAACATAATTTAAAAGAAATAAAAGTTGTAATAGGGAACCAACCTGATTAGCATGGAGGGGATTTGTATCATTAACTGTGCATACCTAGGGTAATACAGTATGGCTTTACAGGGATTGCATGAATGCAAATTCATTCTAACCCGAAAAGGTTACATTACAGATTGTCATTATCGTTGCAAATGCAGGAATTAATAGGTCACCGAGACATGGGGGCGGAGTGTTGAGGATGAATAAATTAAAGGAGACGTGATCTTTCAATGACAGTTAAATTGTCAGGGGGCCTTTAAAGTGCCCACCTAATTCCATCTTTGGTTGTACCTTGTGCTATAAGAGAGGAAATAATTACCATACCTGTCCAGTGTGTTCAGTTTCATCCTTGTTAATAAGATACATCAGGAAAAATCTGAAGGGGAAAGATGATCAGGCAACTGTTACAGCATTCAAAAAATTGACATTAAAAGAAAAATATTTATATAGAAATTGGTTTTGTTGTGCTACTATACAATTATTATGTATGTATATACTTGGCATGCATTAAAGCAGAAATAAAATGAGAGAAAACATATGAAAGGGTTCATATTAGATTAGTGCCTTTGGTAGTGGCTGCCCTTCTTCCCCCAGCTCAGCCGTTTTGTGTCAGAGTTTAGCCCTGTGGTCCCTGACGAGGTTGCTGAATAGCGTGCATCAGGGATTTCATCACTTTTTAGGGGGATTTCAGCTCTCATGTGGGAAACCACAATAACATTTGCTGGAGCGTGATCAGGAGAACGTGGTTCAGATCAGGCGTGGTTCTCAGATAACAAAGCGCTCATGAGAAGACCACATCATCTCCTTACAATTACATCATCTCCAAAACCATTTCAGACATTTATAGACACACTAGCTTCCCAACCATGCCACACAATTTCCAGTGAGGATTCTACTTATCAGTGTGATAAACCTCAATGGCTGTCATTGTTTCCTGCATCTGTAAGCTCTGATTAGACAATCGTTTGCCATATCCACTTCTCATAAGCCAACTCTTTCAAGTAAATTCTGTGCATTCATTTTCTGCAAACAATGAAATATCACAATTATGACCAAACTTCCTGAATGTTTTGGGCGCTGCCATATTGATTTGCTTGATTCACCTTAGAGAGAAGTAGTACCACAGATTTTCACTAGGAGTTGGGGAACTGTGCTATCGTGATGTGTAAAAGGTCGTAAGGAACCGAGCTAGGTATGGTGAAATGATCAGAGCTTGGTCCGAACTAGGCACGGATCAGTTTTCAAAGGGTAGTTTAAATGGTGTCAAGCTGAAGAAACAGTCCTATCAAGCCTGGTTGGCCTGTATGACTCCTGAGTTGCTCCTACCTTGGGGGAGCTTGGCGAGAGCATGGAGAGAGTTTTGGTCAGCCTCAAAGTAATTCTGGAAAAACACCATCTGCAGTGTGCTCAATGTTTCATAGGAATTTGCCCAGTTGGTCCACTTGTGTTTTGTGAACATGAGAAGGAATGCATGCACTCCAGAAGTTATAGTCAGAGGCCCTTTATTAGGTGCTATCCAGTCTCTGTACAAGCAGGGCAGGAGTTTGGTGTGCATTGCTGGCATTAAGTTGAACCACGTTTGACTTTGGCAGGGCTGCTGCACTGTCCTGTTCAGTACCCTAATGGAAAGAAGTTCTAGATACAGCCAATGGATGGAGGGGTCTGGTTGGAGGACCAGCAGATTTTGTCCCCGCCTTTCGCAAATGATATTGTTCTGCTGGCTCTATTTAACCATGACCTACGGCATACACTGGGCCAGTTTGTGTGCAAAGCAGTGGCGGCTGGCCAATAGAGGGAGCTAGGGCCGCGCCCCACCCACCCAATGACCCTGATTAAGACATAAAAAAAAAAACATACATATATTTTTTTTATTTAATTATAAATTAACATTTAAAATATTACGAAATATATTTACACATATTTTTTAGATGTGTAAGATAAATATTTAATCTTTAATAACTAGTAATTCCATTTTTTTGGTTAGATTGGTGACGTATTTCCACCCTAGGTTACAAAAATCTTTACCCATTGACTCTCGTTAAAAATTGTACATTTGCAGTAGCTCCTCTACAATACAAAGGTATAGGAGAGCTCGGGGCGCAGCTCTGGGGCTTTCCGGGTGATTGACAGGTTGAGTCGAGGGAGCAAGCCACGCATTGGAGAGAGAGAGAGAAATGGTGCAAGAAACGTTCTTTTCCAGGACCTGTTTTAGCTACAAGACTTGGCTAACTGCATAGAGCGAGGCTAGCCCTGTATTCTACTTTCCCTGCCTCCTTTGTCAAATGTCAGGATCTGACCCAACATTGATAACTACTTGTGTCAAAATTTTGTGTACATTTGATTGGTTTTTGGTATACAGTATGTCTATTTCGAATTTATAGCCCCCCCTGGAGAAAACTCCACCAGCCGCCACTGGTGCAAAGCAGCCCCTTCATATTGTAGGAGGGTTATCTTGGGGTCCTTTTCCTTAGTGTGGGGAGAATGGAGCAGGAGATTGATAAACAGATAATGTCGACACTAGATAGGTCTTGTGTTAAAGAGATTGTTGTGCAAAAAAGGCCATGCTATATTCCTACCCTCACCGATGGTAATAAAATGTTGATCATGACTGAAAGAATGAGATTTCAGATACAAGCGGCTGAAATGAGCTTTCTCAGTGGCGTGGCTCCCTAAGGGATAGGGTGAGGAGCTTGGTCATCCAGGAGAGGCTCAGAGTAGAGCGGTCTCTCCTCCACATCGAGACGAGTCAGCTAGGGTGGCTTGGAAACCGTTTTGGAGGGCCCCTGGGCCCCTCCCTCAGGAAGCTGTTCCAGGGGGCGAACCAGGACAAGCTGGAGAGGCTATGTCTGTCAACCAGCCTGGGAGCGTCTTTGGCTTCCCCCAGGAGATAGAGGAGGTGTCTGGAGGGGGGGAAGTCTGGGAGTTCCGTGAAAGGGAGCCTAGGCGGAAGTTCAACTGAAGAAACTCATTGCTTTCCTACACCCACCTGCGACCCAGCCAATCAACTTTGAACCACACCTACACGAAAGCCAATCGGCAACCAAAGTTCATCTTAAAAGGCCTCCGATCCACTTGTGTGCTCCTGTGCGTAGGCGGTGGATACACTCTGTGACTTCATTCAGATGACACCATTTCAACCCACCTCCAGCCCCTCCTCCACCATTGTGGTTAAAGCTTCATCAGAGTGTCATTCCTCCCGGACTCTCACTGCGTTCCCTGTCACATCTCAACCGATCTGGCAGAAGACCGCCATGTTGAGCCTGGTTCTGCCAGAGGTTTCTTCCAAACAGGGAGTTTTTGCCCTCCAACCTCGCTTCATCATTCCTCATCATGGACAGGTTCTCTCAACCTGTGACTCCAGGTCCCTGAGTGAAGCTCTAGTATCAGCTCACGCAATCCACTGGATATCCCCATAAAGCTCATCATACCGTCTCTCTAACCAGCAGTCTACAGATTGACCAACTTCATCTATCTCCTCTCCACCACCAGTTTCAGGCCTGGTCGGGACACAGCCCTGCTCTTTACTCCTGTTCATGCATATCTATCAAAATTAAGCTCTACGTTTCCTGCCAAGGTCTGAGCGCCAAAGACAATGTAATTGTATCAATACATTCCTCCTAATTCTCTTTTCTCTTCGTGTGAGTTTTTCAGATTGAACTAGGCTTCAGTAGTCAATACTTAAAACAACTGATTGAGCTGGAGATTAAAAGTCTTTGTATTTCTTTTTAGGTGGGCTAATATGTACTAGGAATCATTACGATGTATTAGAATCATAAAAAAAGGGAAAATTATGCATTTAAAGGCTGCAACAGCACTCTGCAGGATCCAACATAATTAGGCTCAGTTAAGCTCTTGGTATTGGCAATTAGTAAAGAATTTACTCCAGAAAATTAAATAGGGATTAAAGAGAAATGCTGTCAGCCATTTCCACTTCCAGTATCAAAGCAATTTTCAAACATTTGGATCAGTGTCCCTAAATTTACTCCTAATTACTTTTTTTTTTTTTTTTTTTTTTTTTTTTTAGCGGACTGAATGTATATCAAATGCACCCAAAGAGCTAACATGTACATAACATGTAGATCTTTTTATTCTTTTTGCCTTGTTTAAACCTTTTAGACAAAGGGGTTTAGGAATTTGAGATGCACCTGTAGCTCATGTAATACCACACAACGTACTGCATGCAATGTATTATCAAACTATACTCTAACCCTACAGAGGGTTCAAGCCATTCCATTGTTTTTGTTTTAATGTTTCAACATTTATGACCAAGAGATTCCATTTATTTTCTATTTGCTAACAGATTATGGCAACTGCATTTTGATTTTTTTTCTTGCACCTTTATAAACATATTCAATATATTATGATGAACACATTTGTTCAAATTCTGTATGGATTTAGAAAACTTCAATCTTAATGCAGGTGTGAAACATACTTTTTATTGAGCAAAAATATTTCCCATTGGTCTAATGTATTGTTTTAGTGGCCTAATTCTCAAAGATTCCAAATAGTTAGTGATAAATTGCATGTGTATTTTTTTGTGTGTGTGCATGAATAAGAGGGATGTCATTTCTTTATCAATCTTATTCTTCTATTCATAATTTTGATGACCCAAATATGTTTACATATTTACAGAACCTCTTTCCATTGTTAACTTTAGTTAACTACTTTCAATGTTAATTTTATGGACACAATGGTTGCAGAAATTTTATTATGAGAGTTTGCATCAGACTCTTAGAGTTGCTAAAAAAGAGGCAAAAACTAAGGCAGCAGATGAGTTTCAGCTTTGGAAAAGCACTGAACGTGGTAAATTATTACATTTGCAGGGCATGGTTATTAAAATGTGATCAGCATATGAAGGCACACATGCAAAAAAAGGTTTCTACACACTGCCTGCTGAATTGCAAATGTCTATCACTTTGCGTCTTCTTTAAAGATCTGCTCTGCATGCACAAAAATGCATCAGTTTTAACAGGAACAAACCTAAATTCAGAACAAAATTATTAGAGAATAGCTTTGCAATCGTTGCTGCAACTAAAATGAAGCAGCTGTAGGGAAGCCAACACTATGTATTGCAGTTTGTTTTATGCTGCTTTAAAGATTTTGCTTTCTACTTAATATTGTATGTCTTACTTTCTTCTTCCTGGGTGTGGGGGGTTTATACTGTACATCATAATTTCTAATATTCAAATCTTATAGCAATATGTAATTGTTGACCCCAGCAATACCTTAAGATGAGGTACAATAAATGATTTTATAGGTCATTCTACAGCCAGTGTTCATCATCACCTGCTCTTCTCAAAAACTTGCCTATGTGACTTAAGAGGGTTAATGAATAAGTCATGCGACCCAGGTCATCACTTTATAGCAGTCTGATCTCACCTTAAACTGAAGACCTAACTAAGCTCAAAGTTGTTTGGCAATGAAACAAAAATGACAGTTATCTGATCCGATGTCTTTGGTTCTCTGATGCAGGATTTAATCTACAGTGGTTAATGTTGCCCTAGCTTTACAAGTAAGTGGTCTGCGAGAGAGACTGTTTAATTTTGCAATGGTTCAGTTTTATCAGTGGCTTTCAGTTCCACTAAACTGGGAAGTTAAAGGTATAGCACCCTTAGTAGCAAAAAAAATCACAGTTGCTTGAAAAGGCTTGAAAAAGTCAGTCTTTCTGTAATTTATCTAGATATAGTAATTCATATATTAAACTATATTACTAAAAAAGAGCAACTTGTCAGTATTGATCTCATTAAATGAATGGCTTGTTCTTTAATTGTTAACATAATGCATTCTGAGCTGTTGCTCTTAAATATAAAATGCACTAAATCAGTTCTGTTACAAATCAAAAAGCAGCAAAATCTGGTTTTCTATTTATTCAGCTTCATGTCTGACCTGTTCATACAAACAGTGCACTATAAATGTAACAGAAAATGCACTGTGTAACAGGCAGCAAAAATTGTATAATTGTGCAGCAACCAGTACAAGTGCCATCTACATGATTTTTCTTCCTAGTTACATTACTCTATATATTCCTAACGATTCTTCTTAACCAGGTATAAGACATTTTTTATTGTTTGTTGTTTTTTAGTATGGTTCAAAACGAAGTAATTTAACTCTGGACTGTCTGTAGACTGCTAGAGATCGACACTAGCCCTAAAGTAACCCTGATGCATTAAGTGGTGCTAGATAGATGGATGAATGGACATTTTTCTTTTAAACTAAATGGTAAGAAATGTTTTCATATTCTTTGTGTGAATCAACATAAATATATGCATCACTTTTTAAGTAGAAATTGTAATGCTCAGCAATTGATTAATACATTTTTTAGATTTCGACGAATACATGCCCACACTTAGTGGTAACAAGCATAAAACAACTCACAGATAGTTTGCCAAGTTGTGCTCCTGCAGAGTGTGAGTCTCAAAGCCGTGAGGGATCTTGTCAAAGTACTCACTTCCTATTCCACAAATGAAACATTTGGTCTGCAGAGAGAAAGAAATAAGAACTCATGACTCATTCAACATGTAAAGAATAATGAACACTAAAAACAAATTTTAAAATCTAAACAATGAGAATAAGACATCCATGCTCCGTAACAAAAATATTGGAGATAGTTTGCTAGAAATGGTGTTAATAGTGATATTTTTTAATTTACCCCTTCCCATAGAAGATTTTTGCTAATAAAATTAATGAAAAAATTTATGTTTCTGCACAGTTATTGCAGATGTGTTCTATGAAAGCAACATGGTAAAATGTTTGTTTTGCTGCTTACTGTAATGCAATATGTGTGTTAGGACACTCATATTAACAACAACAAATTATTAGAGGTTGAAAGTGGAGCACTCAGTTCATCATGATTGAGCACTCAAATGTAACAACTGGGAAAATGTATAAAACCAATGTAACTGTAAAAGAGACTGTATGAGAAATACAGGTACATAACACAAATTAATAGGTTCTGCCTTAAAAGCAAGGACAAAACTAAACCAAACCATACCTAACATATTTTTGTACATTTTAACATTTTAGAGCAACCACTAAGCATAAAGTTTTTGGGTCATGCTTAAATTCTTCTGAAACACACACACACACACACACATATATATATATATATATATATTTTTTTTTTAGGTGTGCTGAACCATTTCTTAGTCTTCTTTATTCTTCTGCAGATGCTGTGATGCAAATACTGCTGTCTAGCTCTCACTACAAGACAACCAAATACCAGTGGGCAGAACTGCTCCACATTTAGTGACATAACACTTTGTTTGTCAAAGGATGTCTGCAACTTGTTTCCTTAGTCTAGTAATCAAAGCTGTATTCAGTGACTTGCTTGTAATTGTTTTTGTTGGACTGTTCTCACTACAAACTGCTGCTGTTACCCAGAGTCAGCCTGCCTCTTTCTTTCAACTATGCTCATCTTCTTCGCTGTGTGTGGCTGAGGATAGCTGTCTCTTGAGACCATGTAGTCTAAGGACTCCATTAAAATACTCTATGCATGTAAATGTGGTTTTAACAACTGCAAGCTGTAAAATTTCGTAGAGAGAACCTCTAAGAGCTAAAGGATTCTTTGGGTATTTTGCTACATCCACCTTTGTTGTTCTTGTTGTAATAAAATATTCAAAAGATAACACTTTTCACACTGTTAGAAAAAAAAATATACAACTGATAAATGATCAAATAATGAGAAGAATCAAAACAAGGCACAGATTATCTTTGATGCCAATACTACTGTTTGATTTGCTATACAAACAATAACAACATTCCATGCATTGTTTCTATACATTTGTATGCCAAAGTTCCTTATTCTATACTAAAATTTATTTTTATGTATAAATAGAAAAGTGCACACTCAGTATGAGCCAAGTATGTCTGCAAGGGTCAGGATTTAAACATTGAATCTGGAAGAAACAATGGAAGAAAGTATGGGCTTTCATTCACCATGCAGAAATGGCTCGCTAAATGGATTAGATATTTTAAAAATTACATACTCTAATCTATTTGCTATAGTTACACCAAAACATGTTTTCTGCAAAGGAATCATGTTAATATGTATTAGAATATTCTTCAACAAACATTTTATTTGAGGTAATTTTTTGCACACAGGAGCTCAGCAAATAAAGGCTGATGTTAAAAACAACGTTATAAACTGGATCTTCCAAATGTTGACATCATGTTGTGGTTACAGAATTGTATCTTTTAATAATACATAACCCTTATCAGATTCCTTGAGTTTTTTTTCAAGATATTGAAATTCTATCTTAGGTCAAATATGTATGTGGAGAAGATATTTTTGTCAGCCCTTACCTCCATGTCCTCCTTCACCTGCTCCTGCTGGTCTCGAAGCTCTCCAAAGGCATCAATTATTAAGCCTAAGAGAGGGACTACATTTTGTAACTGTTCATTGAAATCTCTGTCATTTCATGTGAAAAGCATCTGGCACTGAGGGATGAAGAGATACGCGGCTAAATTTCCTCTAACACATGAAATATTCATGACCCGATTCACTCAGAAACTGTTGAACGACATCTGTATTTGTGAGTTCGATGCATGCTGCAGCCAAAAAAACTGCAGCATACTTGCTTATGCATGTGTGAGGCTTGTTTGCATACATGTTCAAAAAATATTCCACCCTTGCACTCACCCTGGATGATGGCGAGTAGGATGACGATGACGAAAAAGAAGAACGTAATATCAAAGATGATGCGTTCCACTTCAAACTCGTCTCCAGCAGGATCCTCGATCTCGTCACCAATCCCACCACCTGCTCTCACTCCCACATACATGTGGAACATGTAGCACTAAGAAAAAAAAACATTATTGGTTGTGGTATATTTTGCATATTATTTAAGGAAAAGTATTACCACCTAAGGTGTTTTTCATTGTCATTTTTTTCTGTGACTGTTTTTAAAATGGTGTGAAATAAGGAACGATTATTTTCAGCAAAGGTAACACTGCCGGGTGAAAATACATGCTGGTACAGACAATTATATGTTTAAGGCACTTTCATGCCTGCCTCCATGCTGGCCGCCTCATAAGAACATTTTTAGAGCTAACAGGATTCTTGTACAAATTCAAAGTGTGAACATGGTGCAAAGGTCTTTTTGCAATCAATATTCTTCATCTCACACAGTGTGATGGGAAGAATCAACCTTTCACATTGTCCAGCCATGTCTGATTTGTGTTTAAGTGCCAACTTTTCTATTCATCACAAAGAACTGGCATTAAAGTAAAACAAAAACACTTTATTGTACTTGTCTTCCTAGTCCACAGGCTTCAAAATGCTGTGGTACTTCTCTACTATAGATATAAAATGATTTCGAGTGACTGTTATTTAATCAAAATAAACAGCGACAGAGGGGATGTGTGCTGATGATTCAGTGTAATATCCCATTCCTCCCATAATAGCAGGGTTCATTCAAATGCAATCCGCCGGCATTTGTGACTGACAGTGTTGTCCATATTAGAATAGATCAGGCCTTTGGGTTTTAACGTCATAAACCAGCAAACAAAGAGGCACTCTAAGACCTTTGGGGGTGCCTTTTTCATGTGTCTATCATATTTTTGAGGGATGACCACAAAAGGGTTGTTTTTACTTTAGAAATGGAGATTCTGCCTTTGCTTTTTTGATCTATGTCTAAAAATCAATAGAGGGGACTTAGTGAAAAAAGGTTTTGATAATACATAATATATATTTTTTATTATATTGATTTTATTTAATAAGTGTTGTATTTCATTAATATTGATGATTGCCGCTTACATTTAAAGATAAAGCACAACGCAGTTTCTTAAAAAAATATATTTCTCTATATTAGCCCACTAAAATACATACTTTAATAGGGAACTTTGTCTGGGTGATATGAGATATATACAATAAATACTTGTCTCCTTCTGTTCTCTCTGCATCAATTCAAGATGGCAGTGAAGTGGTCAGCCTTTGACTCTGCAAAGGTGTTAAGGAAGCCTGGTTATTTTAGAAGTGGCCTTCAGATTATTAGCTTTGCTGAGTCAGGTATCACTCACCCTCATCTCGACAATATGTAATTTGTTCTCTATGGGTTTCAGGTCCGGAGAGTTTTCTGGCCAATCAAGCTCAGAGTGATGCTATGGTCATTAATGAAGGGGTTTGATTTTAGGTTGCGTAGGCAGTTGCCAAGTTCTGCTGTAACATGAAATTAGCATTTCTAAAAGCCCTGTCAGCAGAGAAAAGTATGAAGTGCTCACAAAATGTACTGGTAGATGTCTGCACTGATTGAATTTGATCAAACATGGTAAACCTACACTGGCTGATGAAGTAGCTCAGTCAATGGAAATGTCAAAGGGGACCTGAGGCACTTGGGCTTTGTGTCTCAACTCTTTCTTAAAGCTATGGGCCTTCTTTTTTTTTCTCAAATTATATTAAAATATGTCTTTGGACTACTTAGCAAAAGTCTGCTTCTTTGACTTTGCAACCCTGGTAAAACATGTCTGATATCACAGGAGAAGCGCAAGGAAGGCTACATTTGTGCCTCGTGTTGTGGATATGTACCTTTATGGCTCTTAAAGCTGTAACTCCAGCTGAAGTCCATGCTTTAAACTATTTTACCTACAAGAAACTGTTGAAACAGCTGCGCTTAACAAAGCCTCTCAAGGCTCTGGCACTTGCTCTTCTTCAATCACATCTTTTTCCTTCCTCTCAACTTTAGCAATGACCTTAATGTATGTCACTTTGTAAAAGGTCCCCAGCACTCAGATGGATAACTGTAGAATCAGCAGCCTTCCAAGGATTGTGTAGAGCCTTGCAATTAGAAATTGTTATTTTGCAATACTTTTCTTTTTTATTTTGAGAAGAAAAATGAAAAAAAAAAAAAAAAAAACCAAAACACTGAAGTCTTATAATTTGCATCAGCAAATGGAAGTAAACAGATAAGAAAAGGTGGGATTTAGTTTTTAACTTACAGTAAGCATGTCGTTGCACTTCATATCGTCAGTTTCGTTGTCATGACTCTGGTTGTAAAACTTCCTGAAGAAATTAAAGGCTATGACAGTGTAAAGATATACCACAACAGCCAGAAGTCCCACGGTCAGCACCAGCTAAAAAGGCAAAAATTATTGTAAGAAGAGAGACAGAGGCAAATAATTTAATATGGAAAATTCTCCAGTTCAAGGCTTTAAAGAAGAATTATATATTTTGTTTACAACTTTTAGCACAGTCCTAAAACACACGCACCTGTTTTCCATTGTGTGTGACAGAGGAAAGGATGGTACGAAGCGTCTTAAAGCCCATGGCGATGTCCAAAAGGTGAGCAGCAAAGAAGAAGTTGTTATAATGACCCAAAACTGACATGGTCATGTACCAGGCCAAATATAAGAAGGACTAAAACACACACAGACAAGTCAAGAGAAAAACAAAATATATTAAATTACAAGAACAGCCTGATAAATGTGTTTCAGACAAGTAGACTGACAGGATATTGCCATCATCTTTGAGACATGTGTGGTTTCATTAGATAAAATCTTGATTTAATCATCAAATATTACGTTGTTTGCACACAATGTTCAGTCATAACTTATTATTACGTAGCATGTAGAATATAACGTGGCATGTTGATTTTTGTTTTGAGAGAGCGAACATGCAAAATAAATCCAATGAGCCATGAGTTGTGGACATAACCAAACTTACATTGTCAGTGAACACCACTCCTAGCTTCCAGATCTGGTACTTTACATCAAAGGAGTTAAATCTGGAACAGTGTCACCACAAAGATACATAAAAACACATGAAGAACCAGGAAAATTAGGTCAAAATGTCCAAGGCTAAAATCATATCCCTGAGCTACATTGTGTTCTTTAAAAGAGAGTGTCTGTTCTGTGATGACTTCTCAGAATGTCCTGTTCTTCCTCAAGTGCAAGATAATGCTTTCGGACCTTTCTTTGTAAGGACACACATTAGGTAATGCATGGAGATACACACACCTTCACAGTTTATTGGAAACAGCCGTTAATAAAAGTATGTGCTAAAAACATGAATTGGTCAAAAATGCTAATAGATAATGGTGCTAAACAGCACACGAAGGAGATGAATGAAAGTGTAAAGACCAACAAAGTACTCCAACACAATACCAAATGACCATTTTGTATTACAGAGGAATGTACAACAGAAAGGGCAATATTGATTTCAATTTTTGGGTTATTGTTTTTATATCAATAGGCCTTGAGGCACAGATGTTGCGAACAATCACTGCAAGCTAGCAGACTAAATGGCCTATATGGTTTTATTTAGGACAAATGTAAATATGCTTTACTGGGTAACAATAACTGGCAAAAAAAAAAAATGCTCTTTGTTCAGTGTCAAGTAGAAAATGAATGCTAGACCAGATGACTGCAGTTTGATCTGTATCTTTCTGAGAGGGTTAATTAACAAAGACCTGGATATTTTCAATATTTTCTCTACTTACAGCGCACTCCAGGCACTGTCTCTTCTGAGCCTCTTATTTTCTTTTCTCTCAGTGCTGAAGTCTAAAGCAGCTTGGTCCAGACCTAATAGTTCATGGATCTTCTTACAGCCGCAAAAGTCTCCATACTTATCCATCACCTGACAGGGACGAAAAGACAGGTTGAAACAATAGCATCTTTAACATATCTCCGCTTGAATAAGGCATGACAAGAGACAGCAAAGGGTAATTAGCCGCATTGTCAGCACTGTCTGAATCATAATGAGATAGCAGCTTAGTTCTGCCGACAAGATGATGGTGCAGCTTTGGGAAAAATGATAAGTGAACATAAAAAGGTTTTTGAAAGCCGTTTGGAGGCGTATGCAGATGGAACAACAAAGTGAAACAAATGAGGTTGTGCTGTTACAGTATAGTACCTTGCAATAGTATTTGCACACCTTAAACCTTTTTGCATTTTGCAACTGCAAAATCCTGTGTTTCATTAAAAGTTTATGAGGAAGATCTAAACAAAGTAGAGTGTAAACTGTAAAGTAGAGGGAACATGATGCTTAGTTCTCACAAATTTGTACAGAGTAAAAGCTACTAAATATGCCCTGCATGTTTATTCAAATCAGTTCATTTTCATAGGGTTTGACACAATTGAGTTGGACTGAATACAAATATTGTCCACAATTTCAAGATTTTGACTGATGGGCATGTGGACGAAATTGTTTGCACACTTCATTTAAGATAATCACTGATTTTCAACACAATTTCAATAGAATGAAACTGGGCAAACATTATTTTATACTTAGAAAATATTGAAAATTACTTGACAAAAGGGGCCTGTTAAATCAAGGTGTGTTCACTAATTAGCATCACAGGTGTCAATAATCTTGTAATCAGTCAGTGGGGCTGTATATAGTGCTACAGATAGCACTGTGCTGTTTGGTGACATGGTGTTCAACACCATTAACATGGAGCAGTGGAAGCAAAGGAAATAGGGCTCTCAGAAGATTATAAAGAAAATCATAGACAAGAATGTTAAAGGTAAAGCCATCTCTGAAGACCCTCTCTAAATAACTTCATGTTCCTGTGAAAACGGTTGCAAACATAATTCAAAAATTCAAGTGTGAGTGTGGCTTAAGGAGGAAAATTGATGAAAAATTAATAAGAATGATAAGAGGAATGGTAGCAAAAGAGCAGAGAATAAATTCTTAAGTGATTAAAGGTCAACTTCAAGCTCAAGGAACATCAGTGTTAAGGTGCTTTCAGACCGAGCCCCACAGGAAGTTCACCACTCAGCATTTCAGAAGCAGTTTTTACGCCACAAACTGTCAGCAAATAGGAGCTTGAGCTCATTGAAACTGATACCCCCCCATGAAAACTCAGCAAATAGAGCGGTTAGTACTTCGTTAGTGCAAGTTTTTGCATTTAAATTGGTAATTTGTAAAATGAAAAAAACAAATAAATTATAAAAAAAAAAAGATGTGAGCTACTTTTGTTTCAGAGATATTAAAGACTGTTTTTCTGTTATCCAGATGTCAACTCTCCACCCATTGAGCTGGAAAATGAATCAAATTGATATACCTTTTACAGTGCTTTTGATTTCTGAAGGTAAAACTTGTTTGTGATGCTACTGTTTCAGTATATCAAGTTATTGCATAACATCATATGGCATTCCTTTGCTGCCACTGAATACAAAAGTGGGAATTTTTACCTTATTTGGTGGCTGGAATGATTGTTACACAATATCCAATTCCTTATCAGATTCTTCAATTTAGATCTGCATTTACCCCTAACAACCCTATAGCATTTCATTTGAAGGTCTTACTATTGGCACTTCACAATAAACACATAGGTGAAACGTAACATTACGGACTACTGATATTATGCACAATGTCTGAGTCGGCTTAAGGGAGACAATATATTGGAAAAAGCCCCCAGAGCTACATGTGGATGACAGTCCGAATCAGCCGTACTTCCTTGCAGATCTACCTACACAGAAAGCACCTGTGCTGGGGAGTTGGCAGTGACTGGGGTCTGTGAGGCAGTTAAGGGAGGATGATGAACAGTCCTTCTAGGAATAAATTATTTTTTCTTTCCTTTGTCTAGGCTGCATAAGTAACTTACATCACAACCAGAGTTGTGACGTAGCCCTGCTCTTTCCATACGTGCCGTTGTTTAACAACACCACAGTTCTATCTAGTGGCACAATGTGAGAATGGAAAGGTGACAGCCCTCACCATGTTGGATACAATGCTGGTTCCCTTCCCCATGCAGTTGACAATGGTAATGTAAATCCACTGCCCTGGATCTAAAACTTGTACATAGATCCAGTTCCAGCCAAGTTATTTAAGGAAATATTTCCACTGATTTCCTCCTCTATTTTACATATGATTGATAAATCCCTAATACAGGAAAATCCACCCAAGCTTTTAAGGTTAAGCATTAAATGTTTCCTTAAGAACATTCTACTGTGACTCACTGTATGTTGTACTTAAAAGACAGAGCCCCCCACAGTTTGAAGCTAGCTTACTGTTATGTTCTCCAATATGGGAAGTATTAATTATTATTATTATAAGTATCTGCTTTGAATTAAGTGTTCAAGCTGGAACCAAAATGGAAAATTGCTTTAATTACAACTTAATAGAAAATTAATGTCAAAGTACTTCTTCTAGAGGTTATCATTTGCCAACTCATGCTCTCAAGTCCATCTGATGTGGCTGTTTGTTTACTGAAAAGTATTTTAGTTAAGACAGATTACGCCTTACAGGATTACAGCCTCCAGCATTTTTAATGACCTCTGGAGTCCCTCAACGGCCAGCTCCCTTTTGTCTAATTTTATACAGGCAAGAAATTTTAAAACATCCGTCTAAGCAATAATTGTTTAACTTGACAGCAGGAAGATTTTCTTTGGAGGATGCTAAACTGTTTTAGAAAAGAATCTTAATCCATAATCACGGACATTGTTTTGATGTTTTTAGTCTTCCAATATTAAAGTACCTTTTTAAAAACAAATCTGTAGTTGAAAGTATATGGACTGGTACATACTTAAATGTTCTATTTACTGTCTCATTTTAATTTTATGATCATAACAATCATCTCGTTTTCATTTTTGATGTTTAACTGCTAAAATGCCGTCTACTGTGGTTAGGACATGCTCTATGTGCCCTTTCCCCGTTCCTGCCCTTTAAAAAGTCTGTGCACGCCACTGGAGATAATACAGTAAGTACTCTACTTGTAGCCAAATGAATGTGAATAGCCATGCCTTTCAAACATAGGAAAAAAATGGTAATGCTTCCAGTAGGTATATAGCTTGCAATCCATATTCCACAATATATGTATATTATATAAATATATAGAGTAGTAAGTATTAAAATAATATATACATTATTTGGTAAGAAACAACCTTCCTCTAACTGACATTAAATCACACAAAACTTTTTTTGATGATTAGAAAATGACTTAGAAAAAATCTTTGGCCCATCCTTCTGGAAAAAGCTGGTGTAAGGGGGATACGTTTTGAGGCCAGCTTGCTGGCCCAGACCTTTCATCCCTTTCCAGTTGGTAGACTCGTTTGTGAAAAACCTTTACCTTTCTGAATGCTGTTCTGAGACATTGCTTGAATTCAGACCTCACACACCTTTTTCCAAATATTAAGGTATTGTCAATAAGGGCTTATTATATCTGTGATCTATCTTTTTATGAGGCTTTTTAAAAGTTGAAAGTGTAAGGACAATAAAATGCTGGGGAAAAAAAGATGATTACCAAGCATCCAGCAGCTACAATAATTTGGCATGTTTATTTTTCCTTTACACACAGCTATTTTATTGAACGTTAAATGGCACTCCTTTTAAAGAGAACTTTAGAAATCGACCCTGGGCTTGGTGGTAATGGGCAGAAAAATGGGCTGCTACTTTAGTATTACATACAGTAGAAAACACTTGGGATTATTCAGCTTGTTCCTAAATGTTGCTTTCTTAATTAATTTAAGGTGTTCAGTTTTTACTTTCTGCCTCCCTATAATAAGTTGCAGAGGATTTAAAAAAAAATACTGATATAAAACATTAAAGGCAGTTTGCAAGACAAAATAGCAAAAAATACCTTTACAGAAAAGTTCAAAACCATTGCTCATCATTCTCTATAAAACAAATGGTTATCTAAAATGGAAGGTGTGCTTAACTGTCTGGAAGAGGATAAAATTATATGTACTTGACTGTGGAATAATTACAGCTGCCATTAAATCTTTTATCACAGATCAGTTGATTCCTTACTGTGCTGTCACTGCATGAAATCTGCATATAATTACATGTGTGTAAGCATTTTTGGAATAAAAGTTCTATCTGACTGTCAGTATCAAACAAATCCATTTGTAAGATTTTACCTTTCTTTTCACAAATTTATCCCAGTAATTACTCGGAAACGATCTGAAAAGATACAGAAGTAGATTAACAGACAACATAAAGATGTTGCATAATTACGAATAATGCGAAATATGTCTTTATTTCGATATAGACAATTTTGCTAGATATCATTTATTAATCTGTCCTTAATAAAGATAATACAGTGTGTTGATGACCAGACGGTCCCATTGCCCTTTGATGTCTTCTTCGTGAGGCTGCTGTGTCACACATAGTCCGTCAAACTCGAGCCTTCGTGCCACCTCTTTCTCTCGTTTGAAGATCAGCAACGGCACCTTTCAATCAAATGCAAAATCATTTAGAAATTATTCCCTGCAAATACTGAAAGACTAAAAAATATACGTTAACTTTAAAATGAATTAAAAAATCTACCATGGTGATTTATGTTACATACTGCAAAAATAGGATAATCAACAGTAACAGAAAAGAAAATGTATTTTAAAGTTAAGTGAATAAAACCCTCAACTCTTAGACCATTGTATGACACCAAGTAATGAGTTTTTGCCCTCAATCCAATGCGGCCAACCTCTTTTTATATTCTAAGAGTAAAAAAAAATTTTATCTGCTCTACAAATACAATTTCACTATAGCAAAGCACTGAGAGGAATTTTTCCCCTAGTATTTTCTGGTAGCTTATTTACAGGTTGCAAATCCAAAATGGTTTCTCTATCATGTCTACAATATGGTGAGAAGAATGTTAAGCTACTTATGTAAAACATTGAACTCAGGTGTTTCAATCACTTCCATGGCCACCTGTGTATAAAATCCACCCCTAGGCATCAGTTGAAAAAGCTTGTTAAAAACAGAGAAAGCAGGACAGCTGCATGTCCAGTCATGAAATATTCTTCCAAATAAAAATAAAGTTAATCAGTATATCAAATTTACTGTTTGATGCACTGATTCTATATGAACCCTAAGAAGCATGAATACAAAGTCATACGAACTGAGAGCAAAAGCAAACTCAGTCACTTTGTTAAAGGCATAGGAAAAACATAAAGCAATATCTGTATACACAAGGGCCCAGAGGGTGAAACTTTCTGTAGAAATAATTGAAATCATGTGACTTTCAAATTGATCCCAACTTGAGATCACTGCACAAACATCCCTATGGCTTCAAGCCTTCCATCATCAATCACAGTTCAAAGCATCAGATGGCGTTCTGTAAAGTAAGATGCCACCGCACAGTAAAAACAAGTCATGCTTTGTGTTCTAGCAATCTAATAGATGACTCTGGGTTTGGAAAACACCATGAAAACCCCACTTGCCTGATTGCATTGTGCAAAGCACACATTTTGATGGAGAAGGAATTATAGTATGGGGACATTTTAAGAATGTAATTTGTTCAAGTGAAAGGAATTCATAATTCTTTAGACATTTAAATAGTTTTAAATTAGATTACTAATGCACTTAGCAGGGTTCATAAGGATATTAATGTAAAAATTTAGTTTGACAAGCTTTTTCTGCACAGTCATAAGTTCAAGCTTGTAACTTAGACTTTGTGATGAATTACAAATGAGAATGTGAACCAGACCTTTCATTCTAAATGAGCAGCTGACCTCATGAATAGTACATCCTATTTAAGCCTTTGCTTTAAAAGGAGGATGGCATTAAAGTGAAACTGTGTGAAAAAGTGTATTTTTGCAATACAGTGCTTTGCAAAGCATTCATTTTATTTTAACTAAGCCAACATTACCGTCATTGGTTTTAAAACGAAATAGTCAGAAGCAGATAACAGTAAAATACACTTAAGCCTGATTAGTTATATTTGTGCACTGATAGCAAACTATACTACTTTTCCAACAACATCAGAAAGCTTGAATCTTGAAGAAGTCTAGTTTAAAAAAAATTCTACTTGTGTAAATTAAAATGAAATTGCCTCTAAAAACTACAATTCAATCAACGGGAGCAGAAAAACATTATTGAAGAGGCATACCTTGAGGCAGTAGTAACCGATAATGCAGCAGAATGAGATGATTGTGTGTGCAATAGAAAGGAAATGAAGGCACAGCTCCATGTAACCACTGCTTTCTTCGAGCACAAAATGAACATTGCTATTGCTTGTATTTTTCATAGTGGAGTCCAGTTCTTTTCCGTTCACAGATGTAACCACTTTTTCTTCTTTGGGTGCAGGCAAAGATACTACCTGGAAACCAGTAAGAAAAGGAAATGGTTTTGCTTGGCATCTTTGGTGGCATAGTTGACAACAGGGAATTGATAAAAATAACATGAGTATGAAACGATTTAATTGAGGCAACCTTTTCCACATTCACAATCCTACACAGCTGCAAGTCTGAGAAAAAGTAGGCTCATAAGGTTGCTCTCACCTTGTAGAAAAGAAGGATGAAGTTGATTGAAAAAGTAACAAATAATGCCAACAAACGCATGTTATAAAAATTTCTTGCAAAGTAATTCTAGAGAGAAAAGGAAGAAGAAAACAGATATAGTCAAGCTCAAAAAATGTTTGCTATTGCTGAGCTGGATGTTGACTGTGCATAGTTATCTTTGTAAGCATGTGTTGCTGTACTTGTACATTACCAGAAGACTCTTGTTATTTGCGCTTATCATCTCCCAGAGAGCAGAATGCTGGCCCTGTGCTTCCTTTAACCTATTAGAGCATCCTTTGGCACTGTGTTTCTTCTCTTCTTTTACATTCCAACTTTCCTTTTCAGATTTCTTCCCTCTGAAAACATTCCAAACATAAAAACAAGACATGTCCAAGATTTTTTTATGTACTTTATTTCCATAAAAGAAATTAAAAAAATAAGAATTAAACCTTTTTAATCTCATATTTTCTTTTTTTATCATAAGATAGAGTGTGTTCAGACAAATCAATGTTCTATGCATGATCTCATAATTTTCAAGCTCATATAAAACTAATATTAACCTGTTTGAGCACTGAATACTTACAGCAGTTCACTTACAATCATTACACTGTTACAAAAATATGTCACATTACAACTGTAAATTTTACTGTGTTTTATTGTGAACTATACATTAATCAGTGTCAATGATCTTTAGGTAAATCTCTGCCAAATTCACATTTAGGGAAACACATTTCTCCCCATTTGTCTTAAACTTTTAGCTTTAGCTCAGAAAGACTGAATGGTGTGCACCTGTAAATAGCATTTGAAAGGTTCTGCCACTGATTCCTGATAGGGTTCCAGTCTACAGTTCGATTGGGGTATGCTAGTATAAACAGGTATGTAACCAGGATTGTCAGATGTTTAGTCTCATCTAGCACCATTAACCTTGAAGAAGTTTTTTCTATGCTAAAGAAATGCATTCCTACAGCATAGTTTCACTGGTAGTGATCTTGTGCTTAGGATGATGCTCAGTGTTTGACTCCACAAAGCGTTTTGCATATTATTGATTTAATCTTAGTTTATTTAACCACAACACTTTCCTCCATGTTTCCTTTATCATCTCTATGCATGTCCTTGCTCTTAGAGCACAGCATGCGTTGGTTGTGAATCAGTGCACTAAAAAGGTAAAAACATACAATGGAATAAACAGCAACTATGTACAGCCCTGATGTTTTTGCATGTTTATCAAAAATCCAGTTCTACTGTGCCAATTAAAACAGTTTACCTTTAATCTATCTATAAATCTATCTATAAACCTCTATAGCGACAGAAAACAATGGGTATCTTTAAAACAGATTATAACTTTCAGAAAGTAAATATTAATACTTATTCAAGTTTCAAATAATTAAATAGCATAATTAAACACTTAACATTAATAAATATTTTGGACAAATAGGAAGGGGGGGGGGGGGGGGATCCCATTCTACCATAAGACACCAAAATAGGAAATAAATTCCTGCATGGCTTAGAAAAGTCTAAATGTAACCTTTCATGACTCTCCTTTAACAGTGGTTTTCTCCCAGCCTCTTATCCATAAAGGTCTTTTTTCTTTTTTTTTTTGTTGTGTTGCAAGAATAATACTTGTTGTGTCAACTCAACTGATTCTCCCAACTGAACTAAATGCTGGCCTTACCCAGCCTTTCAAACTGCGATTTCATTGAAGCCCTGCATTGTGCTGCACTCTTTTTAACAGTAATTAGACTGTTATATACTTTTTGTATACTTAGTTTTTGCTCATATTGTTGGATAACAATGTGTATAACATACAAAAATCTAGCCGTATTTTAAACCTCTGTACAATTTAATCTTGTGACTGCTGCCAGCTTAAGAGAGTCTATTAAATAATTCATAATATAATATTTTATGACATAATATTTGAAAAATACATAACATACAACAATTTTTGAAAAGGTACTGCATCCTTTAAGGCAAGAGAATTGATACTCACTCTTGATCGTGTAACTCCTCCATTTTCTCATCTTCTTTTTTTTCATTGCCCGAGTGGTCCATGAACTACAATAAAACAGTCACCTTAATTTTCAAAATCTCAAAGCACCAGAATGATTAGGCTAAAAATACATAAAAAACACAAACAAACAAAAAAACCTGATAGAACCTTTTAAACCAAAGACATAAATAGAAAAAAACACTTACCGAAGTCTGGGGCTGCTCAGAAATTTCTTTATCAACCATTGTTGCATTGAACAGATCAGCCAGACTATCAGAGAGATCTTGCGTTATAATTCTGTATTGACCTCCTTCTTTTTTCAGTTTGAGACCGAATATGTCTGAAAGTATGTCCACCTCTCTGGGAAAGGTCACTGAAGCCATCTGCCCAATCTCCCTTAATTCTTTCTGGGATGAGAAACTAGCAGAGTACTTTCTAATTGGATCCATACTCTTTGGCATCTCCATGACCTTGTCGAGAGTTGGTTCAAGGATACCACCAAACAAGTCCGACACCTTCATTCTTTTTGCTGCCTCTATAAGACCACTGTTGACAAATGTGATGTATAGCAAATACATGATGTGACAGATGACAACAGAAATGCAGCGGACATGAACCATACAAATGAATGAAAAGACTCGAAATGCTGCTATTAAGAAATCCCTCAGAGTCATCTTCATCAGTGTTCTCAGGTTTTTCCAAGACAGGACAAAGGTTAGCATCAGCCACAAATAGGAGATACAAGTCAGACCCTTGTCATTTGGGCTTTCATCCTCATCGAGCTCACTTTTTTCATTCTCTTTTTTCACAGTAAACTTATCCCTTGTGTTTGATCCGGATATCTGGGCTGCAAGCTGCATCTCAAAAATGGTATCCTCACAGAAGTTTACAAACATCTCCATTTTCTCCTTCTCTCCTCCCTTATTGACCACATCAAAAATGAACTGCCTCTTGGACTCCTTAACCTGTGGCTTCTCCCACTGTGTGCGACTATATTCGCTGATCTCAAAGTAGACTCGTTCAAACCGCTTCCCACTGCCAAGAATCTCAATGCGCCCAAGGCTGGGCTGAAAGTAAGCCAGCACACATTCAGCCAGTTCCATGAATGTCTTCAGCCTGGAATCCTTCGGCATGTGCTCCGACAAATTTGTAAGGAGAACAGTGATGCTGAAACCAATGTCTTTTGCTGGCTCATGAAATCGATCCACAAATGCTTCATATTCCAAGATCTCACTATCATTCATTTCAATGCACGAAAGCAGGAAGTGAATTTCAGCTTGGGAGAAGCGCTTGCAGTTTTCTATGGATTTCTGAAAGTCCTTTCTGGTTATGTTGCCCTTACAATCAGGGTCAAACTCTCTGAAGCCCTCTGAAGAGGTCAGGTCTTTTAGTTTGAGGAACATGTCAAAAAACTTGAGGATCATTTCCACATTGCATGACGACTCCACCAACATATCCACCATCTGCTTTCCAATTGTCCCATTGATAACATTGCCTGCAACAAAGAAAATGGTAATAAATTATCAGATTATAGTTTAAGTTTAATACATACAGCATAATATTCATTTGATTTCTTTTTTTAAGGAAATAAGAAAAAATAAAGTAATTTGGATCTGAAACATGCATTAAATAATTATTAGTATACACAGAGGGTACACAAAAATGAAATTTGATAAAGAAAAGAATGCTAAAACCTCAAAATGTGCCAAGACATGACTGTCCATCTTAATGAACAGGTCAGCCAATGTCAGCTTTAATTAACGAACTAAGAGGACCCTGGTGACTTCAAAAGCAACTACAGAGGTCCATAAATCAAGTGGGAGAATATGTCAATATGACAGCTATTAGTCATGCAGTCCACAAATCTGGCCTTTATAGAAGAGTGAACAGAAGAAAGCCATAAAGAATTATGCTTGCTGTTTGCCACAAGCCACATTGATGACACAGCAAGCATGTCCAAGATTGATGAGTCTGACCAGTACCATCTCTCGGCGCTGAGTCCCACTTGTGGTTTTTGAACATACAGTGTGAAGAGTTAGATTGGATCGGAGCATTGGTCATAACATTGTGAGAACATACATTGCATTTGGTTTCATTGTAAAGTTGGAGCTGTAGCTGAGTGCAATGATTGAAAATAAAGTATACGTTTTATATCAGTTCTTTATAAATAACCCATTTGCCTTGCAAATAATTTACCTTCTAACATGGAAAGCAGAAACACAACCATGTCCTTCAATAAGTCCATGAGCTCTTTAAGAAGTTTTATTTGCCTTGAATCCTGAAAAAAGAAACAACAGTTATGACAAAACAAGAAAAAATAACAACACAAAATTTACCTTGAGACAAAAAGAAGTTTAAACACTATTCAATAAAGGGTTTAGTTTAAAAATACTGTCAGCAAACAACTCTATTAAGCTAAAATAATGCAACAGCTTTGTAATCTTTTTAAAGACTGTAGAATGGTATCTAGTGTGTGTGCTATACCTGAGACAGCTTCATCTGCATGTGAGCAATAACATGGAGGAATCCAACGACAGCATCCCAAAGACGACTATGAGCAAGACTCTGCTGATTCCCACTACATGGACCCTAGATGAACAACAAATACATACAGTCAGTGCAAACATTGCAGAAAGTAGAAAGAACTTTAAATGACTAAAATCTGAAATACTAATGCTTAAATGTCTATTTCTCAAATATAGTTGACTGTTTAAATGTATTTGCATTTACAACCTACATTTATCAAGCACTTCATATCAAAATTTGCTACAAAAATTATTTACAAATCTAAAAAAATCAAGATCTATCCAAAGTAAAGAGACACTGCTAAAAACAAAATGATATAAACCTCTTGAAAGCCGCTCATGATATTGCAAAGTGATAGGATTCAATCTTTTAAAAGTGTTCTAATAACAGTATCTAGGTTTAGTATTTACGTAGACTTTATTGAAGGTAACTAAGAAATAACCTAAATTGTATTCTGGTAAAATAATTTATTACAAACACAAATGGACTGACCTGTATGTACTCGGTGAGTGTGTTGAAGACCTGTCTGGTGACTTCAATGGCCTTGGAGAAGTTGTGTTGACCCAGAGGATCAATAACGTCCTTCCCAGAGTAGTACCAGTAGAAATCACTAATCGATTCCTGTGGTGTAGCACACATCATTTTTAGTTTTATTTGTAGGAATGTTTTGATCAAATTTTGCTCATATAGATCCACAACCGCATAAACCTTTAGCAACATTCTGTTCTAAAGTGATGAGGTTTAGTATGATGTAGGACCAACCTTTACAACTACTGTATAACTCTTGTCTGAAGTTTTTTATACCGTTTAGGAAAATGTTTATACAATTATTGACCATTCTTTCTGAGGGGTGGACGTCAGGTTAATGACCAATATGTGTGCTGACATTACCAAGTTCCCAGTCACTGCTCTGATTATATAAAAATAATGTTTTGGGTCAAGTTCTTTACCAGTAAACTCTTAGGACCTTGCTTTGTACAGAGTTGCACTGTAAGGAAGGAACAGATAGAACAAAGAACCATCAAAACCAGTCCCCACAAAGATGGGACCATTGAATTGTCTAAGATATCTCGTAATGAGAAAGCTTTAATATCTGCTTTAACTGAAGACCAGACCTAACTCATGAAATAAGGCCAACATAATAACACCCTTTCACTAAGTCTTACGCTCAACACAACATAGTCAGGAAAGTAACCATCACACGCATCCATTGGGTTGTCAGAAAGAGAGGCAGGATTTGTCATTTTAGAGAACACATCCCCACTTTAATTCACTGTAAACTTGTATTGCACCTGATGAGTTAAAGCTCCTGTTTAGCAGCTCATGCATGTATATACATTTCATTAGGCTATTGATGTGCAAACTGATCTTTAGATAATCCAGAGGCTACATTATGTTTGGAGATCTATAGCTATTGACTTTGCAAAAGTTGTTGATGTGCACTATGCACCTTGTTATTAACTGACTCCGTTCGGTCATTAAACTGGGTCTACCACTTAATTGCTCGGTTGCTTTCATGAACAATTATTTTCAGTATGCTATAATATCGCTAACAGTGGGCTGTTGCCTTGCAGCAAGAAGGTTCTGAGTATAATTCCCGGCTCTGCGTCTTTTTTTCATGGAGTTTGCATATTTTCCCCCTGCATGCATGGGTTCTCTCAGGGTACTCCGGCTTCTTCCCACAGTTCAAAAATATGACTGTTAGGTGTCTCTAAATTATCCTTGGGTGAGTTTTTTGTATGCATGGCTGTACGTCTCTGTTTGTCTCTTTGTTGCCATGCAAATTGCGACCTGTCCTGGGTGTACCCCACCTCTCACCCATAGACTGATAGAGATAGGCACAAGCCCCACGAAATAAGCGCGAGAAGATGGATGGATCGATCACTAACAGATGAGAGTATAATATTTAACAACCGATAAATTTCATCACTGAACATACTGCACAGGTGGCAGCCTAATACGGTACCTTGATTAAGCTCACTGAGCTACAGAGAATTATTTACATGGTTTGAACATCTGCATTCAATGAGTCTGACTGCTTGTTTTCTAAATATTCCATTTAGTTTGACATTTTCCTAAGTAGTAACCGTAGTAAACCCACCTGTACCCGTAGTAAATAGTCAACAGTTGATATAACAATGTTGACAGTGGTGTTGTTCCCAGTTTGTGTTCTCAAATAGTTCTGGAAATCTAAAATGTGGACAAAAGAAAAAAAAATTGTATCAAAATTTGAAGAATGATATCAGAAAAAATATTACTTTTGCCACCATTTATGTTTTTTTTTATGTGAATTACTGACAAATATATATGACATTTCATCATTTCTTAATGGACAAGAAGGAAGTTGTAATAACCTGAATTATGTCCTTCGCAGAGCAGCTGCAGAAAACGGAATAGGTCACAAGCCAGGTCTTTGTCAGGCATCACCTTTTCTCCTTAAACCAAAAAGATAACAGCTATTTAAAAAATCAATGAACAGTTTCAAGTAAAATTTATGAGTAAAATTGAAAACAAAAAAAATTTAACCAAAGCCTTATAAAAAAAAAGAAAAGATGTTGATGAAACAGAAGATGAAGAAATACTTTAAAATTGTGCTCTGAAACAGTGATCGTGCAGCGAGTTCCTCTACCATAACATGGATTAACAGTAATGGATTTTTTTATTTCCATTTAACTACAGTACCTGAGCTCTCATCCGTAGCCATGCCTAATCCCTCTGCTTTGTTCTGCCTCTCAAATGCGTTCAGATCCAGGACACTGAGTAGCAGAAATTCACAGAAGAGGAGTTAGCAAAGCCTTTAAAAATGTACCTACTGTACTTTTCATCAAACTGTTAATCAGCCAGCCTGTTTTTCTGATTTTAGCACCTTTTCTTCAGTAACTTACCTACATGACTGCATGAGTCCAGCCATGCTCTGGAAAAAGCCAACATTGCGCTTCTCTCTTAGATAATCCAGCATTTTCTGTAAGGCACAATAAACATAGATAAGATCTAATAAAGCAGAAGTGATTAGTCTGATAATATGTTTCCATTAGGGGTAAGTTGGGGTTTAAAGATTTAAGTCTTGAAGAATACTTTATCAGATATATTAAAAGTAAGCTTTTATTTTAAATAAGCTACGTACGTAAAGTAAGACAGGAAATGGTTCCTTATTTGCTCTGTTGTTATTTTGTTTAACTGGAAAACAAAACTGTTAAATATGGATTAAAAGCAATACTTTGCGATTGGTTAAACTCTCTAAAAGATAACTCTGCAGAAAAAGCTTTTTCATGCTTTGTCAAATTAATGCCTACAACTCTGTTCTGTCACTTTAGTTCTGATATGTAATTTTGAGCTTGTTTTTTAATTTTTGTAAATTTATATGTACTGTAATCTCCTGTTCAGTCATTGTTTAAGTCTAATTTTAGAGTTATGTGAATTTGGTACATGAAACAAGATGCAACACAACCCATGCTGTAAATGTATTTATAACATTTGAAGAGCAATAAAAATCTTCAATAAAAACAAAGGACAATTAGATAAAATATCTCTAAAAAACATCCCTAAGTTATACATAGACACCAGAATGTTTTTTCAGCTGCTTTACTGCCGGCCTAGATTGTGGTTGTTGCTGTGTGGAAAACTGACTCATCCATACTCAAATTCTATTAAATAGCTTTTAATTGCATTTCACCTCCCAAATTACCCAAATTCATCACATACACACTGATACACATACACACTGTTTTATATTTTAGCTTGACTGTTCATCACACTCCTCGCGGTCAGCATTGTAATGGTACCAATATTCTTTGTGGGACAATCAGACCAGTGAGAAGTCATAATGGGAAATTAACTTAACAAATTCCTATGAAACTCTCCAGCTGAGGTTGAGATGATTTTAGTATCTTATACTAACATGTTTAGCAACCCTAGCGTAATGTGATTTGGTATCCTAAATTTATGAATGTTTTTAGTCATCTAATTAACATATAAGTTATATAAAAGTGCCACTATTGTCTCTAAACCACCTAAACCATCTAAAGCACCTGACACGATATAAGAATGAATAACAAAAAAAATAATTGTGTTTTTGTCTTTGTGTTTTATAGAAAAGGATTTCACTTACCTGCTGAACAGTTGCATTCCCCCCATTGAGAAGAGCAATACCTAGTTCAAGAGTAGGACCAATCATGTATCCCATAGTGCCTAAAGTGATACAAAATCAGAATATTTCTGTCAATTTTAAGTATTCTCATTTTTCACTTTGTCAAATCCAAAGCAGGAGTTTATCTAAAAATTATTTATAGGTGATATTTTCTATTTAATATTTCCTACCGCTGCTGGCACTAATAGTTTGCAGAACCATCTCTGAGGCTCCACGACAATGCAGCCTGGCCTGTTGGTACAACAGCTTCTGTTTCTCCATTTCCTTCTCCTTTAATTTTGAATACACAACTTCGGCTTAATTTTGAAATATAGAGATACTGCGATATTTTATAGTTTTTTAAAACAAGACAAAAAAGCTTAATAACTCAGGGAAAAGAGTTTAAAAATCTAAGGATTCATTTGCTCACTTCAAAGCTTTCTACTTCCTGCTCATCATCATCTTTGCTCTCTCTGCAACAGCTCTGGGAAAAAAAAACAAAAAAAAAAAAACAGAAGTGAACAGATGATGTAAAACCAGATCCAAAAAGTAATGCATCAACAATAAATGATTTACAAATGTGCTGAAGCTCTTTACTGACAGGTACTTTAGGTTCATACTTCATGGGTCATGCACACAGATTTTAAAGAATAACTTCAAGACATGATGCAAAAATTTAGTGTATCTGTGTATGTGCTTAGAGGCTCCTCAAGTCTAAATGCATTAAAAGAAACACTACAACATGATTTGTAATAGGCAATTTAGAGCACTAATTGCAGTAGTGAAACTACCCTTCAGCCAAATTCATGCATATCTGATTTATTTCTATTATGCTTCCTGTAACACCATTACAATTGTGTTTGAAATACCCTTCTATTAAAGACAGAAAAAAATCTGCTGCAAGTCAAATAAATGCAAATAAAAACGAAGAAATAAAAAATCATGATATATATATATATATATATATATATATACATACATATATACATGGATATGTGGACATTGAAAAATAAAGGGTTAACAAACCAAGCCTAATAGAGCTTGAGGAAATGTTCAGTCAAACTTCTGCACCTGTTAACATGTATGTTGCTTCACTATTCATAAGGAAGGTTCTTTAATTTGTCTTGGATAGTTTTTATTTTTATATTTATTTCCTTTAATAATAAGTCAAAATCTATTTCATTTTAAGAAGTTAATATTAAGTAAATTAGTGTTTATCATTATTTTTCAGTTCCATGTTATTTGAATCACTAGTGTGAATTTATACTTTTTTTTAAATGGGACGTTACATAAACATTCCAGTACAACTGTATTTGCTAAGGATTTAAGGTCAAATTTTTTTCGCTAAAAGATTTTTTGCAGATTTTCAAAAATTAAGTGATTTCACTAGTTCAATTGCATTTACAACTTGTAAAAATCAAAACGTTTGCTAATTGTGAAAACAAAATTTTTGACTCTTACCTTTGCCATAATACCAGCATAACATTTGTAGAGGTTGTCATTATCAAGCTTACTGAAAACAGGGAAAACAAAAAGAAAAATATTACCAGAAATATATATATCACTATATTATATTATCAGAAAGTGGAAAAATTAGTTTATTTTATAATTTTTTTTCATTTTACATTTGCAGAGAAATGTCCCTGCTAAATCAGAAACATGTTAAAAGGTTAAGAAAATATTATGTTTGAGGGAATTCAAAAAGCATGTGCAGAACTACAGGAGATTAAAACCATGAAGCACTAATTCCACTTCAGACCAGTGTAGTATTCACTAGTATTCAAGATGCATTTGAGCAGTAACAAAAGCAGCATGTGATCTTTTATAATAAACACACACTTGCTTTCTGTCAGTGCACTTCGACTGAAGAACATAATGAGTTGCAAGAGGGGATCGATCGCCTGGGCGCTTTCTACCACCTCCTTTACCTCCTCTTTGTCACCTTTCCAATGGTTTATCACTTGCCCCTTCTGCAATCCAAGGAGAGAGAGCGAGACAACTAGTGTGTGTTCTTAAATTATACTACACAGCTTATTGGAGCTAACAACAAAGTAAACTCAGCAGGTCCCTTCCTTATGAACAGTAAAGGCAAATTAAAATTCTTGATGCAGACTTACCTTTATTGTTTGTCAATGTGAAGTGACATGCTCTCTGCACTCTCTGCAGAGCATATGGCTTCAATATTCAAAGCAAAGTGCAATGTTAATCAACCTGAGAAATAGTCCTATGAAGGCTTGCTTGGCAGCAGTGAAAGATAGCTCGAGCTAAACTAACAGACAACACAAGGGGATAAAATAAAATAAAAGAGTAAAATTCCTAGAACAATAAATTATAAATTTTTAATTAAGAATAATTTAATTTGAATGTGCTCTAATGGAGACATCCATGTTCGTCAAAGAACATTGCTGCCATCTACTGGTTTGTGACGTCACGGTGCGGTATCGGCTGTTGAGCATGTCCCAGTGCTGTATCTGGTGTTTGTCACAATTCGCTATTATCCATGATTATGACGACCAGTGCACTATGCGAAGCAGAGAGTAACGGATTAATGCTCTGTTTTTTTTTTCTGGCCAGAAGTTTGATGACAAATCCTCCCTCTTCAAGTTGGCAATCCAACGACGATCCTGCGGTGGATCATGAACCTGAAAGCTGAAATAGCTACTTTTTTTTTTTACTTTTACCCGATGTATTACAACATCCAACTGCCATGCACATGGGCAGTGTCAGTTTAACTATAGCTCTCACAAATTTCAATGGTGAAGTCCTCTCGAAATGTTAAATAATTGTTGTTGATTGTAGGGGTGTCTAGTAATTCCCATTGATTTTGCTTGTAAAGTGGGGAGAATGGCGCTAGGCTTACCGCACCATGATGTCACTGACAGAAGATATCAGGAGTGAGGTGTTACTATATTTGGGCAAAATTGGCTGTTCCCGGACTCTGAGATCATTCATTAAATCCCTGTGAACGTATTAGTTTCAGGTATAAATAATGACCCATTGGTTATTCCTTAATGACCTGACTTTTCCTTTAAAACGCTACATTTAAACACAACATTTAAGAAGTCAAAACATAATTTTTTTCCCCCAACGGTCTGAAATAAAACAAATAAAAATTAAATCTAAACTGCTCCTGGTTAAATTGAATAGAATACAAGAGAATAGAATAGCTGTAGCACAGTGGAGAAATGGGAAAGTTGCAATTATGAGAGAATTCTTAATAGTTAGCCATGCAGCAGATGTGACCAAATACTTTTTCTGAAAGGAAAGAAAAAGTCTCTTCACTTACAACATACAAAAAGCAGATTCAGGTAAATATTATATATATTCTGTCAGGAATCCAGTTTGTGTGGTCTGTTTTTGTGTTTCCTTTCCTCCTCCACCAGGTGGTGCCCTGTGCTCATTGGGTTTTCGTGCACACCTGCAGCTCATTGCCTCATTACCTGTGGAGTGCTCTTAAGCTGCTGACTGCCACTACCTCGACGCCAGAGTGTTTGCCAATATAGGGTACTCTAGCCATGCTTAGTTTAGCAAAGTCTAATATAAGTTTTTGTTTGCCAGTTTTGGATACTCTAGCCAAGCTGAGTTTTGCTGAGTTAAACTGAGTTTTTGTCAACCTGAGTCTTAACTTTTTTTGTCTTTGCCTCTCGGCAGGAAGTCATCCTGCAAAGTGGATTTGTTCGGACCTTCTCTCTCTAGAAGAATCAACTGAGCTTCTAACTGAGCTGGGGTTCCAAACAGGAAGTTTGGATCCACTTTCCCCAAGAGGTCGTTTGAGCTTCACTCTGTGCAAAGGTTTCTTCTGCACTGCAGCCCGTTCAAGTACCGCAGGAAAACTTAGTGGCAGGCAGCTTCTCCATTCACCAAGGAACAACTGCAGTCTGAGTAACCCTGTCCACCCCACACCAAACAAGACAATCTCTGGAACATTCCACACAGACTGGATGCCATAAAGGACACCTTTTTCTGGAGAAGTGAGTCTGCAACCTATTCGTCCAATTCAAACCAAAGAATCTAATTTCCCACTGAGCCTGAACTAACCGCAGTGTCTTCCCCCTCACCTTCCAGTTTCAGAGCTAACCTGACTCCGCCAGATGGACTTGCTCCGCATATCAATCTGGAAACCTTCCGTTGAAGCAATTTTGGGAAGGGGCGAAAATACTGGTTAGCTGATTGGCCTATGTTGGTGATAGACGAGCCAAATAAACCAATCAGATCAACGAAGCATATGACGTACTAACTGAGCGACGACGAAAACACAACCACAAGCCAGGCTGCTCTTGCCGAAACCAGTCGGGAGAAGAGCAAAAACATCTTTTCCTCTGAGAAAAGCCTCCAGAGCAATGTTTTGCTCTTCTTTCAGTGAAGAAATACTCTGTAATTTCGATAAAACTTGCTCAATAGCCACGCTAACGCTAGTTTCATCGGCTGAAGCCACCATGTTCTTTAGACTGAACTGTCGCACTTCTCGTTGTGTCACACCTCAACCCACCTCAAAGCCAACGCTGATTGGATGTTCGTTTGGTGAACGGCTCCAAATTTTCTTTAACGGAGAGTCTCCAGACTGATCTGCGAGTGAAACCATGAAAGCTCGCGAGATCAGGATGGTCTCACTAGGCTAGTTCAGAGCAGCACTGGACTCATCTTTATATTCTTAATAAACCTGTTAAACTTTTCCCTGGTCTCTCTGTTTGGTCTTCTGCATTTTGGGTCAGACCTTTAATTAAATCATGACATATTCATGTTAAAGATAACAACAAAAAAGCCGCTGGTTTTAAAGACAGATGTTAACACTGTGCAAATAAGATTTCAGAGCAGGGTTAGGCTTTTCTTGGACCTAGGAAGTAAGCTTTTGTCACTTAGTATGATTACAAACTTCTCTAGACTATTGAAAGGCACAATATTTCAGTGTTTTTTTTTTTTTATTGATCTACTGAAGTTAGAAGTTTACATATATTATCATACCTGGATAAAATTGCCCTTTTCATCTATTTAAACAGCTAGCCTGTATAACCACCAAGAGAATGTCCAACCTTATATATTATTTTAAAAGGATGCATGTTGTGTTTTTTTTCGAAGAATGTTTTTGGGTATGAAACAGGGGTACCAAGCAAAGAACAAAAGTAGAAGACCTTTTGACAATGCTGTCTTAAGCTGGTCAGAATTAGTGTAGCTATCATCCAGATTGACTGGCAAGGATTGAAAATTTATGTAGAAACAGAGAAACCATTATTCCATTATCATCAAAATAAAAAGTGAGATTATAGTTTGCAAATACACTGAAGCTCAATGATCCTAATTTTTGGAGTGTTTTCCACAATGTCGATCAGTACATTTGACAGAAAGAAGAAGCTTGTTAGAAACCTTTCCCATAATTAGCCAGGAAGTTAAAGCTTTGGTGTATATGATGTATCTATAGATATTTTAAAGTAACTTACCAATTATGTATTTATTATTTGAGCAACATTTGTGTTCTTTAAGCTCTGACTTCTGCAGCTAATCAGATAAGTCCAGAATGAGAAAAATGTAAACATGTTTTATCATAACAATTATATGCTGGTGAAGAATCTCATTCATCAAGGTCAATGTTTAAAATCTTTTTCGTTTTGAATCTTTTTCATTTTGAATTGAAAAAAGCTTCCTGGATGGAAAGTGAAACGTCTTCAAACTTGGAAACAAAGTCCACTGGATTTTTTTTAGATGACCTTTTTTTGTTGGAATAACTTTTATAGTTATCACTAATGGCAAAAACAGAAAGTAGAAATACAATCTGAAGAGTAAAGCATGTTAGCTTCACTTTAAAACTTACAGCTAAATCCTCCACAAGCATTTCCTCAAAGCCACGTCCCTCAGTTGATATCCAAGATTTATTGTAGCCTTGAAGGAAAAGGTTGGCAGCTCTGTGCCTGAAGGAAAGGAGGTGAAAAGTTGATAGATAGAAAAAAAACAAAAAAAAAAACATTCTATAAGAAGTTGTTTTTTCTATGTACTTTTATAGGTAAAACCTGAAGGACCAATATCTTTATTTTGACTTACAGTGGTAGGTTGTAGAGTGGAGTCATTCTTAGGCAAGCAACAACTGCACGTTTTCTTTGTTTGGATAAAACTTTATGCCAAGAAGGCTTCTTGTTTCTCTGCGGATGCTCTACCTAGAAAATGTAGGGAGAGGCATCTAAATTTCTAAATCGCACTTCTGATTTATTATAAGATGACAAAAACTATTAATTCTTATAAAGACAACTACAAAGACTGTTAATAAGCCAAGTGTTTTGTCAAGAAAAGAATAAGGTTTGCTAGAAACTAGAAAAACATTTTTTGAACAGATAAGAAATGTTCAGCCTGAAGTTAGAATATTTATTGGCTTAACATCAGTAAAACTAAATAAAACCCCAATCAAAATGAAATTTTATGGATGGAGTGTTGTCAAAAATTAGAAAACATTGCTACAAATGCCTGCAAAAGATAATCATCTTGTTGGAGTGATAGATGAAGTAGACAGCCACAACAGCATGCCACAACATTTTTTGCTACCTTCATCTCACCTCACTCCACTTCACTGAACAAATACAATTGTCTGTGTGCAGTTAAATGGTTGAGAAGAGTGGATGCACTAATGTTAACGTGTTTACAGAGGCCAGGGAGGCAAAGGAAGACGCTCTACTCTGAGTTCTAATAATTTTCTTTAATAGAATTGTAAAGCTCACCTGATCCAGATAATAAAGCACTCGAGCTATTTCTAGAACCCTGTCCACAGCCCTTTGTGTGTCGGCTTGGGACCCAAGCTGTGCAGGGAGATCTGCAGACAGAATCCCACTGCTGACTTTGTTCGATGCCTGTGAAGCGAAACAGGATTGAGTCATTCATTTCTATTGTTCCAAATGAAAAGCTTGGTTTATGGTTTATTCAAATTTTCAAAAACGAGTTACTGTGGACTTTTTCTATGGAAAAATAAAAGAAATGAAATCTAAACAAAAGCAAAAGACAAAACGAGATTCAGAACAACAGCTTGACTTCTTGAGTAAACAGGTGCAGTTATCAATAGTCACAAAAGCATCTGCACTGACAACCAACAACCTATGAACTAAGAAAAATCAAAAATATGAAGCCCAGTTTTACCTAGAAGAGTTTGGCGCTACTAATTTAAATGCATAGTTTCATCATTGGCTTATGAATAAACATTTTGATAACCAACTCATGGATGCAGAAATAATCTCAGCAAATATTGTACAGAGTGGTTGGCTCATAATATTCATGTCTCCGGTGCACAATCAGTCACTGACAGCGATTATTAAAACAGTGACTATGGACATAATTTCCTAATAACCTTAATTATAAGAGAAGTTTTAATTTTCATATAAACAAACTTGTTTCACAAACTAAATGCTAAAAGATAATCTGCTATACTTTTTCCGTAAAAGTTTAAAAAAAACAGTCCACTAGACTTGGTTTCCGAGGTTTAAAGACGTTTCGCTTCCCCTCCAGGAAACTTTCTCAATTCAAATGTCTTTGGAATGACTTTGACCTGGAAGGCTGAGTATCTTCATCAGCAAAATCTGCTATAATCATAAATATGAAGAGCAAGATTTGAAGCATAATGCTTTGCTAACAGGCCCAAAATCTAGGTGTAGTGCTGGATTCAGACTTGAACCTCCAAAAGCATTTAAAGGCAATTACAAGGTTAGCTTTGTATCACCTGAAGAACATTTCCAGGATTAAAGGACTAATGTCTCAGCATGATCTGGAAAAACTAATCCATGGGTTTATTTTTAATCAAATTGATTACTGCAACGGTGTTTTCACAGGTCTGCCTAAAAAGTGGATCAGGCAGCTGCAGCTGATCCAGAACGCTGCTGCCCGTGTCCTCACTAAGACTAAGAAAGTAGAGCACATCAGCCCAGTTCTAAAGTCCGTACACTGGCTCCCTGTATCTCAGAGAATAGACTTTAAAATATTTCTGAGTCTATAAATGCCTGAATGGCTTGGCACCTAAATACATCACAGACTTGCTATCAGTGTATCAACCCTCCAGACCACTCAGGTCTTCTGGCTCCAGCCTGCTCTGCATACCTAGAACCAGAACTAAACATGGAGAAGCAGCATTTAGTTCCTATGCTCCACTTATCTGGAAAAACTGTAAAAGTGCGGAAAGCCTGAGTTCCTTTAAATCAAGAATAAAAACACATTTGTTTAGGATTGCCTTCGACTGTTCTAGTCAAACAGTTCATCTGAAACATCATTAGTTCAACTTTTTTATTTTCTTTAGTCCAACTGTTTTTAATGTTTTTAATCTTTTATTCTGCATTTTTTATTTTAATTTTTCCTACTTGCTTTGATTCTGTTTTACTTTCCTATATTTCAGTAATGTAAAGCACTTTGCATTGTCTTTCTACTGAATTGTGCTATACAAATAAATTTGTCTTGCCTCGCCTTTCCTTAACACAACTGGAATATTACAGTAGATGGTTTGCTAAAGATTATAGTAAAGTTAAAGGTATAGTGGAGAATATTCTTTTTCCTGGTGGATCATCAAAATAAGTGGTCCTCCTAATTGTCAATCATTTTGGTGAGGCTGTAAGTCATAAGGCTGTCCTACGTGTTCGTCCCCATTTCACCTAACCCTATGCCAAGAAATACGTGGCTGCAGAGAATTACCTCCCCTCTCACACACTGATGAGAAAAGGGATTGCAATATACACAAAAACAGAACTTTTAAACATATTCTTAATGTTTTCATATTTCTTATGCAGGAATGCCCTAAAATTTAGAGTTTTGGTGGACAGATAAATTCCAATGAACAGAATTTTTACACAATTTTGTATGGAGACTAGTTTCACTCAATGTGCTACAGTCAGTGTCCGATGAAAATTTTCTTTTGCTCAGTGAAGGTAATTCTCGGCAGGCAGGAATTTCTCAACATTTATCTGTCCACAAGACTCTAAATTTTAGGGCATCCATGCATTAGAGATATGAAAATATTAAGAATATGTTTTAAATAATAATAAATAATTGAACTTAAAGGGATAGTTCGGTATTTTTGACATGAATCTGTATGGCATCCCCATCACCAGTGGCATGCAATCACACTGACTTACCCCTGGCAGCGTCCTGTGAGCAGAGTTATCGTCCAGTTTTGGTCAAGCCGAAAGTAGTCCGGCAGGTTTTTAGGAACAGCGAAATAAAACTTTTCTCTTCCCAAAACATTATGTGTTCAAAAGAGCGATATTTTTGCATCCCAAAAACATTGTAGTGGAAAAAGTCACACGTTGTTATCACTTGGTCCTATTTTCTCTCTGTTCGTATCAGTGCGCGCCGTCATTCTGACAGCGAGAACCTGACAACAGCCATGTCTCCCTCCGCCTAGTTGGGCGGAGGGAGACATGGCTGTTGTTGACCTCGCTGTCAGAATGACGGCGCGCACTGATACGAACAGAGAGAAAATAGGACCAAGTGATAACAACGTGTGACTTTTTCCACTACAATGTTTTTGGGATGCAAAAATATCGCTCTTTTGAACACATAATGTTTTGGGAAGAGAAAAGTTTTATTTCGCTGTTGCTAAAAACCTGCCGGACTACTTTCGGCTTGACCAAAACTGGACGATAACTCTGCTCACAGGACGCTGCCAGGGGTAAGTCAGTGTGATTGCATGCCACTGGTGATGGGGATGCCATACAGATTCATGTCAAAAATACCGAACTATCCCTTTAATTGATCTCACATTGAAAAAATTTACCTCCTCATTTAACTCATCCCCTTGGGAGCAGTAAAGTAAAGTTCTCTTTCCCTTCATATTTCAATCCCTTTTTTTCCATCAGTGAGTGAGAGGGGAGGTAATTCTCGACAGGCAGGTAGTTCTCTGCATAACACCAGTGGTAAATTGACATAGTGGAAAAATTGCAAAACTTCTTTTAGAATGTAAGTTTGTATCAGAGATGCAAACAGCAACTTTTCAATAGAGCGTGCACGAGGAGAAATGGGCTCTTGCATGCTCTCGCAGGCATTTAATAGGCATTCCCTCTCAGGAGCGGGTATAAGGTTGTGCTATAATCATTTTTAACAGTTTATATTTAGTTTTAAATGCATTTAGAGTCCAATCCTTCTCTTCTAGAGGATGGGTCAAAGAATGATTGAAAATGTAAATTTTGTCATCTCATCTGCCGTCCTCTAGTCAGTTTTTCGGCAGCCTATTGAGGCTTTACTTGCAAAGGAGTTTGCAACAGTGCAATTGTCAACAATCTGTGTGCTCTTTCTGTGCATTCATACTTATAGTGTTTATGTGTCCAGTTAGCATAGATGTATCTTCACTGCACTCAACGTAGACATTGGCTGAAAGTTGCAATAAGTGACTGGTCTAAAAACTTTATGAAAAGAACAGGGAGGCCTCCTAAGAAAAAAATGCAACCAACTATTTGGTGCATTATTTTTACACAATGGTGGCTGAACAGTTAAATTGATCACGCACAGTTAATAAAAAAGTGACTTGGGCATTTCCTACCTACACTTTGAAAAAGAAATTCCATAATTGTTCCAATAATTAGGATAATTTAAATAACTTAAATGAGTTACATCTATATGGGGAAATAAAAAAGTTAGTGTTACACTGGCAATTTAACAAACTGATTTACACTGATTTCAATTAGGTTAATGGCAATTTCTTGTTTTAAATAATTTACACTAGTTTCTGGAATATCAACAGGGTGCAAATGTACTCAAAAACACAATTTCACACCAAATACTAAAGCTACTGCAAACTCCTAAATGAGAACAGAAAAATAAAGGAAAACTAGTTAAGGTATAAAGACATAGAAAGGTAAAAGGCTGCAAAGGAGAAATGCTGTAATCACAGAAAATAGACACACCAACTGCAGATACAAAACCTGTTGCAAACACATACATGATATCGCACAAAACCCATGCAAATGGAAAATGTTGCTCGTGGCGAGAAGATTTAAAAAACATTTTAACAAAATCTTTTAACCAAAGCATTTTAAAATGAAAAATTATAAAAAAAACATTTTAAACTAAAATATAACGCTAAAATAAACAAACAAAATATCAATATTTTTTTTCAATATCAATATTTCAATCAGAGAAAGTAAGGGTGGAAAGTGCAAACAAAATACAAAATCACAACTTGTTGTGTAGACATACATGATGACAAGAACCGACAAGAAAAGAGCAAAGAGCAGCAAATAGCAAAACAACCTCATGTCAACAAAAGCTGCAAACTGACACAACATAATGGAGGAGCTCTGTACCACATGGTGGAAAAGATCAACTCATATAGTTCATGATCCTGAGAAGGAAAATTAATGTGACACTCAAAGCGACCAAGGGCTTGATCTTCAGTGGGTCTACACATCTTAAAACAAATGCAAACATGTTTGAACGGGCAGAGCAGATCTTAAAGAAAGGTGCAAAGTGATTTGCATTTGTAATACAGCTTGTGAAAACCTTTATTTGTGTGTGTTCCTTCATCAATATGTAGATCATATTGTAATGACCAAACAACACAAATTTGGGGGTGAAGAATATGCAAATGTATTCATTTACAACTTGCATAGCAATTTTGTAATTCAGGACTGTACTGCGGCGGCAGTTTTTACGTCTTTTTTTTAGCACTACTGAAAGTGAGGTGCATATTACAAAGCAAATATATATATATATATATATATATATATATATATATATATATATATATACACACACATTACAATGCCAGAGGATAGCAACATATTCTGTGTCAATATAGACATAACTTGACAATCAAAAGTAACAATAATAGCATAATAATAATAAAGAAAAAATGTCTATTCAGGCTAGCACATATTATACAGATATGAAAGTGTGTATCTCTTATTTTTCCAAAATGTTAACGTATTTTCACGACCATAAGGCGTACCGCACTAAAAGGCGCACTCTCAGTTATGTGTGCCATTTCTGTATTTAACACACACATAAGGCGCACCGGACTATAGGGCGCGTTTTTTATATACAGGTACATGTCCTCTACTACCTTTAAATACCTCTACTGCGTATTTAAAAATACAGCGGGGGCAAAACTGAGTATGACTGTGCTTTATTCATGTATTTATTACAAAGTATTAATCAAACCTTGCAGCTGGCCGTGAGACAGACACATCGCAGATGACACAGCGCTGTGGTCACTCCTAAATTAACTTAAAATCCTGAAACCTGCCGACGGAATATGTTCGCTTTTATTACCGGTATCCTGGTGCCTGCAGTTTAAATTATTTAGATGAAAAACACCTGCCAGCAGCCGCGGTGAACCTGGAGGCTGCCCAGCCTAGAGGCTGCTGTTGAAGGGATTTCTACTGTCGGTGCACCGCTGGTATGTGGGGGTCTGAGCGCCTCCGACAGAAATAGATAATCTGGATGAACTGACTGCAATTATGAAGTTTTCAGGTGGACTTTCTCACTTAAAAACATATTAAAACTACTTTATTCCCACTGATCACAGCAAATATAGCTGCAAGATTTAGATTATTTAGATGAAAAAACACCTGCCAGCCACCGCGCTGAAGAGGAGGAGACCCGCCCAGAGGCTGCTGTTGAATTAAGTTTTCAGGTAGAAAAATAGAGCGGGAGCAAAACTGAGTATGATTGTGCTTTATTCATGTATTTATTACAAAGTATTAATCAAACCCATCAAAGTTATCCTCCTCTGTTTCTGAATTAAACAGCTGCTCTAAATCAGACATGCCAATTTCCCCTTCTTCACTGTCAGAATCACTTTCCGTGCAGCGCAGCTCCTCAGCTTTTGCAAAAGCTTGAACAACAGAGCCAGCAGACACGTTAGTCCAAGCATCTACAATCCATCCGCAAACTGTGGCGTAACTTGCCCGGCGCTGCCTTCCACTTATCCTGAAACTGTGGTCTCCGTCTGTCATCCATCGCTCCCACGCCGCGCGCAGCCTTACTTTGAACGACCGCTTCACACCGATGTCGGGCGGTTGGAGTTCCTTTGTCAGACCCCCCGGGATAACGGCGAGCACAGCGTTCATTGATTCACCTTTTTTTTCACATCAGCTGTGAGATGGGCACGCAGCGATGGTGATGCGTGGAAAAAAACACCTGGTCTCCTCACATACACCTCCCTCAGCCACGCTTTCATCATCTCCTCATCCATCCAGCCTTTTTCATTTGCGTTAATATCATATGTCATCAGAGCGCTGTGTCTGTCTCGCTGTCAGCTCCCAGATCAGCTTCTCTGATTGGTTGATGCGGCGCTTCCAGCAGCAAAACTTCAATTTTTCCATCTCGAGCAGCAGCAGCGCGTTGGCGGTGCGTCAGATGCTTAAACGCTCCCGACGTGCTGCACCTGCGGCTCAAAACGCGCTGCGAGACCTTTTGCTGCACCTATACGCGCGTCAACCATTGACTTTGCATGTAAACTCGCTGCTTCTGCTGCACCTGCTGGGTCCGGTTCACACCGATGTCGAGCGGTTGAACAGCGAGCACAGGGTTAATTTGTTTCCCCATGTTTTTCACATCAGCTGTGAGATGGGCACGCATGGAGTTACAGATTAATGGTGATGGTGATGAGTGGAAAAAAAACACCTGGTCTCCTTACATTCAGCCACTCTTTCATCATCTCCTCAATGAGGTGGTCTCAAAAGTCGCAGTTACAACACACATAGGGCGCACCGCACCATAGGGCGCACCGCACATTTTGAGGGGAAAAAAAGACGTTTAAGTGCGCCTTATAGTCGTGAAAATACAGTAATAAAACATGACCATGCATGAAGCAGTGTTATTTGTCTTTTACTTCCATCTCAATCATAATTACCTCCACATCATCTTTCTTTTACGGCCAATCTGAAACTGTTAGTCGGACACACAATTTGCTCATTTTAATGGGGGAACCAAATCAGTTTTCACCTTTTAACAATTGGGCAGCAATGTTTGAAGATCACCCGCAACAAGCCCACCTATTGCAAGTCCTAATAAAGATATTTCATCATTTTTTGTGCCAAGTGGGAATTTATTTGTTAATATAACAGATCTGGTCTTAATTCATAGTAAGGTTTATGCTCTGGTCCCATATAAGGTGATTATGGTCTCCCCCAAGTAGTGGGAATCATTTCCATTATGCAGAGCTAGTTTGCAGCTTTTTTGTTTGTTTTTTTTTTTACTTGCAGCTGTTTTTTTCCCCCTAGTTTTTTTTCTTTTTTTAGTTGCAGCTGTTTTTTTTTCCTAGTTGCAGCATTTTACCTTTGCATGAATGTGTTTGTGTGTTAGCATCTCTTATGTGTTTGCAGCACATTTGCACTATGCTGTTCTCTCTTTCTGTGATTGCAGCACGTTTGATTTTTGTATGTTTGGCTTGTTTGCATGTTAGCCTCAATTTTTAGTTTGCTAGTCTCATTTCATGTTTCTATAATGGCGAAAAACATGGACATGCCTCAAGGTTGGTAACTTTCAGTTATTTACGGATGCAGCAAAAATACACCTTATTTTGCCATAAATGTATTGATAAAAATATGTGCTAATTTTGTAAGTCTGCACATTTAGTTTATTAAGGTATTTTTATTAACTCATGAAGGACTTCAGTTTTGGATTGTAAGTAGCTGTAAGCCATGATCATAGAAATTGACTTAAATAAAAACCAAAACTACATTTATGAATGTTAGAATCCATATATCTATCATGTGAATTTGCTGCTTGATAATGAATTATATTTGATTGTTCATATGATTTACATTGCTCTATATTGACATCAGAGAGTGCATCAGAAACCAGTAGGCGTCACAGGTGCAGGTGTTATACTTTTTCTTTTGATGCTTTATAAGAATTTAATCATTTTTTAAGAAGGAGGTTCCTTGAGATTTTAAAATCTTTTTCAAGAGCTTTTTAGCCAAGAATACATATAGATATGTAATGCATGATATTTAGAACAAAACCATCACAATTAGATGAACTGCCATTACCTACCTGACCATGAAACTGATTGAGATAACTCAAAATATGCTCCTGAATCTCATCTTCAGGCTTATTCTGTAAAATAAAAAAATACATTTATTAAAAATATAAAATATCCTTCTAGTTAGACATGCATAACTACAGCCTAAAGAATTACCAATGAACTAAGGACATTCTAAGGACAGGAGAGCATAATAACACCACATTTGAGACTGACCTGAGAGAAGCAGCTTTTAGCCAACATGATAAGGCTCTGGTCAAAAGGAAAACAAACTCTGAGTCCCACAGGAACAAGCCTCTTCATGGCAGCGACTATGAGAGATGTGTGTGCAGAATAGCGATCCTCCTTTCTCTTCATCCTTCTCTTTTTATGCTTAAACTAACAATCATGCCCAGAAAATTCAAAACTTTCACTTTTGCACTGAAATATACAACTAGTAATAGACTATTAGTATTTCACATAATTGCATGCATAAACAGAGGGTCTTATAATTGTAGCTGACCTCCATTCTGTTGTCGCTGGAAAACAAGAAAGCTAAGTTGTTGATTTGATTCTGGACCACATAACTCTGTTCTTCCCATTTGAAATGCTGTTATAGAAAAATCAAAGATGAGAACGATAAGCAATATTTATGAGGTACAGGATTCTCATGTAACATATCTGATATGGCAGAAGTCTAAAAAAAGCTGTGTGTCTTTCCTACATGAGATTTGGCCCAGAATACAAAGACCTCTGCCACCATGCTGAACAGCTGCTCAGCCTCAGGGATCGTCTCTTTCAGCCATCTGGCTCTAAAACGAGACCAACCAAAATGCATTAACATCACAGAAGTTATTCCTGTAAAGCTGAGCATAGCCTAAAACAATAATTTGTACTGTGGTTTAAGAAATTATGTCTTTTTATATATCAATCACAAACAATTAATCAATGGCTTTTTTAAACAAAAACTCTGCAATGGATTAGCAAACTAATTTGAAAAGGTTTTTGTGTTAGATGCATGATTATAACTACTATAAATGCTTAAGTCTTTCTTGACAAGATTAGTTTATACACACTTGAACTTTTTTTTATCTTAAACGCTTACCGATTAAAATCAACGAACTGGATGAGGAGAGGATAGAAGGCATACAGGTCCTGAACCAGAACTCTGTATTTCTCTTGTATCTGCAGCTCTGCTTCAGAACTGCTGCAGTCTTCCGCTTTCAGTTGCTCCTCTTCTAGTTGGACACACTCTGTCCTTTTTCTGAGCTTCTCCATCAAGGGCAGAAAGTGACTTTTTAACAGCTCGCTGTGGGCTTTGCAGATGATTGGCAGAGAAAAAACTAAAAGAAGAGACACCTGTCAACAGCAGGAACCAGTGTTTTGGGGACAGGTCTCATATGGTGTCAATATACCTGCAAGCTGTTTTATCCAGTCCCCCTGGCTAGCACCCACATGATTGTGGATAATGCGCAGAATGTAACCAATCAGGTCGCTCGCATGGTGAGGAACAACAGACGTGAAAACTGGGCTTTCGTGGTGGCCATCAGAGCCCCCCCGACACCAGTGTGAAACATAGCTGCACAGCATGGGCAAAATGACCTCTGCAACATGAATGTATTGCATCTGATGAGCTCCAGCTCCAGCACCTGCCAGCTCCTCCACTTTCCCCAGTGCAATTTCCAATGAAGGAAGAGGGTGACACATGTCCTCCACCTGATCTGGTAGTCCCTGATCTAAATGAGGAAGGAGTTTTTTTAATAGGGATGAAGATCAAGCACACATATATGAACAAGAATAATCATAGTTTACCTTTAATCTCTGTATGACTCATGGTATTATAGATAGAATGTGGATTGTTGTGGTTCAGAGTTGGCTCCAGGAAGCAGACAGGAAAAGCAGCAGTTAGAGCTGCTAGACATGCACCCGCTGCTAACCTCTGACTATATATAAAAGCACAGAAAGACAAAACATTTATTACAAAACCTGACTAAAGCATTTGTACCGATTTTAATTACGATCCTTTAGTCACATTACAAATACGAATCTCAATTTCCAACCAAACTGTGGAATGCTCTACCACTTTACCTGTGCTTGGGTAACTCCATTTATTATTTAAAAAAACAACAAAAAATATTCTTTTTTAATCAAATATTTTAGACAAATTTTATCAAGTGCTGCTTTGATTGTATTTATTTTGTCTATATGTATTTTGTATGGTGCTGCTTTGTATTTTATGCCTCATATTGTACAGAACTTTGTTACACTTGTCTGAGAAAGTTGCTATATAATAAAATCTTACTTAATTTATGAACTGCACTTTTTTGTACATTCTTTATAAAATTACTCAGCCTTTGTTAAATTTAAGAAGAGAACCTACGAATACCTATTTTATATTCTTGCAGCATGCCTGAACTGTACTTAGTGTTGTGTAGCTTAAGGCAACATAAAAACCTAACACATTGATATAATTTGATCTTAATCAGTTAAGCTCTAGTTGTATACATTTAGGGTTGTTTTTCTGCTGTAAAACAAACCCTCGCCCCAGGCTCGTCTTTTACAGCCTCCAGCAGTTTATGTTTTTTTTTTTTTTTTTTTTTCAGAACTGGCCGGTATTTAAGGTTGCAAACTATATAAAAGGTAAGTTACATCTATATACAATCTACATCCATTTTCCTATTAACCTTGAATGCTTTAACACAGCATGGTACCCCCAGCACCATGTTTTAGTATAATGATGACCTGTTTGAGTTAACTTTGTATTGACATACTGTCTGGATTATGTTATAGTGGAATCATGCCTTGATTGCTCAAACCTTGGGATATTGTTTAATAAAAGCGTCTCTACAATTGCTTTACCAGCCTTCTTTTGTCCACATTATGTTTATTCCCCCTTTTTTTTTTCTATTAACCCTAGGGGGATGTAAAAGTATACAGAATCACAGTTTGGTATATAATAAGCTTTTGAAGTCATGAGTTGGTATATTTTTGGTCCACTTCATATAAGATGAACTAAAAAGGAAAATTAAATATTTGGTCAGATGGAGACAAATGAGCATTTTTTTCTGAAAACAATTAGAATTTAAGATATTCTATATACTTAAACAGGTAGAAAGTGTATAAATTACTGGCAGAGTGTAGAGAATATACCATAAGGAGACCTATAGTAGCTAAATGGAGAGAGAGATTAAACAGGAAAATTAAGCCTTGGAAATTGACATTGTTAATGTTGGTAAAAAAAAAAAAAATGAAAAGGACTGTCCCCATATTTGAGAATAAAACATGTTTAAATCAATTTGGAGTTGCTTTGACCGTCAGAATACCTAGTGTAAGAGCTGTAACTGAATGCAGCACAGCAGCTATTTGAAAATTTCTCTCACATCAATGGGAATTGTTTTGACTTGCAATTTAAATGGAGTTAGGATTGAATGCTATAGGTATCCATATGATCTCTCCTCAGTATCTGTGATGTTTACTTTTGGCATGATGTTTTAGGAAAGTAATTATGAGGTGCCCCCAGGGACATAAATCAGAATTAACTTGCATATACACATATTAAATTACACTCTTCCATATAATATACTGAAAACCTCACACAAACACTAGTAAAAAGCTCTCACATAAACTAGTGAAAACATTTACATCTTATATAATCTACTTAAAAGCTCTCATACAAAGTAGTGAGAACTGTTCATATAAACTGGTGAAAAGCTTTACCTTTCATACACACTACTAGAAAGCTTTCATATACACTATTAAAAAGCTCTCATATACACTATTAGAACGCTCTCATATACAGTATTAGAATGCTCTCATACACTATTAGAACGCTCTTATATACACTATTAGAACGCTCTCATATACACTATTAGAAAGCTCTCATATACACTATTAGAACGCTCTCATATACACTATTAGAAAGCTCTCATAAACACTATTAGAACGCTCTCATATACACTATTAGAACGCTCTCATATACACTATTAGAACGCTCTCATATACACTATTAGAAAGCTCTCATATACACTACTAGAACGCTCTCATAAACACTATTAGAACGCTCTCATATACACTATTAGAAAGCTCTCATATACACTATTAGAACGCTCTCATAAACACTATTAGAACGCTCTCATAAACACTATTAGAACACTCTCATATACACTATTAGAACGCTCTCATAAACACTATTAGAACGCTAAAATATATGGTCCCCCTCCTTTAATTTAGGCAAACATTGCTCAAATATCACCGAATCCAGATGGTTTGTTGTTGATGAAGAGAGGAATAAACACAGTTTAAGATTTGCAGCTAAATTAATTTGTTTCCATATTATGGAACTGCTATCAGGCACTTCCCATCATCTTATATCAGTAATAAAAAATTATAAATACAAATTTGGTATTCGGTGACTTGACTTTTATTTCTGTCAGGCTGAAGTGAAAAAACTTGGAAAGAGACTGATTCTCTTGGCGTTTAAAATAACAACACAAAACAGCATAAGAAAACCGCATTTATTTTTTTTTTTTTACAATTTTGTAAACAACAGCGGCTGATTAAACTAAATGTCTCAACCTTGTATAATTTTACGACTTTTTATTTAACCAAGAAATGATCCGAAAGGCCTGGGAAATGATCAGATCCGCTTATGTGGCTGCAATGCGCGGCGCGCTCCCGACACAGGTGGAACAGATTTTCACATGGGAACAGAATTTCGCACAACACCGGAAAAGGATCTCTGTTGAAGCAAAAACATAAAAAATAAAGTCGAGTAATGCCCATGCTTCTGTGAGTTGTTTAGCGGATAGCTGAGCATGAATCAATAATTTTATTTGATACAATTTCGGCCGGAGATAGCACAAAATGTACGGAGCTAGCCAGAATGACCTCCGTTTAAAACAACTTCCTGTGTAATGACGGTCCTTCCTGTTTCACTGAAACACCTTCCGTTTCAACTGAAACACCTTCCGTTTCAACTGAAATCCGCTAATAGCTTTTCAGTAGTGTGTATGAGAGCTTTCTAGTAGTGTATATGAGAGCTTTCTAGTAGCGTGTATGAGAGCTTTCTAGTAGCGTGTATGAGAGCTTTCTAATAGTGTATATGAGAGCTTTCTAATAGTGTATATGAGAGCGTTCTAATAGTGTTTATGAGAGCGTTCTAATACTGTATATGAGAGCGTTCTAATAGTGTATATGAGAGCATTCTAATAGTGTTTATGAGAGCTTTCTAATAGTGTATATGAGAGCGTTCTAATAGTGTATATGAGAGCTTTCTAATAGTGTATATGAGAGCGTTCTAATAGTGTTTATGAGAGCATTCTAATACTGTATATGAGAGCGTTCTAATAGTGTATATGAGAGCATTCTAATAGTGTTTATGAGAGCTTTCTAATAGTGTATATGAGAGCGTTCTAATAGTGTTTATGAGAGCGTTCTAATAGTGTATATGAGAGCGTTCTAATAGTGTATATGAGAGCATTCTAATAGTGTTTATGAGAGCTTTCTAATAGTGTATATGAGAGCGTTCTAATAGTGTATATGAGAGCATTCTAATAGTGTTTATGAGAGCTTTCTAATAGTGTATATGAGAGCGTTCTAACAGTGTTTATGAGAGCGTTCTAATAGTGTTTATGAGAGCGTTCTAATAGTGTATATGAGAGCGTTCTAATAGTGTTTATGAGAGCTTTCTAATAGTGTATATGAGAGCGTTCTAATAGTGTATATGAGAGCATTCTAAAAGTGTATATGAGAGCTTTCTAGTAGCGTGTATGAGAGCTTTCTAATAGTGTATATGAGAGCGTTCTAATAGTGTTTATGAGAGCGTTCTAATAGTGTTTATGAGAGCGTTCTAATAGTGTTTATGAGAGCTTTCTAATAGTGTATATGAGAGCGTTCTAATACTGTATATGAGAGCGTTCTAATAGTGTATATGAGAGCGTTCTAATAGTGTATATGAGAGCTTTCTAATAGTGTATATGAGAGCGTTCTAATAGTGTATATGAGAGCTTTTTAATAGTGTATATGAAAGCTTTCTAGTAGTGTGTATGAAAGGTAAAGCTTTTCACCAGTTTATATGAACAGTTCTCACTACTTTGTATGAGAGCTTTTAAGTAGATTATATAAGAGGTAAATGTTTTCACTAGTTTATGTGAGAGCTTTTTACTAGTGTTTGTGTGAGGTTTTCAGTATATTATATGGAAGAGTGTAATTTAATATGTGTATATGCAAGTTAATTCTGATTTATGTCCCTGGGGGCACCTCATAAGTAATCCAGTAAATTGCAGAGAATTATTTAGCTTGCAGCTGTTAAAAGATATAGACTCTGACAAACTTTTGGTTTGGTCTACCTCTCTCCACTACTACATTAAAACCCTAAATGGCAGAGTTTGATGATAGCTTGAAACTTTAGGCATATATTTTGAAATGAGTGTTGTTACTAATTGTATAATGCAGCGACTTTTAAGGGCAACTGATTGCATGCAGAAAGATTTTAGAGATATCAGAATAAGAGGTACAAAATACATATGAATGCCAAACTTTTCTAATTATTTCCCGCCAAAAATTGTGAAACTTTTAAACCTCTTTTACTTGTGGTTACACAATACTTTGTGTTGGTGAATAACAAAATAACCTGAAAAATACCTTGAAGTTTGTGATTAGAATGTAGTGAAATGATCATATCTAAGACTTAACATTTTTGAAAAGCTCCTCGTATGAAAAAAATATAACAATGGAAAAAACATGAAATGTAAACAAGATGAACAGTACCCCTCCATGTAGATGCTGTTACTGGTCCCCAGAGAGTAAAGACTGTTTAAAATCTTATAACATGACACCTGGATACCACCAACTGCAAAGACAAACATTAATGTTTAAAACTCAGAAACCTCTTTTGAGAAGCTGCAAGAAAAACTAAGGTGATGCAATTAATGATTTTTTTTTTACATTTTAAATGTTACAAAAAAAGGAAAATATGTTCCTACAACTCCCTGCACATAACAAAAACTTACATTAGTACTACTAATAACTGCTTTTAATAAACAAGTAGAGAAAGTCTGTGTTTTTGACTAGAAATGATAATTACTGTACTGAAAAGAATATTTTTCATTACCTAGAACATCCACTCCATGGTTTTGATTGCCGATATGATGGAAGAGTGATGTAAGTGTTGGGATCAAAATGGAGGTAGTGTAGTTAAGGACACTGACAACAGCTCTTGACAACTGACCCCTGCTCTGAGGCAAGGTCTCTGATATTTTTTCCACAGTCATTTCCAAATCTGCTGCTGCTGCTTCAAAAAATGAATGCAGAGAACTCTGTATGGACTCTGAAGCTGATGCCATCAATATTCTAGATGCAGAGAAAGGAGAAAAGTATATCAAAGGAAAGCTAAGTGTCATATCTAATATTTAATCTTAATGCACTCTAAACAAAAATGGTCCGGCACATTTAAATCGAATATCTTATGTAAGACAGCTGTATTTCAGAAATTCATTAAAAACTATGAAATCACCCAGTATATGGATGCATTTCAGTCATAAACATACTTTAGGTCTTTAAATTCTATATCTGTGGCTTGCAGCTTATTAAAATCCAAAATTCAGTTGGTCAAACAATTTAAATACTTATTTAATTACAGATTTGTTGTGCTATGACCCTATTATGGACTGCACACTCACAATTGTTTAGCACATATTCACAGAGACATTTAGTAAGGAGGTTAAGCCTCATGATATCACAAGTAAGGCAGCTGGCTGTTTGTGGGTTGTAACCAAACATGGTAATGGAAAGTTAGGTGGAGGAAAAAAGAGTGAAAAAAAAAATGCATGACACCCAGTATAATGAAAGCTTTATGTGTAACTTTTAAAGCCAAGCGGCTCCCTTAAAGGGGAACGCCGTTTTTTTTTTTAAATTGGGCCCTTGATTTTACGTTATTACATCAAGTTCTACTCACCCATATGAGTTTTGTTTCATTTGGAGCTGTTCTGAAGATATTCCGTTAGGTTAAATCCAAGTAACATCTTCCTATGGGCAAGGAGTTGAAGGCACAGACTAAACTGTTCATAATTTATTCTTTATGGTACGCCAGCATTCATAACAGGTAGGCGAATCACTGTCTCCCAGACATCCACGGTTATATTTTTTATATAATGCAATGACAGATGGAATAGGTTGGAGCCCCTGATTATTTTGTCATATTTTCATAAAAGTTCTGCTTTAAAATACGCTGCTATATAATACACATCTATATAATAAAGAAGTTCCACCAATTAGAGAGATACACCTCAATATTTTGAAAATGACAGATGACTAACATTTTAAGCTGAGATCCCTCATGCTTGTTAAGTGAAATACTTATAGAGCTGTAAAGAAATTAATCAGCCTTTATGGCAACAACCTGTGATGAACAAATGTTCCAATGAAATGATTTAAAATTGTTGACTGCAGGCAATAAAAGTGATATCTACCACAACCAGATAACATCAGTGTATTTCTGGCTCAATTACACCATACATCTTAGCCTCAGACATGGTAGTGCAATACTGATAAAACTGAAGGCAGAACAGGATAAATTTAAGGCAATGTGACATTAGTGCCATCTAGCTACCTTGCATCAAGAGCCTGAGCCAGGATGCTTAGACAGCTTGTGATGGCAGAAGCTTCATCTCCTGGTAAGACATAAAGCACTGCTGGTTTCAAATCATGTCAAAATAAGGCACTTTATGAATGCAAATTCAGTGACAAAAACACATGAAGATATATAAACTAAAGAGCCCCATACAAAAGTCAGTGCCTTCTTCTTGACAGCCTGTCAAGAAGAAGGCATTAGAATACAAGAGTATATCAAGCACAGAGAAAACATAGTGAGGCAAATAATTGTTTCAACAAGTGTTGTTTCTTACCAATTAGGGAGAGTCTGTGTCGTACCAAAGCAGAAAGCTTACAGAAGAGACTGGATTTAAGAAAAAACAATTAAGTGAAAGAGTGACAAGCTACAAGATAACAGCATATGTACACTACTGTATAATAATGCCCTATAAAACTGGAAGAAATTATATTAAATATGAATTTCTTTTCCCCATGGTTTTTAGATACAAGTTATGCATACCACAAAAGCATCTCTTTTTCCTTTTTCGAGGCATGACTTCTGTTATCGTTTGAGTTCAGAGAAGTGGACAAGAAATATAGGTGATGGTTTTTTACGTACTGCTCCAATAGAGGAAGAACAACCTGAGAACATAAAGAATAACCACAAATGCTCTCATTTTTTACAAAAAACATTATAAAAAAATCAATAGTTTTGATTAATTGCCCAGCTATTTTAACAAACACATTATAATAAAATGACAGATCAACAATTTTAGTGATTGTTAAACAAAAACTGGTTGCATAAGCTTTAGTGTATTGTAGATTTTTTTGTAAACTGTAAAGAGTCAGATATACTTACAGGCTTAGAGCAAGCAGAGACACCACAGCTGTTGTTTAATCATAATTATGTTGTTAGTCATAATTCTGTCTGGATCATTTACAGAATTGGTTGAGCTAGAAAGAAATACAAATTTGCCAAATTGTGTTGGGAATGACATCAAGGCCATCCAGAACTCTACTATTGGACTGTATGAAACGTGGTTTGATGTCATTTTGACATAATTGCTGTGTTGGAAGATCAGAATGTGTCCAATACACAGCAATCTAGCTACCGTTTGGTTACAGTATGTCAAAACACAATTTGTGTCATTAAAGGGCTAAATAGCATAATGTTTGTCTTATTGTTAAACTTATTCATGGGAATAGACAGAAACATCTGGTGAAATCTTTGTTTGACCGCATGCTCTGAGCCTTTGATAATTTCTAGATTTGCAGATTTACTGTAGATAAGTAGATCAGCAAGGAAATCCAAAAGACATGTAACAGAAGATAGCGATGAGAAAATTAAACGCAAAAACATCACAATCCCTTATGTTGCTGGAGTGTCTGAAAAGCTCGAGAGGATTTTCTACAAGCACAAAATCCCACATTTCAAGCCAAATCAAACCCTTAAACGGAGGCTAGCGCATCCTAAAGATAAAACTCTGTAATACCTCTTTAACAATAGTTAAATGCTATGAAATCTACTTTTATTGATATCTACAAATCCTGATAGTGAGAGTGATGAGAAATCCAGTCAGAATTATACCTTGTTAAACTTTTGTTAAACGTTCTAGAAGTGTGTCAGCCCCAACATTTTGCTTCAAAATATCTCTGGAATCCAAAAGTAACCTTGACAAAGTATTGAGATCATCTACTGTGCAGTACAGGGGTATAGACGTGACCCTGTGTGGGGCTAAGAAGATCCAGAACAAATATAACATATGACCATTTTGACAGCTTCCTGTTTCATAAACAAACAAATACTCATCCTTTCATCCTCAATCTTAGGTACTCTTTGTGCCTGTCCCACACATTTCTTTTACTTCGGTTCTTCTGTATGTTTCTATGTGTTATGTTTTGTTTTATGGCTTTGTTGTAAAGCACTTTGGGTACCATTTGGCTATTGTAAAGGGCTATACAAATAAACTTGATTGAACTTGATTGACTCCGGTTCTTCAGTCACGTATGATGATGTGTTGTTTTTTGTTTTTGTTTTTTTACTATGGACGTTTTTCACATTATACTTTTGTTTTTGGTGATTATTTTAGTTGAAGGCTCAGCGGTACCTTATTCTAATGCTCCTTTGCTACAGGGTAGAAGGCAGGATGGCATGTTTATCTGTATTACAGAGATACCTTCTCCACCACAAACCAGAACCCAGTGAATGAAGGTTAGTAAAGAGAAATACGTCATGCTGACATTGCACACATGTGCAATGGAGATTATTTTACTCCAAACAACTGAACAGGTGTTTATTTTGAAGTTAATGGGAATGCCAATCGGAAAAAAACACCTCTCTCAATTGAAAGGAAATTTATTTCCCAAAAGACCGAATCGGATTAGAATCTTCAGTCTGACATGTTTATTGGAAACATTGTGATCTGATGAGGGCTTTAATCTGATTACTGGTGCCCATGTAAACATAGCTAAAGAAGGGTAGACTTCTGACCTTCCTTTTAGAAAAATTGGCTTTGTTGGTCACATATTTATTTTTTTGACATGTGAAAGAATGTATACATTTTTATCTGTTCAATATTCTCACTATATTGGGAAAAAAAACTAGTGAAATGTGAAGATGCTCATTTTTTATTCTAGCTGCATACTACTTCAACATATTGAGCATTATAGTTGCCCAATAATTGTCTACAGAGAGATATTTTCCAAGGAAATTCAAAACCTTACTTACTAACTTCCTAAGTATTCAGATATATTCATATCTGAGTTTTATAAACATCTATGTTTAAACATAAAATCTGCCTTATAATTGGCTACACAGTGTATTAATGTATTGTTCTGATTTGAAAAAAAACCTACATTGTCTTGTTAAGAGAAACAAACCTAATGCCATATTTACCAACCTTAAGCTATATTTGGAGCATTTGCAAACACTAACCAACTGCAATCAAACTCACTGATTATTACAGGAATTTCAGGAAATTATGAGCTAGGTAATACAGTATGTGTAGCTTGTTTATTATTATAACCCAATATGATTAAACACTTTAAAACCTGCAAGCAAGGACAGACAGTTGATTAAATAATGATCTATTTAATACATGTAAATTTATCAAGTAGCTCCTAATTTACTGCTTTATAGGTATTCCCTGCATGTGTGAGTGCTGAAAACTTCTCAACAGACAGACGGATATAATTAGACCTACATGCCAGCCTGCTTGCATGCGTGTAAGAGGAAGGTTCGGAGTAAGAATGAGAAGCATCACTATTCACAATCTTGCCTTACTGGGTCTGACTCAGGGGTCCCAACAATGAAAAATAAACCCATTTCCCTGCTGCCTCCTTGGAGGCAGAGCAGCGTGGGAGGCTTTAATCTATGTCCTGATGGCAATCGAAACGCCCACATGGATTTCCAAAATGGCTAAACAAATTACACAGCCACAAAGGGTTTGGCTTACTGGGGTTGCCCATGGCAACCATCTAACAAAACTAATTAGATGTCATAAGTGAAATTAGAAAAAAAAAGGCTAATAGGGACAAATAAAAGGCTGTTGGAAAAATTTAATTGAGAATGGACTAATTCACTACCAGAGGTTCTTATAGCATTGATAAAAATCAGCAGTGTTTGTGCAATTGAAATAGGGCAAACCTTTTGAAAAAAGATTATCGGCTGCTGATCCTGAGCCCTTTCCCCCTTAGACATCTGTCCTCTGGCTTGAATCACCTCTGCAAATAAACACAGCAGGATTAATTAATCTGAAAAATCCAACCAAAACATTCCTATTCCAGAAAAAAGGAGGACAAGTAAACAATACAAAGCAGACCTTTTTGAGTCACCTCCCATTTCCTTATACTTTAATATGATTTCCAAGAAGACAGACTTTTTCTTAATAATTTCAAATCACCTTAATGAATATCTGGAAGTATTATAAATCATAATTAAGGAAAAGTACTTTTTGTATAACCTCTGACTAAAAGAAGCAGATTGAATACAACTGAATGTGATCATCGCTGTCCTTCCCCAATCATATGTATGCAACACTATGTTTAAGGCAGGAATATAAGGCCATGCTGTCAATATAAGCACTGTGCATTTCGGCATTACATTCAGAGATCATATCAAGACTGCTAAACTCACACATTTGATCCAATGGACTAAAATAAATAAAGAAAACTAAATTTTTTTCTGAAATTTTTTTTTCAAATTTAAGTATTGACGTATAACCCACAAATATCTTACCGAAATATATACTAATATAGCAGACTGTCAGCTGATGAGTCAGGTGCTTAAAGCTACTGTAGTTATTACAAGATTAGTACCACACCAGATAGCATTTTCCATGCTGATTTTTCTGTACAAAAGTAACAAGATGTTTTTTAGGCAATTTTTGTTGTTTGGCTATTCTAAAGATTTTCTAATGCCAAATATAATGTAGTGTTCATTTATTGTATAATTTTGAATGGAAGAATGAAGAAAAGTCAATGCGTATATTAAGATATAATAATTTGTCCAACTGCCCCCGACTTACTAGAAAGTCTAACAGATTTAGTTATGCTCATTAACCTTTTCCATTGGGAAGAGTTTTTCAAAATTCCAAAACTTCTGAGAAAATCTCTGGAAAGTTTTCTGAAATTTTCTTCCAAATTACAACTTCATAGTTTGGCAAAGGAGATACATTTAAAACACAGTTATCAAAGCCATCTTTTTAAAGAAGGAAGGTGCCCCACAATTTATGTTTTTATATTGCATTGCTTATCCCACTTGTATGTAATACTACGTTTACACCGGACGCAGCAAGAGCAGCAAAATCGCGTCTGCTGCTTAATTTTTGCTGCTTGTACCAGTTAGTTCTGACGTGCGGCTGAAGCAGCTTTGCTGCTCTAGCTGCGCGGTGCAAAAGTGTGTCTGACGCGCGTTGGGCGGAGCTTCACTATCCTTTCTCTTCCTTTCAGCTATATTTGCTGTGATCAGTGGGAATAAAGTCGTTTTAATATGTTTTTAAGTGAGAAAATACACCTGAAAACTTCATCAGTGCAGTCAGTTAATCCAGATTACAATCCTGCCTTCCAATGTTATTTCTGTTGCAGCCGCTCAGACCCCCCACATACCAGCGGTGCGCCGACAGTAAGAATCCCTTCAACAGCAGCCTCTGGCCGGGTCGCCTCCTCGCGATTCACCGCGGCGGCTTGTAGGTGTTTTTCATCTAAATAATCCAAACTGCAAGCAGCAGGATAAAAAAAGCTAACATATTCTGCGGGCAGATTTCTGCATTTTAAGTTAATTTATGCGTCAATAAACTGTTTCAGAGGGGTGATCATAGCGCTCTGTATCATCAGTGCTTTGTCTCTCTCCCTGCCAACTCCCAGATCAGCTTCTCTGATTGGTTGATGCGGCGCGTCGAGCAGCAAAAGAAAAATTTTTCCATCTCGAGCAGCGGCGCGTTTGCGGCGCGCCACGCGCGTCAGATGCTGAAACGCGCCTGACGCGTTGCTTCAGCTGCTCAGATGCGCTGCGCCTGCTGCTCAAAACGCGCCGCGGGACCTTTTGCTGCACCTTGACGCACGTCAACCATTGACTTTGCATGTAAACTCGCTGCTTCTGTCGCGCCTGCTGCGTCCGGTGTGAACGCAGCATAACAATTAAAGGACTACTAAACAACTTTAAGTTTTGGTCAATTTTTACTCCCCCCAGTGGACAACATTTCCCACAAGGACCAGTGTGGAAAAGACAATATAGTGGCAAAATCCAGATCTCCCGGTTCCCTGCAGTTGGATTGAACTAGATTTATTTTTCCAATGGCTGTGTGAAAGATAAATAGCATATAAATAATTAATCGGATTAATCGAGATTATTCTATCATTGAAATAATCGTCAACTAATTTAGTAATCAATTAATGGCTAACTGGAGCATAGAGACCCTAAAACATGCCTTAAGCTGACTGAGTAACTGGGGGTTGAAAAGATACTTAGTGTTGTTTTAAACTAGAGGGTTTTTAAAATCCCAAGATAGAGTGTCAGTCCATTATGTCTCAAGGCCATTGCACTTAGACAGCATTTGTCATGACTTTCTCTTCACTGGAACAATGTAATAAAATCTTCAGCTTGTGAGCTACTACGCCATTCATTTTTTTCTCTTTTGTATTGTTTACTGGTGCCCAAATGTAATGTTTCCTACTTAACTCTATCAACCTTTTGCTGTGTACTCTGACTTAATTTTCATTAATTCAGATCTAAATATATTTCTTATCTTTAGGAAGTGAATATAGTCACAAACCAAATACAGCAAAATATTAAAATGAGTTAAAATGATTAAAATTGGTCCTTGAGAGATAATAAAGATTGGATCCACAGAAGAAAACCTTAAAAACAAGAGCTACTTGAACATTAAACAGTAATGTGAGTATTGTTGAAGGAAACATGATCTGATCTGCATACAACAAATGTAGCCTAAGTGATTTAGGGTTCACCTACAATATGTAGTGATTTGAATTGCCCACAAATGTGTGGTATCAAAAAGAATATCCACAAATTACTTGTAGTTTGTTGATGAGTTGTGATTGTTTTGTAAGGTCTTGAAATTTATATGTAAAAATGTGTTACCAAACTTTAGCATGTTCTCTTGAGCCTCCTCAGTGTAATACAGCATCCTTTGGATGAAAATGTGTCCAAAGCAATTTGCAGTTGGAGGGAAGTCCATTTCCATGGCTTTTCGATCCCTATAAGGAATGTGCCAAACATCATTATCCCAAATTTTTCTTATTATTATTTTTTTTATTGGAGTTTTTCAGTAGAAGAAAGAGAAAAGACGTGTGAATTATTAAAGTTAGTAGATTCAAGTTATCCAGGTCATATTTTCCCAGTCATAATCAACCTGGCTGGTACCTACCTCCACACAGTGTAGCCATGGAGCAAAAGGAACTTCAGTATTTCCTGAGCTTTTTGCCTGAACTTGGTCTTCTCCTTGGCAGTCAGAGCATCATATGGCACCAGCATGGAATTACCTCCCGCTGCGAGGGCAAATGTAGTGAAAACATTACAATATTGTAGGCCAGGAGTAAAAGAGATGTAGATGATTTACACCAATGGTACAGTACCTTTCCTTTCAAGTTCCATCTTTTTAGTCTTAGCCCAGGCATTATGGTAGTTTTCAGCCAACTGTTCAGCCATAGCCTAAAGACAACAAGATTATTGTTGTTTAACAGACAACCCTTTTTCCTGCAAAACAAATCAACCCTCCTGGACTTTTTCCAATGTTGTCCAATTATAACTTAAAGTTTAAATGTATTTAAAGTTTAAGTTATAATGCTCGTGATGTTGTTTGTTGACTAACTGACTAACCTGTAAGGTCTTCACAAAACAGATTTGTTTATACTGAAATCTAATCAATTACATTATGGACTTTAAATACCCATTAAGTAACATCTGAAAACATCGTTACCCTTTTTTTTTTTTTTTTGTGGCAGGGTAGTGACTAAATAACTATAGGTACATCACATTTAGATTTCTTGTGTTGTTTTTATAAGCCAAAAATGGTGGTATATATATATATATATATATATATATATATATATAAAATTATAAATATATATTTTTCTCAATAAGTGTTTTTCTAGAGGTAATAATCCATGCAATCCACACATACAAGAAAATCAAACCACTGATGTTCAGAAATTTAATCATGTATGATAATGTAAAATGGCACAGGGAAAAGTACTGATCACGTGTAGAAAATAAGGTGCAAAATCGCATGGAACGCAAAGACACCAGCTGAAATCCTTCAGTAATTAGAGACCAATCCTGCCCCTTGTCAGCTCAAATCAGCTGGTTTAGTCCAAAATGATGGCCTAAAAAAAGTGTCTCTATCGCATAAGAAACATCTAATGATAGGTAAAAGTAAAGAGCTTTTTCGAGACCTTCGCAACCTTAATGATGGCATTAGTTGCAGAAGGATTTCAAAACTTCTGAAAAGAGCAGTTGCAGAAATCCATAGCTCATGTCTGTTGAAAGGGTAACTGGGTGATTCTCTGAATTCGGTGCACTTTTGATCTTGTGATTACTGAAAAAAATGCAACACAAAATTCTGCTTTTGATCATGGTGTCTGATTTAGGACTATTTTAACTTCTGAGAAAATATGTTTTCCCACCTTAGGCATATAATCTCAAAGATTATTCTCAATTTTTTTGTCACATATGTTGTTTTAAATTCAACCCTGTAACGGGACAATTGAATTTCTGTGTTGGTACAATCCCAAAACATATTCAAACCAATTCTTCCAGTGCCTTAGTAATCACTTGTCCCTTATATAAAATAACTAATTATAAGTAGATTTTTTTTTATTGTAAATAATCATTTGTGACTGTCAGGTATGATATGGCCTCTTTATATACCTACAGTCTTCATTAATCACAAAAATATACTTTAACGTAAACACCAGATTAAGTTTTCATATATTTTCTCTTTTGTCCTCTGAACTTTACAGACAGTTCAGCTAGCATTTATCTCATATTTGTTATTATTATCACAAAAAGTCTGAAAATGTATTAAGTAACAGGGTTGAACACATTGTAACAGGGTGGCTCACACTGTAACAGGGTTGAAAGAATCACAAAACATTTAATCACATTTAAATTGAATTTAATGCATTAAAACAAATGAGAAAAGAAACATTTTGGATGTAATATTTAATATTCTTTATAAATGATTTAGATAAACAGTATAGGCTGAATGCTGTAAGCAAAATCTCTCTCTCAAATCCGTTTAACAATGCAACACAATAACAGTGCTAACTTTGTCTACAATTTAATAATCAGAACATTTTCTTTTTGTAAGAAGAAGAAGAACAAACATGAAACTGATCTTACATCACTGACAGTTCCGGTTTTCACTTCTTAAGAGGACAGATGTGACCAGGCACAAGCATTTCATTGTAAGTAGCCTTGACAACTCTGAGGAACACTGAAGTGACAGACAAAACTGTGAGCGATGTAAGATCAGTTTCAAGTTTGTCTTACAAAAAGAAATTATCCTGACAAGTATCAATGTAAAATTACTCATCAGGAGAGTAATAACACAGTTACACTCTTAACAAGAAACATTACTATTTTTAAAATCATACATTGAACTCATATTTGATGAACAAAGTCAAAAAAGCAAACTCATGTTTGTTGAACAAATCTCATCTGTTGTAACAACAGATCTGATGAGAAAAGAGTAGCACCCAAGAAAATTCCTCCAATTCTTTCATCTTTCAATCAGTCTTTTCCAGATCTCTTTCTCAATTTGCATGTGTCGCGAATCACGCCCTGTCACAGGCTGAGGAGCTGGAATGAGCTCAAGTACGTCATCAAACGGATACCACAGTACATCCTCCTGAAGAGGCCAAAAGTACCTGTTTTTGGTTTTTCCAGCATGGTGCATGCATTTAACTTGTACATCTGTTTCATCTGTGGCAAGGATCACTCCTGGATAGAATGCTTTGTCATAAGTGAGCACACACCACTCTCCAATTAGCCTTGGGTCATCCCAATTGATTTGTTCCCGCTCTTGTGGCACAGTAGCTGGGACGTTCCTGACAAGGCTGACATGCTTTGTGTTCCAGCATTCACATTTCAGCTTTCCATAAGTGGAGCACATGCAGCTGACATCTCGTGATGTTATCTCTCCACTCGCAACAGTGACCACCTGATGGATGCGCATGGTTCCTGGGACTGGTGGAATGTTGGGCGTCATCCTTTGCAGCGCCTCCTCAACAGCTTCTTCTTCAATAAAATACAATTTGATTGAAGTGTCTGTCTCGGAGAGGGCCTTGAAGAGCTCATGTGCATCTTTGATGTCTCGGCCATGGCTGATGAGGTTGTCTGCTGATCTCTTTAAGGCAGCACCAACACCATCTGGTGCTCCTTTACCATGACTGGACTCAAAAAAATTCCAGGTCCCTTTAAGTCCTCTTTTGTGAAGCTCTGTACTGAAGAGAAAAAAGTTTCCCTTTTGCCTGTACTGTGTACAGGGGCCATCACTAAAGAAGTGCACAACACACACTTCTGGGTGTGAAGTCTGCACATAGTCCAGTGCAGGTTTCAAATGTTCCCATATGGCAGCTGGGCTCTTGTGTTTTGATGGTGAGATGGAGGAAAAGCAAGTTGGTTCTTGGGTTCCACCGACATAGATGACCCCTGTGTGAAGAGTGGCCTGTTGGTGTGATGATCCAAAGTGCACTGACTGTATTTCAGTGCTGTATTTACAAGCAAAGTTTTCAGAAAAGTCAATGTGAATAAGGCACTCATCATTGCCCATGCAGTTGCGCAGTTGACGGTAGTAGGCATACTGCTGCCTGATATTGAAGAAATGCCTCTTAAACTTAGTGAGATATGTGTGGAACTTTTCTACAAGGTCCTCCTGACTGCTCTCAATAGTTTTTTTTACAGTTATTTTTGTGACTGAGCTCTCTTTGTCACTGGATTTTGTCTTGTCTTCTGTTGCCCACTGCATATATGTCACCTTCTCTGCACTATTATATGAGCTTGAGAGGGGAACGATTCTGTTCTTGCATTCTTCACACTCTCCATACATGCAAGCTTTGCTCCCAATGTTGCAACAGATGAATTCTGTGAGGCTCTCCAAATTTGAAGTTCCAATTATCTTAAGCTGATAAAGCTTGTCAGCCAGAAAGCCCAGGTTTTCATGTAACCTGCACTGGCATGTGTCACGGTCTGAGAGGGAGGGGTGGACAACCCAAAAGGGTCGCAGCCGGCTAAATGAGGCATAGGAAATGTGACTGGTGTTGTTTTCTACCAGAAACCTCCTGTGAAGGTTTTTCATAGTGTCAACAAGGAATCTTTTTTGCATTTTAATTTTCTTCTTTGTTATGGTTTGCTTTTTCCCTGTCGTCATCCGACTCACATCATCTCTTGTGAAGAATGTCTTCACCTTGCTCACCAGGGATTTATCAGTGTACCTGTTATAAGTTTGTCTCATGAAGTTAGTACTCAGGTCTTCATTTTCACACAAGGTCCTACGCTTCCTTGAAAAGCCCAGTATTTTCTCAGACCAACTCTGCAGCCTGTATTTCTTGACTATCTTCCCAACAACCACCTCTGCAACTTTTTTTTTTCCTTTTTCATATCTGGCATTCTTGTACTTCCTCCTGATGTCACAAATTATGGCTTCATGGTGCAGTAAAGTTTTCCTCACCTTGCTGTTCACAGTACAGTTTTTCAGCAACTGACAAACTTTGGATCTTGGAGAATCTTTATTCTTAGTTGCTCGCTGGAGTCTTTTTTTATATTTTTCTTTGAGCTTTTTCTGATGTTTGAGTTTCCTTTTTAGTTCTTCTATTTCTTTGCGCAGTTTGTCTCTTGCTTTTCTGGATACTTTCTTGCCTGCTGAATGACTAAAATGAAACCATACAATAAATGGAAAAGAAATCATTAGTTCTGCATATTAGTAGTTACATGACTAGAGACATAGCAATTATGGTGCAATGACTGACCACAAGGCTTAATATATATGTGTGTGTTTATTTATATATTTATATGTGTGTGTTTATATATATATATGTATGTATATGTGTGTGTGTGTGTGTGTGTGTGTGTGTGTGTGAGGGGGGGGGTGTTCTAAAAGCAATAAACCATAGCTTCCATGTTACAAATTGTCATTTCTTAGGAACTGCTACAACAAACATATTAGTCATGTATAAAGCAGAGTAAAAAGTAGTGTTTCTAAAACTATCATCATTAAAGTCAACTATACTTCAAACTATATTTCCCTCACCGTGAGGACCCTGGTCTGGCTTGGACTTCATCTTGAAAGTCACATTCAGGAGTATGTGGAGGGGTTAGAGAGGCAGACCCAACATTTTCAATCTCAGCCTTCCTTTTCTGTCGCTCCTTAGCTTTCCGCCACTCCCTCCGCTTACGTCTTTGAGCTCTCTTACTCAGGTCACTGATTGATTTCTTTTTCCCTGCTTCTCTATCTTTTTTCCATCGCTCACGCTCTTTCCTGAGGTATTCTTCTCTTCTCTGTGAATCTGCATTTCTTCTCACCCTGTATTCTCTTTGCCTCTCTGCATTTGATTTAGCCATCAGATATCTGAAAATAATGTATGAAATAACATTTAGAGAAAAGAGACTGACTTGCTTAACAACAGAACAAACTTCAACCCCGTAACAATGTTTTTTGTTACGGGGTTGAATGTTACAGGGTTGAAGATTAAAGCTAAAAGTAGTTATAAGTCCACATTAGCTAGCAGTATGGTGTAGCTTATGGCATGTGGAAAACAAGAAATTCAAGTATTTTTCAAAGATAATTGTTTTATTTTTCCCAAACAATATTAAATATCATTTATACATGTAACAGTGTTGAAAGGTTGAGGTTGACGATGCTAATTTATGGATAAAAATTATGAAATGTAGGTGAGATAGTAAGCCTACACTTACCTCCCTTCACAGTTTGAGAGGGAAAAGACTTAAGTGATGTCACTTCCTGTGTGTGGTTGAAGTTGGACTGAACCAATATTTTAAAAAAGGGGACATTGGTTTGCCGTTACGGGGTTGAACAAAAACTGAGGGACATGATCAAATAGTGCTATTTTGTCAATAATTTGTTTATTTTTCTCATATTTCTTTTATTCAGCTTTGAGTAAACATGCAAATAATAATTTTAGCAGAAAAAAAAAAGATTTTTCTAGCTATTTTATTTGTTTTACATTCAGTGAAAAAGTACTTTAGGTGCGAGGGGACATGCTCATCTCACTTACCTCTGATCTTCTGCAGCCCATAAAATCTTTAAAAATTTAAATTTTAGGATATGGATGTGTGTTATAAAGCAGAGACACATGGATCTTTCAATCTGTTCTTTTTAAATTCTCTTTATTGTCTACCTTATATAAAAATCTTTGAGGTAAACCTTTGGGGACACAAAGTGCACCGAATTCAGAGAATCACCCAACTACTTTTCTTACATATATGGGCTCTATAACAGGACGGGAAAAAGACATTTTAAGAGAAAGCCACAGGAGTTACTGTTTTAACACTTCCCATGCCCTGCAGAACACAGCAAACTTGGGAAAAGATCGTCTGGTCAGATTAAACCACATATGTTTTTGGCCAGCAATCAAAAATCTGCATGGAGAAAATCACTCTGAAGACATCATCCCAACTTGGATTCATGCTGCAAGGGGAATGTGGGCAATGATAGAGAAATGGCCAGAGTTTAAGGGAATACTTTTAAAAAAAACTCTGAGGTTCAGATACACTGAGCTTTAACTTTCAGTAAGACAGTGGCTCGTACTACAAATAATAGTATTTGTAAAGACATTTTTTGAGTGTGTGCACAAAAATTCCCCCAAAAAAACCTTAGAATTGGCATTTATTTTGGACAGAATCTAAAAATTTTGAAATAATTTGCTACCAAAAAGTGTTTATGTAATTCTTAAATAACAGAACTTCAATGCAAACTTGAACTTTTGGTGTTTAAAAAGAGTAAATAACAACACAGGACTTACACACTGTTCCCATGATAAGGTGATGCTGCTCATGTCCAAAGGTTTAGGGCTAAAGGTAGATGCTCCTTCAAACGAAAGCTACAGAAACAAAAGATTAATGGCTGTGTTCTCACTGCAAAGAGCCTAAAGCTTATAGGTTAATATTGCAGGTTGGTAGACACACCTGACCGGACTGAGAGACCCTGCGAGCACAGGCATGTATGCCGAATGCATCTCCTTCTTTGGTACGTTCTATGGTCCATCCAAAGGCCAACATACTCTTTATCGTCTCTTTGATGGACCAGCGATATGCATCCTTTTCCTGTATAGCATAAAGGTAGTCACTTAAAACCAATTTGTTGGGCCTAATGTTTTATATTACAGCCTATACATTTTGTATGCAAGTCTTCCTGGGATCAGTCAGTTCAAAGTGTGTATTATCTAAATATGACATTTCATTTATTTATGACATTTCTACCTTCTCAGCCAGAGCCCTGTATGGCTTCAGGAGAGGATGAACCTTGGTGTTTTCACATAGCTGCTCCCCATGTACCCAGCCATTGGCAAACTGTTGGGAAACTGTACACTGTTATGAGGAGTCTTGCAACACTAAATGCCAGACTAATAAAGCGCAGGTCACACCTTGACGATTTAGCCAGCATATGCCTGACATACGAAAAATCTTGCAAAAACACTGTAATACATTGGATAAGTTATTGTTACATTTTGTATAAGTCATGAGCACGCTAAAACACGTGGGCACAAGTTGACATACGGCAAGCCAGCGTACACCATACATGGGGCATAAGTTACAGGTAAGTTATAAGATCATTGACATACGTTTAGTGTAAGTTACTCATAAGTCGCGGCGTCTAGCTTATCCGAAATCTGAGTAATGTGTGCATAACTGATACATAACTTATTAAGAAACTGTCTCCAACGCATATCAATGTATTTGATGTGTTCCAGACGACGTGTTTCTAACTTTCGGCTACTGCATAATGATGTATTGGCAGTGTTTTGGTATAAAAGGGGGTTTACACGAGGAAACTGTCAGTTCTCCTCCAGACATCATCCCTATCATAGGTGAAGCGAGAAGGTGAGTGTGATGGATCCTGCCACCGTTCATGGACAAGACCAACAATCTTTCTAGCAGACATGATGCTGAATCTGCTGCGACTGCAAACTTTCTTTCTTTCTTTTTCTTTTTACTAATTCCTTTTTTTGGGGCGGGCGGTAAACAGCAGTTAGGTTAATAGTGTGATCAAAGACATCTTTTTATGCAGAACAGCCACCTCCGGGTGCATTGCTGCTCCCCTCAGGAGTGGTGATACGCCTTAGGGAAGCAGCTTTAACTGATGCTTCGTAATGCATTACGCTGCTGTACATTATGCATAAGTTAGGCTGTCCTTGGACATTAGTTCTGGACTCATATGAATACACTATGTATACGCCTAAAATTGAAAAAATACATAGAAAGTTCAGTGTATAACAGCGTTTTAGGAAATTCTGGGACGTCAGACATATGCTGGCTAAATCGGCAAGGTGTGACAGGGCCCTATGGTGTGTTATCAGCTCCCTAATTTTTGCCAAGCAATGCAGATCTGATAATCAGTCACTAAGATATTACCTTCTCCAGAGACCATTTCTCGTGAGTGTGCTCTGCATACTTGTTAACCACAAAATCAAGTCTTTCAGGAACAGAGACACTAGTTAGAGGAGATAAAACACAGAATCAAATTGGGTTAGCTGGAGGATTCTTGTCACTAAATGACAACTATTTCTGCCATTTCTTACTTTGATGTGTCTACAGGTTGGAGGTCAAAATATCCGCTCTCCAATGAGGTTATTCCCTCCATTTGAGACAAACAGCCTGGCTCTACATAGTCAGGAGGCAAAGCTTTGGCAACTGAAACAAGGCACTGCACACTTAGTCTGAACAACTGAGGACTGAGGGTCTTTAGAGTTGGAAAAGAAAGGGGAGAATGGAAGAAAGAAAAAAAATACTAAACAAATTAGAAATTAGCTGAATACAGACATTTGTAGACATTAAAGTTCTTTGTATCCTCTTTACAAGCGTTTTTCCAAAATGTATCAGACTTTCCTTAAATACAAATAAGTTGTCAAGGTCCAGACATGGCGAAAATATGGCTACAGTAAGTTGGTTACAAAACAGAGAACATGCAAGACACTGGTCAGTTATTAAATTTAATTCAACCTTCAACAACTTTGATGTTCGGTCTTGCAAAGCAAATACCGTTTTAAAGGAGAAGTTCGGTTTTTTACACTTTAAGCCCATTTTCTGTAGTGTCCAGGATGAAATCGAATGAAGGACACCAAAATTTTGACAATAGGGGGTTTTCAGTGACGTCACTGGCCAGCTCCCGGTCCGCCATCTTGGGTGGCATATTATCGTATATTAAATATATCATGTCGCGAATAGATAAGTACGCCAGCACGCTAGAGCCACCAGATCATGGAACATATCTGAGGAAATGTTCCGTGATCGACCATATGGACCCCTATGCCCTCCACGGTGCCTTGTTTAGCACTAATCCAGATGATTGGCCAAATGTAGAGCACGGTAACATAGTTCATTACCCGGTGTTCAGTGAAAACCCTCTACACACTCTGGAGGAAATGAGAGCGTACAAGGGTCTAGAGGCTCACAACCAGTTCACATCTGGTTGGGTACGAGATGTCGAAGTGATGTACATGAAGGAAATCGCCATCATACGTGGACGGGTGAGTTTTAATAAGATGGTAAAAATGTAAACAATCCGACGCAGGGCTCGCTATGCTAGGTGGCTAACGGCCGGCGGTGCGCGAACAGTTCCAAAGCTACAAGTCCTTGGAGTCTCATGTGCAGTTTACGAATGGATGGGTTCAGGAGCTGCAGCTCATAAAGCCAGCAAACAGTGCTAACCGTTAGTGCTAACAACCACTCAGGCATGTAATGTACTTTTAACTAGCTGCTATGTGTTTCAAAGGTTTGGTTAGTAACGTTAACTGCCAAACCTCCCTAAACCCTCCGGGTTTCTCACATATTTGAGCCTTTTCCCGCTGGTTGAAATCAAGTTAAGGTGAAATTAATCAAATTAAAACACGGCAGAGAGAGGGAGTCCAGTACGCGGTAGTCATAGGCAGTAGTCTGAGTAGCGGCGGCGGAGGCAGTCAACATTGCGGCCACGGAAAGTAATACGTCATGACGCCCAAGCCCTATTATTAATATATTCTTACATGTTTTAAATGCTTGACAGTTAATTACCTGTGACAAAGTGAGCACTGCAGACTCTGGCGTGTTCCAGCTTAACACCGTCCAAATCGGACCTGGATATCCGTGTCAGCCATAGGTGACGGCGTTGTTCAGATAGCTGTTTTGTTTTTTCACATTGATTCACGATTACGGCTGGTATGCGATAGAAAGAGCGTTGATCTCCACCTCCACGGGCCGTGCAACCAACAATTACACACGATTTCACCATTTTTCACTGTCAATACTGCCTAAGGCTGCCTGCCAAAATATGGCGAACGCGCTGAGTAGTCACGTGAGCGCGACGTCACATGAAAACCCCCTATTGGTCCTGTCTCTGCTTTTTGGCTCATTTAGAATCAACCCCTGGCTGCTTTAGAATGGCTAACATAGAGCATGTCTGATAATGTCCTTAAAACAACCTTAAACGTTATTTTTTTAAAATATGCTACTCACCGTGTCGTCAGCACTGTTCAATGACGTTCCAAAAAAAGTTTCGTGAAGAAAAAACGTTCCTGTAGTGTTTTATTTAGCATTTTGTAAACCCCATTGAGTTCTGTAGGAATAGTCAATATTCCGCTGCCACCGGAAACGGAAATGGAGCCTGTTTACACAGTTGTAGTCTTTTCGCTTCACTCTGTGTACTCCGACGTCGAGAATCAAGAATCCACCTTTCGTATTCCATTTTCAGAGTTTTTTAAAGTGTTTAACAGAGACGTTAGCACATCGACGTCGGAGTACGCAGGGTGAAGCGAAAAGACTACAACTGTGTAAACAGGCCCCATTTCCGTTTCCGGTGGCAGCGGAATATTGACTATTCCTACAGAACTCAATGGGATTTACAAAATGCTAAATAAAACACTACAGGAACGTTTTTTCTTCACGAAACTTTTTTTGGAACGTCATTGAACAGCGCTGACGACCCGGTGAGTAGCATATTTGGAAAAAAAGAACGTTTAAGGTTGTTTTAAGGACATTATCGGACATGCTCTATGCTAGCCATTCTAAAGCAGCCAGGGGTTGATTCTAAATGAGCCAAAAAGCAGAGACAGGAGCAATTGTCAAAATTTTGGTGTCGATCATTCGATTTCATCCTGGACACTACAGAAAATGGGCTTAAAGTGTAAAAAACCGAACTTCTCCTTTAATAACAATTAATTGGAACACCTACTGCAAATCCAATCTAAAAATATTACTTTCTCCTTTGGTGCCATTTTCACCCTTGGTTGATTGGTTTTCTAAAATAAACCTAATTATATGTCTTATATTAAAACATCAATTGATTTTACAAGCCTCCACAGAAAACTGTATACTGTATACTGTTAGTATTTAACCTTATACCTGAGACAGAATTATACTACGCAATGAATTAATTTGCCTATTCAGTTAATCCTCTAATGTTGTTTTTGCTCAGAATGATTCATAAAAAAGATGAGTTTAGAGCAAACTGAGAGCTGTGAGTTTCATTTGCGGGTTGTGTGTCTTTAAAGTCTCTAGGAAGTCTGCTCAAGTTTTCATACCGCGATATGATTAACTATTTATCTCCACTGTGCTCCTTCTTCTTTCACTAAAGTTCTCCTAATACACCAAAAGAGCACATATGAAATGCATTTTGCTGTTTCTCCTAAAATAGGCAGAGAATGGTAAAAGGATAGAGTTGAAAAGATAACAGATGATACAATGTCCTTTTTTCAACTGGTCCATTCAATTTGAAAATATTATTTGAGTGTGTTTAAAATTTTAGGTAAAAGTTGAGGAAAATGTATAAATAATTTCTTACCTTTTTTGTCAAGCTCTTAAAAACACTCCAGAATAACTTTGTAGACAGATTGAGCTCATCTTCAGACGCAAAGTTCTGGTCATTCTGCCTTCCAGCTTGGGAATAATACCTCCATCTCTGCTCATAATGATTGGTCAACATCTGTGAATTAAGAAAACATAAATAAAAATCTTATATACTATTTTAAGAGTATATCTAATTTATTTATATACTTACTTTTAGAGGCATATTGCTGTGGTCTGAGAGATGGAGAACATCAAAGACAAGCCTTTGAAGGAGAGGCTGCATCGTAGATGTCTGGAGATTACTAAAAAGACCAAGAACTGATAACATGAAACCCTCCAACTCCATCACTAACACATACACACTAACAGAAATGTCTAAATACACAGAGGAGTGACTAATGTAATTTCATAAAGGCAAGGTAATCATTAATCTTACAAGATGATTAAATTCTGTAAATTAAGAACAAATTGGCGAAACAACATAATTAATCATAATACATTCTATTTGCGGTTTTATGGCTGGGTGGGTCAATGGATACAGAAAGTTGTGAGAATGACAGAAATCCAGGAAAAATACTTAAAATGCCCAAAGATACAATATGTATAAATATAATTAGGGTTTCACAATTGAGTTTGTTGGTTAGTTGTTTTTTTTTCTTTTTTTGAAGATTATGTTGCATCCCATGTTTTAGTGGAAAAAAACAAAACAAAGATAAAACCCCCTCGTTAAAATGCATTCAGTGATACCAGTATTGTTTTTAAATCATTCCTACATGTACTTTAGTTTCTGTTAAATTACAACCAAAAAACTTGTTTTACTTTAATTGTGAAGTTATGTGAAGTTGACCATTTGTGAGAGTAATATATTTTTTTAATTTCTATTTGTAAAAACAAAATTAAGAACACAAATAGATTGCATAAATGTAAAAAATAACAACCCGCAAGTGTTATAAACAGTGCTGTGAAGCACTGTTGTAAGCATAAAGTGTAAGATTTACATAAAGATGTCTTTTATCTACTATTTCTTAATAGGATTAAAACAATCTATCAGAATATCACTCTGAATACTAAAGAAAGATGCAACTTCGCCTGTAGATAAATTAAATAATAACAAATAAACTGGATTTTATTTGTCTTAAAGTTGGTAAAACTCAACTTCAAGACGGAATCGTCTGTCTGTTAGTTTCCAATCTCACCTGCACAAAGCTAGCAAGCAATCCTCTGTGGTGTTTCTCTGAGCCCTGGTCAAGCATAGAGCTCTAGAGAGCCTGTAGATTGCCTGGATAAGGGAATCTACCAGCAATACATGATCCTCCAAATCCTGGAATAGGGCTGAATGTTTGGTGAGCAGGGGAAGAACAGCTGTACACAAGTATCTATTGAGAGCCAGTGCCATGTCTGTTGATCCTAGGGCGGTCTGTATTAAAAAAAAGAGAGACTTTTGGAGTCTAGTGATGGAAGGAACATAATTAACAGGTAACAACTGGAAAGCATATCCATGTTTTTATATTAAATATTATGCATTTTTTATGCCAAAAGAAACAAGGAAAAAAATAAATATATTTATGTTTTTACTATAAAATATATAGTGTTTAAAGCTCTATTTAGTTAGCTTTAATTCAGTCACAAACACGCCTTTTGGATTAGTGAGGTAAAATAACGCTCACAGTGTCCAGAGAAACAGCTGCTTGAAGGTCAGGCAGAAAGCCGACTTCCAGAAGGTGCAAAAGAAAACTCCTCTCCTGGATACCATAAACCCGATCCAGAAACAAAACCATAGCAGCCTTGTGGTCTGGACAGAACACTGTGGACAAGTCAGGCTCATCCAGCACACCATCTAGACAATAACAAAAAGTATTAGTTTAACTTAGCTTCTATTCAAAATTACAATCATCTCAAAGGGAAATAAATGACAAATTATAAAAAGGTAAAAGCATACATTTCCACAGCAGTACAGCCCCCCAAAAAAGAAACAATCATACAATAAAATTATATTTTCTACCAGAAAACAAACTAGAGAATATTCAAAAGACTAGACCACAACTAGCCTAAACTTTTAATCATATCATGGAGTTGACATTTGTTTTATGCAGTATATCTTGTTGTGCGCTTCTTTTAGACATACGTCTACAACCCGAAGCTTTGGGGCCTCGTGTTATTGACAATGTGTTCAATGTAGATATAATATTAAAATTGCAGGTTTTAGCAAGTAGAATCCGATAGAATGTAAAGTATCCGTCAGCTTTTTGCAAAAAGCAAACAATCTTACAAGGAAAAATCATGGCTCTTTAAATGATGACTATTGTCATTAAATAAAACAAAACAAAATAAGATCAAGTAATGTTTACGACTCCAATTGATTCTAAGTAAGCTGGACTGGGGATAAAGAGAAAAGGTTGTACCATTTTAGATTAAGCATTTTTTTTCATCCATCCTGACCAAATAAATTTGTATAGGGAAAAATATATCTTTATATTTCACCCTGAAAATTTTATGTTAAAAGACAAATACCGCACATTGACCTTCAGAAATTGATGGGAGTTTAAAGCAGAGGCTGATGACTCCTTCAAGATCCTGAACAGGGATGAGTGATCTCAGGATGGCCCTGATGCGAATGGCTTCTCCTTTGCCGCCCTGAATTAGCTGATCAACAGTTCAGAAAAGAGAACATCTGGTAAGTTATATTTCCCCCTAAATAGTCAGCAGCCGCAGTGAGCATATATATATATATATATATATATATATATATATATATATATATATATATATATATATATAATGTCAGGATTCGCTAATGAGTTGTATTATATGTTAGATGAATATGTATCCTTGTTACAAATATACTTTATACATTATTAAATGCTACAAAATAAAGAGTACAGAAGAAAAGGTTCTTTAAATGATTGGCAAATGCCATGATTTATAATAAATTAAATGCATATGTTTATCATTATTTATGTTCACTATTTTGACATTCAAAGAACAAATAATCTTTTTTTTTTGGTAGGTCATTAGATGTAACTCAGTGGCATGAAAATCTGCTGTAGTAGAAACTACTTACATGCATCTCTGGAGCACAGCGTCCCAGCAAGTCAATAAGCGCTGAATAGAAGGTCATGATGGCATGCCCCATGTGAATAAGGTCATCGTCATTGTTGTTTGGAGCGTCCCTGTGATAGAAATCGACCACAAAAGCCGTAAGAAATTTTCAATGTCAACAATCACACATTATTTAAGGAAACAAAAGTTTTGAGCTTTTGAGACAGATTTTTTGATGTGACACAAGATGTTAATTTTAGATTATCCATTATGTTTCCTCCAATGGGTGATACAGACATTGTTCTGTTTGAGTGCTGACTGGGTAAAGGTCCATCCATAGACTGGTCCTCAGAGATTCTAATGGCTTCCTTCATTGCTGCTAGGAGTCCATCTCCTTTATCTCCTCTTAGCGCAGGGCCAAAGCATTCAGGCCGACGAATGAGCAACCGCAAGACCACATATGCATTCTCCTCTATGCTTTCACCTTTGGGAAAAAGAGCAAAGAAAGTAAAGAAAAAATAAACACTTAATTGTTTTAGACTGTGTGAGAAAGAACACTTTGGACTGGCTATGTGCATTATGTGTCATTCTTGTTTTGTTCGACTGTAAGTAAATTTTTGTTGAATTTATGAGAAAAAAAATATTAGCAGAAGCAACATAATCATATTCTTATAAATATAGCACAAACTGAAGGCTTTAGCTAAAAGATAGAACTTTAAATCACAAAGACACCGGCCAAACAGAAAGCCATTTGGCTGAATGGTAAACAACCTCAAGGGCAATTCGGAGGGATGACTTTTAGGCACTGGTTCAGAAAAAAGATAATCAATAGCAGAATGAATTACCTCTGTTCCAAATGTCGAAGATAATGGGGAACATGAAATGAAGCAGCTATTTGTGGCTTTTAGGCTTTGCATTTTGCTCCTTACTTGAATCATTCAGCTCCCATGAGCAATTATTATCCAATGCATTATAAGCATTATAAGCATTTCTAAATGCCTCAATAAATAATTAGAACCGTGGTTGTAATAAAGAGAGTATTCAATAGTTTTATTCATATGTTTTTGCAATTCTTTATATTAAGTAGGGGCACAGGGAAGTTTAATGTCATAAGTTCATGTGATGTTAGGATGCAAAACATTTATCTCATTTCAAAGTAGTATCTAGAGCCATAGCAGAGTAATAAGAGTAATTAGAGTAAGAGCAGATTTTCTAAGTTACATTTTTACCTGCAGAAACAGAATTTCATGAACTAAAAAGAAAAATACACCACAAGAATTAAGTTTATATGTATATTTCTAGGTATAAGTTATACCTAGAAATGTTTACACATTTTAAGTGGACGTTTTGACATTTATCAGATTGACTGCATCTGTATTTATAATATCTTTTAACGAATTCAAGGAAATCCTTCATTATACCTTTTACTATTAGCTCTGGATGACTAAAATCCATGTTTTGGAAATCAGACCCAGTAGACAAGATCAAACCAGGGATCCAACTTTGTCGAGTTGAATCAACCTGGCTTGGATCAGTCTATATTTGACCCAGTAATGGGTTTACAAAGTTACCCCAATTAGGCCACCTTTTACCAAGCAATTTTTTGAGTGTACTACGACTCTTTCCTTGATTGCATTTTATTAAGCTTATCACCATCCATGACAAGTAATAAAGTAAAAAAAAACCCTGTTAAGAGTAGTTTTTCATGCTTTAATCGTGCAAATGTACCATTACAGAAGACAGCAAAGCGTAGAAAATCCAGATAGCGCTCTCCCTCCACGGGGTTCCATCCAATGTCAGCGTAGCCTTTTGCCACAAGCATTGAACAGCTCTGGAGGCCACATGCAGCAAGGTAATGAACCACCTGGATTGTAAATCAGATTAGAAAAAGTAGACATGGTTTTTGTTTGCTTTTTGATGTGGCCTTTCACAACATTGTTGGCAAACTACAAAACAAAACAAAAACATATATATAGCATTACACCTTTTCTAGGTCAGGTTCCTTTAGTGATAATGCTAGCTCATTATTATCCATAACAGAGGCTGCTGCCACATCAAGAGGAGTGGAGCCACGCATGGATGGGGAAGCTGAAGAAAAAAAAAAACAAGTGAAAATTTTTAAAACTCATTCTAATAAAGCTGGTAAATTTACTATGTTACAATCTTGAGGAGATAAAGAACCTACCCAGTCCAACTCGGCTGTTTTCCAGTAAGTAGGTGAGGCAGTCAAATAGAGCTCCCTGATTGTGACGACTGATACGGCAAAAATAACAAAGGAATCTACAACAGCTGGCTACCATCTTGGGGAAAGTGATTTCCTGAAACAGTAACATTTATGAAGTTAAAGTGGGTTAGTTTACAGTTTATAGCATAATATGTATTTATAGATAAAGACAATAATGTGTTAACAACAGCTGATTATAACTGTCAATCCATTACCTTGGACTCTCCTTCACCCAGAACATTGACCATCACCTCCATCACAGTCTCATGCATGCCTAAAGCTCTCATCAAATTGGGATGTTGGTAGAAAACTTTATTGTTCATAATATCTCTGCAAATATAAACAATAAGCATCACTGCAGTGCACACAATTATGATAATGCATCACAAGAGACAATTCTTTCTCTACCCAAGCCTTCTGATCATCAGCTTCTCTTCTTCTTTCCCCATACGGACACTTAGGAGAGAACGGATTTGGCACAGGGAGGACAGGAGTGCCATGGTGTCCTCCATGGAATACTGGCTGATAGTATATGCCTTTAACAGTGACCCTTTCATTTGGCCCTCGAGGCCCTGATACTGGCGGTATAGCAAAGTGAAGATAGCCCTGACCAGTTCAGGATCTTCTATCTCTCTTTCCTGAGCCCAGCACACCATCGTCTCCGAAATCAGTCTTCTGAGAGACTCTGCCAGGAAGTGAGAAGTGTTGATAAAAACTAGACTGTGGGACCTGAAGGCACTTATCATGAAAAAGCCAGAAAATACACTTTTACATTTTTCCAATTCTAGACAATTTTCTAAACATATATTTTTCCCTGCTACAGACGAAAGGTAACTGAATCACAGAAGATCAAATCTTAGATTAAGTGAAAAATTAGAGTTTCTCATATTTCAAAATCTATAAAAGCAGGCTTACTTGGGGGGGAAGATTTATGTTCTTTCAATTCTATTGGTTTCTTTTTATGTCCAACTCGATAAAAAAGCCAATCTTTTAAAGACATTTTGGCATCATCTTCTTCCTCTAAGTCTGGAACCATTTCAGTGCCTTGATAAGACAGATATTAAAAGGATCTTTACGATTTATGGTAATTAGAGCGGTTGCCCTCTATGAGGGTTTCATAGTTCCATGATTTAATAATTGAAAGATCAACCATATTATTACCACAGTGTGTGTTGAGCAGGTGGTGAAAGTCCAATAATAGCTGTTGGAGTTCGACAGGACAGGGGCAGTTCTCTTGTTGTTCATCTTCCCTGAAGCTTAGCAGCAAATTCATCTTTTTAAATGGAGAAAAAATTGAAGAAAAAGGTTAACAAAAGTAGTGTGAACCATACTTATTTATCTTGTTAAAAGGGATAGATTTTTTAAATAATAGGTAATATTTAACCGGAAATTTATTTTTTACTCTTATTTGGTACAGATCCGAGTTAAAGCTTAAGGCATTTCTGAAACATAGGCCTCGACCAAAATAAACCCCTAAGAACTTTAAACAATGAGAATCGATTAATTTGCCAAGTTTGTGTGCTCAGAAAAGGGATTTGACTTACAATCGTAGACCTTATAAAAACAGCAATTAAAAATTTACTTTAGAGACGATCATAAAAAACAAAGTACATATACTTTTGAACTAGTACATACTTTTTTTATATGCCAGGTTGGAAAAGTCTAAGAAAAGACTATGGCTCAGTCTCAGTCTTAATTCTTCAAAGATTGTTGGTAGAGATTAAATTCTTGTTTAAACCGTACCCACATTTGTAAAGTGAAAGTTATTCATAAAGAAGCCAATTACTTTGTTTTTCACAGGATATGGATCAAGAAAGAATGAACCATTTCTGACCATATTAAAAGTCCAGCAGAAAAGTAATAAACTGCAAAAGTCAGTAAACTGATAAACTACTACAGTATGTATGTTTGCTTTCCAAACTGCCTTTTACATTGGTTTGACAGTTTACAAAGATCAGAAATGCTTTACACCTTCCACTTTTGGTTTGTGTTTCACACATTAAGACCATAAGAGATGCAACACCTCCTACCTTCATTTTTTAAATAAATATTCATTGGATTCTCTGTAAATAACCACCCAATGCAAACACAAGCATTATTCAAAGGGTCATGGGGTTCACATAACCAAGACGTTTCTGAGTTTCTTCTCAGATAATTGGCCGTTATCTGGAAACTTAATAGTTTGGATGTATACTAAATAAAGATCCAGAAAGAAATATTAATTTCAGATAAGATCATAACTACCAAATACCTTATGAGAGAACCTCACTTTTAAAATCTGTAAATATCCCCTTTGACAGTTATTATGAAGTCTAATTAAGTTCTGTATCTATCCAGGGCTACTCAACCTGTTCTTGCGGAGGAAGCCTGAACTCCTTGGTTTTGCGAGCAGTCAGTGCTGCAGACATGTTGAGAGCCTGCATGACCTGATTGTAACGAAACCTCTGGTTTTCTTGTAGCCGATGTACAAAGTCTGCAGAGAATGCAGTCACTGCTTCAACTCTGTGTTGCACCTGGCAGTCACACAGGTAGGACAGCAGATGACAAAGCTAAAAGAGGAGATGTGGAAAATCTTTCTTAGTCAGGGTTGCACTGGCACTTATCATATCCATAAACTCTTTCAGATTTCTGTCATGTTAAATCCACAAAGTTAAATTTGAATAAAAAATGTAAGTTAGAGACTAAACTAAACTTCCTTTGCAATTATTTAAAGTACGGCCTGGTGACTAGCTTCCTTTACCATAGGTAAACACATGGAAGAAGAAGCGCTGAGACACTTAGGTTTACATACAAAGTTTTACAAATGAAAAATTTAAAAAATATTAGACTGAAATAAAAAAAATACCTAACTCTGATGGGATCATCCCCCAAGATACATTATGGTGGCAGCATCAGCATGTAGAGACTTTTTCTAACTTATTAAGAGAATTGATGGGAAGAAGGGTGGATGCAAACTACATTGCAGTGCCATAACAGACTACTAGAGAAAGAGACCTAAATTAGGGCACTGGTTCACCAGAAGATTAAAAACTGTAAATATACATTTGAGGTACAGTGGATAGTTTTGGCCAATGTTTCTCATTCTGAAGTAATCTTCTAATCCTCTAATACAACAGAAGAGATGTTCATGCTATAGGAAGTATAAAAACTACTGGTTCAGATCATATCTCTATGTCAAAACGGCCCAGTTATAGTAAACCTAAATCCATGTGTGAATCTGTAAATAACCTTTAAATAAAACCAAATCTTATTTCCTTTGCACTTCACATTTATGTTCTCCTCTTTTTAGAAAAATATAGATGACTGCCTTGACAATACATTTCAAGCTTTAGCTGCTCAGAGCAACTTATAACAATTTGATTAAATAAAATTAGGTTTAGTGAACGAAAATAAATATACAATCACCTCAAGTTGGACAGCTTCTGGAAGCTTCATCTGAAGAAGCCCTTGTTTATTAATATCATCATGGTTTGTGCTCCTCTTCTTTTGTCCTTGTTTATCATCTTCACTTTCCTTTTCCTTCCCTTCAACAGTTTTGATGTTTTTGGAGAATACATTTGGTTCAATTAGCCAAAGAACCTTTGCAAGGTCTTCATCCCCAAACACTCCCATGGCCAGAAGGCTGTACAACACTTTTAAGGGTGGAACAAGCAAAACTTCAACACTTCCTCCTGCAGGATCCCTCACAGCTTGACCGACAGCTACAACCCCAGCAGTCAGCATGTCCAATGTCAAATTCTTCAGTATGTCCAAAGGAATTTCTGGGCTGTCTGTGCAGGCTATTTCAGCCACACTTTCCTCTTCAGTCTCATAACCTCTGACAAAACAAGGAGATGAGAAATGCATCTGCGGTTTGAGGCACTTGCTTCTGCAAGTGCTAGGAATGCCTTCTGGTGTTTGAGCAATCCCTCCAGAAAACTTTTCCATACCGAGATAAAATGAGGCTTCTCTGGTCTGGTCAGTCATTGGGATTATGTATTCATGATTCATCATAAGGCATGCTGTTGTGTGGCTGCTTAGATAAACCTAAAAATAAAAAGTATAAAAGGTAACAAAAGCTTTGTTATTATCATTGTTTGTATTAATTCCAACAGGTACCTGAATAAGGAGCTGATAATACGCTGAGCGGAGCTGCCCCGGGAGGTTAGGATTCTGAATAGCATAGAGGATCTGTGACTGGTCAACGTGACTGCACAGAGCATGGCAAACTCTGTTGTTACCAAAGGCAGCTAGCGAGGAGTAGAGCAGGAGGATATTTTGATGAAAAGTGAGGAGGTCATCAACCTCGGACAGCTCCAAAATGTCAACACACCTAGTGAATGTCAAGGAAAAATTAAGGAAAGTTTTAGAGGTTTTGCTTTCTTAAAATCTAATTAAAACTGTAATGGGGGATATTGAAGGGTACCTGGTTAAAAAAAAATGCAAATCTATTGTAATTTAAAATTGCGGACATGTAAAATTTTGCTTAATAAAAATATTTATGTAAATGGGTAAATAGAACCACACATTATTTGGTTCTTTTTTTTATTTTTACCTATTTTCTTCAGGAATCTGAAGAATCATTACTTGTTGGGGATCAGAGCATTGGACTCTCCAGCCATGGTGCTCATCTGGTCGATCTACAAATACCTTTAACCCACTGTCTGGTACTCTGGTCCATGTGACAGGTTTCAGGTGCTGAACCTGAAACCTTGGAGGGCACTGAGGACTTGGGTTCCTTCTCTGACTGCGAAGCAAACCTGATGACAAGGGCATGACGTTCTAGAAAAAAATAACAGCATCACTATAGTTCATCAACTTGAATTTATTTTTTATTTATCATGTTAGAAGATTTATTAATAACTTTATATTTTCATATTGGTTCATTGGCATTAATTACCTTTGTGCTTTCAAGTTCAAACTGAAACATGTTGGTGGTGGTTGGCTTGACAAAAACAGCTGGAAACAGCTTGGTACCAGCCTCCACCTATTTTAGTTGGGAAATAGTTTCACAGCTTAATTATGTAATGTAAACCATTAACATTTGTCTAAAACAGCTTGAATGACGTGCTTTCTCAAACATAAGTTGCATACAGAAATATTTGTTCAACAGAAGAATAACCATTCATGCGTACATGCTCATTGCCACTCACTTTTCATGTTTTATGCTACAACCTTTTTTTTTACTTAGATATAGTAAAGTATAAAAGCAAGAATAAAAGGATGCAAGCTTTTAAAGTTCTTTCTTCCTGCTGTAAGTCACATGAAAAATACTTGTATACATAATAAAAAACATAAGCAACCACTTATCTTTCAAGGCCTACCGCTTTATTTTATCTCAGCTGTAGCTATTCTATGAAAGCAAGCAGAAAAAGCAAATGCTACAAAAGACCCAATACTGTAATTGTGATAGCATTATGAAGAGGGGATGTTTTTGTAACAGGAAAGCTAGTCAGAGCTGTATAAATCACATGGCTGCAACTAAAGGGAGGACAATCCTTAACAACTAGTTTACCATCCAGCAGATAGACATTCACAAACAGCAAGAGCTACGATTAAATTGTTTGATTGTGCTGGACTGAGTAGGTAAAAGTAAAGACATAATTTTAATTAAGAATGAATGTCTTGAAGTATTATTTTTGTTTTTTCAAAACTTTGAATCTGTCTATTCAAAGCAGATATATCCTAAATAATCCGTTGAGGAAATGAGGTGTAATAGGAAATAGATTATAATGATGTTGCACTTAATTGCTTTAGCAGGACTTTAGTATATATCCAAGTATATACATAAGAAAAGTGTCAAATTGATATGTGCAATGCTAAATAAACACTATAACCTTAAGCCACTAGAGGCACTAGACCTGTTACTTCCAAGTTCAGCATCCCTAAAAGCACCTGGCGGTATTATCTGATGTTTGACAACTTTGGACCATCAGACTGAAAAGTCATGAGGTAAAAGACAAGAACACGTCCAGCCCTCTAGACTAAATCGTGCATCAAACAACTGAAAATTAGTCTGATCAGGAAAGTGTTATATTGGTTCTTTGTCTAACAATAACTTTCTGTTAAGCAGATCTAAAAAAAAAAAAATACACCCATCTCATCCTAGAATGCAAAGGACTGTGATGTCTCCAGTCACTCTCTATTGAAACTAGAGGTAGTTTTTCTATTGAGTCAGGGAGGCTGAATTATAGGTCCACCACAACTTTTTAATGTGGTTTTACATTAGCAAGGTACAATATCTGCTGCAGGACCTACTTGAAAGAAAGTTGACATTTCAATGCCATTGGAAGTAAAGGTGAGCAGTCCAGTCGCTGAATCAATCAAGCAGCCAATCTCCAACCCTGCACTCCGACGACTCTGAGACAGACCTGTGGCCTCTCCAGCACAAACCATGAAACTGTTGCATCGCTTCACACTATACCAGAGAGATTGGAAAACATTCAGTCAACAGTTAGCATATAGGACACAAATGGGACATTAAAATTATGAGGCTGAGCAGATTATAACTTAACAAGGAAAAGTAAGCCATCAACTCTTATATATTCACAAAAATATGCAATTCTCTTTGCACTGATTAACCTTTCCTGAACTTTGCCAGTGTCATCTCCGAGGGTGACAGTCACCGTGCCGACATTGTCCGCATCAAACGTTGTGTCATGTTGATGAAAGTCAGAGGTCACCCAGCCTATCCACACATTGAATGGCTCCTGGCCAGGAAGAACCCTCACTGCATAATAATACTGAAACAAATAGGTCATTGAGTGTATGGTTGGGTATTCAAACCGTGTTTATGCAGTTATTGTATTAGTGTGGCTGGTAATTGGAAAAGAACAACAGCATAATGAAAGTGCACAAGCCATTGTTTAACAGTTTGTTTAATATTCCCCATCTAGGATAGAAGGCTAGCAATACAATCCATCTTAAAAATTGCAGACTACAAAAATATTAAAATATATAAAGAAAAATTATTTAGCACAATCAATTAGTTGTGATGAAATGAGGTAATGAAGAAATATTACTCTAGCGCTCTGGATAAGATGGTCATAGTTATCCTTTTCAACAATGACGTCTTCCAGAAGCCGTGCAGAGGAGTTGCTGCTGACTAAGCCTGGTTTGTTCCTTTTCATCATGAACCTTCAAGATAACAGAAAGTGGAATTGGTTATGCAAAGTTTCTCTTTCAAATCATTGTTCCTTCAAATCTATTCAGCTTTTTTAGTTTTCTTTTCAATCTGTGAGTTTATCATACCAGGTTGCAATGGTTGTTGTAACCACAAAGCAAAAAAAGTTTTAAATGCAGAAGAACATTACTCTGTCTGAATAAACTGTTAATTTATACATACTGAATACATAAATATGCACATATAGCTTAAATTCAGAGTGACTCCTGCCTTTCTTAGCTATCTTAATTAGTTATGTTGGGCTTAATTTGTTAAGCTTACTGATGAACTATCAGACTGTTATTTTCCATGTATGTATTATTTGTTGTTTTTAACTTTGTTCTCTCGGTTTCTTTTCACGGAATATACAAGTGGGCCAGTTTATGGTTAGATGTGTCTCTTCCGTGGATTGTGTAAATTGGTTCTGACCCCATATATTCACAGCATAACTGCCTCCTTGATGATGCTACTGTTATCATTAACCATTAACCATCATTAACCATTAACCATCAGCAGCATTCTGCCTGATTATCAATAAGAAGAAAATATTCTTATTATTAATATGCAGGCAGAATGCTGCTGATGCCCTCTTATTATTTCATCTTTCAGGACATAATTTGTCAGAGTTGTGGATGACATTAACTTTCTGTAAGCTCTTTGTTTTCTTTCCAATAGTAATTACTTCAATTCCCATGGTTCTTGGATTCTTTTCAGAATCAAGATATTTATGTAGATAAGCTCCTAATATCTGCATATATTCTTAGATTGTTCTTCCCCAAAATAGTAGTTATGGACCAGCCCTTCTGTGTTTTTTTTTTTCCTCTTACAAATGAGAGCATTTGATGACCATACATTTGTATAGTCATCACATGCTTACTCAGAATAAGGGACAGCAGCAAATTGAATGACTTGATGCCAATGACCATGGTGTCTAAAAGGGAACTGTAAAGTGATCAGATTAATGCGACTTTATTTTAACGAAGCTTGGATTAAATTATACTGAATGTAACTGGATATAAATATGGCAAAAAGAATGATAAAAATTCCCTAATTTGAAAAGTAACATGCCCTTATTTATTAAACGAATGGTAAATAAGTGAACTGAATTAACATCTAAATGTTTAAAATATTTCAATTTTTCCCTATATGTTTAATATCAGGGTTTTTTTCTCTTTTACCTACCGCTGTTTTAGTTTTGATGTTTTTTCATGACCGTGATCCTTGTGGTTGAGCTCATCTCTTGAGCCAGCAAAGCTGCGTGCTGACTTCATCAGCACTTCAAAGTCAGAGTCTGTGTCCTCCAGCTCTTTTCTCGCTAAAGGACAACAGGCATTAATTACACTGTGGCCCTGGGGAGCTTAACTAGAACAATACATCAAGGTCATAATGGTAGAATATCAGTTATCTAGACAGGGGATAAGTCTGAAAAATAGCAGCTGGATTCCATACACAATTTACAGTATTTCATGCAATGGATCATTGGTTTTATGTGCTGCATTGGATACAATATTATCTGTGTGAGTTCTCTGAGCAATGCATACGAACCTGAACTTGGAGTTAAAGAGCTGGAGGGGACTAGAGGCACACCATCTTTAGGGCTTCTGAGTGTGGCAGCACACTCAATGGGCATGCTGAGCCGGTAAAAACCCATCTCACTCCCTCCACCATGTTGCACCAACAAACGCTGAGAGACCCTCAGGCTGGATAAGAAATCCATTGAGCCCCTGAGTCGAGTAACCTTGAGTCAGATTAGCAAAATGTTTTGGGAATCAAAGTGGTGCATTAATACATATAAAAAAACATTGCTGGGTCCCAGAGATGGCTCCATATTAACAATTGTACAGCTATTGTACAGTGCTGGGTCCTTGCAATGGCATTGTTACCAAGCTGTGTGAAAATAATCCCTCGACCACTGCACTAACCTGAAGGTTTTGATCATCAGGCTGCACTGACGTAAACTGCGGCAGATTCCAACTCATCCACAGAGATGGGTCTCTGGTCATATTAAAGGCAAAAGGTTTATAACCCTCTTGCTGGCCACACACATTAAAGTATTGCAGAGTCTCCACCTGGCGGCCTAGATTCAGCCTTCCCACCTGGTTCACCCCAGCACTGACCACAGGCAACAGGCCTAAAAAAAACAAAGGGAAATTTTTTCAAGAGTGGACTTCATAAATACACGAACAAAGGGAAAACAAGAATAAACATGTTTATAGTCATAAGAGGGGTTACATTCTTGCTGATTTCTTTTAATTTTACACTTTTTATCCCACAATATAAAATTTGCAAAGGAAAATACCTGACTTAAACCTAAATGAATAAGGCTGAGGCGTTAAATCCAAAAGACATCTTGCTGGAAATATACATTTGCAATTTTCCCAGAAAACAATAGTGAATCACAGTCATGGTAGGTTGTCACTTTGGATCTTTAAGGTCAAAAACACTTGGGCTCTGCATCACCACAATGGCTGAAATACACCAACCAACAAGTTTAGCTCAGGAAAACACTAAAACGGCATTTCAGTTGGGCCTAGTTAAAATCTTGAACTTAAGACCAATCATTAAGGCCATATCTCATATAGCATTAAAGACGCTTTAAATTGTCGCATTGTTAGTGAATAAACAATGTTACAATAAAAGAATGAGATAAAATTACTCCAAATTTATTTAAATTACTCTTTCCTAACTAGTAGGAATATTTAATGTCGTCTGTTGATAAAAGTGGTTGCACAACCTTTTAATAGGTTTATGGGAGAATTTGTTTTACTCAGGTTAGTATTACTGCCTGCTTCTCTGAATAACTCAAATCATAATATAAAAACAGCATTTACTCTGGTTATCTTTTTTCAGTGTTAACATTTAGTGATGATCCTACATACTCAAGTGTGACCAAACCCCTAAAACAAAATATAGCTGAAACTGAAAATGTTTTCCTGTACTGTATCTATATGTTCTCACAGTTCCATAGAAAATATCTGTGTTCGGTATGCAAACTCCAGCAAAGGATTTTCCCGCACCATCTCTGATATCCAAATCCTTGGCAGCCAGCTCTGATCCTCTGTCATTAAACAGCAGCTCTCCATTGAGCGTGACCATCATGGTGCCTTCAAACATGTCCACCAAGCAACCCACCACATCGCCTCTGAGCCACGGACGCCCCAGGGGCTCACCTCCCTGATGGCACCACTGAGCCTGAAAGCAAAACATTGGAAGATGTTTTTTTCTTAATAAAAAAAACAACTATATATGGATATTTAACTACAGCATCAAAGTACAAAACAGGGGATAAAGTAAAAGAATACTCCTCATTTATGTAGAATTGAACACCTTAAAACAACAGAGGTACGTTTACCTCTTGTAAATTAACCAATATAGGAACAGAGCAGGATAGAATTGTGTGTTTTTTCCCTTGCGGAAGTTTACAATAATACATTTCTTAAAATGAACATAAAAAATTATGCATTGTAAAGATCAAATAAGATGACATTCGGACAGATCAATTTCTGCAAACGATTTCAACTCATGTTTTTTTCTCAACTGCATTTGACAAATAATGTACAATACCATGACATCTGCTAATGCTGAAGCATCAATTCATTATTTTGTTTCAATACAAAAATGCATCATGAAAAAATTTTTTTAGCACTTATTCAGGGATGAGGGTGGCAGGAATAAATGCAATAAAGATTTTAAGGAAGAAACAACTCAGAAAAACATGACTAACAGGAGACAAACACAAACAATCTAACAACAGAGTGAATAAACCCAGTTTTTATGTTGAGGTCATTTAACTGTTGAATGTACAGAGGTAAGTAATTAAACAGTTGAGTCCGGGTATGGAAATGAGTAAATGCCGTAATATAATAGAGACTAATCTGGTAGTCAATCGCATAATTGAAAGCATGTGGATTAAGGAGTAGTATTAAATGCCTTAATAAATATTGTGTATTTGTATTTATTTGAGGGCATTTATGGTTATATGACTCAAACACTCTATAGCATTAATCAGCTATAGAGAATGTATGAAAATATAACTTCAAAACTGCTTTTACTGACCAAGGCAACCAGCTAGCCTTGTTTTCTAGCCCTGCTGCATCACACATATTAATGGAGACACTTGTAAGGTATAGTATTACAAGGTTTGGAATGGAATCGCTTATATTTTAAAAAGCAAGAATCAATGTCTTTTACAATTTCTGAGCCAAATCTATAAACCCTTAATTTCACTCAATTTCTTAAAACAATGAATAAATAAAATGTAACAGCTGTAGCAACTGATGAGCTACAGTAACTCAAAAACCTTGGTAAGGAACTGAACTTTATCCATAATATCACTATGATTTTGCTTGCAAATGATAGTATTTCTTTTTATTATGTGCAAACCTTATAACCTCGATCTTGCTGGTTTTTATCAAATATATGTCTGGAATTTGAATTTTTACTTGATTACATCTAATTAATTAATCTCCAAGAAGTGCATTAGATGGTATACCACCCATGTTGTGGCATTACATCACAACCCTACTGAGACCCTGTTGATCTCTGACTTTTTATTCCGTAAGTTGCATCAATGCTGGTTTTCTCCTCATTAGTGAAAAATATTACCCTTAACATGAGGAAATTTAAGGGAAAGGTTATTTTTGTATACCCCATGCGAGGTGAAAATCGATTTAATAACTTAAGGATTAGTAAATTTTACAAACCAAATTAAACACCCAAAGAGTGATAAAGAATATTATAACACTCATTTTCTCTCTGAGTAGATTGGAGTGTTCTTGATTATCAAATGTCTGGTTTTGTTATAATTTTGAAAAAAAAAAAATGATTTCCTTGTAGAGACTTGAATACGTTCAACACAAACTGCCTTGAATTATGAAAGGAAACCATTTTATCAAATTAGCTTGAAAGCAGTTTTATGAAACAAAAACATTTAATCATTAAGGTCTGAACAAAGTTCAGACTAATAGTTGCTTTTTAAAACAGATCAGATAAATTGCATATTGATATTGGATAAGAGACATCAAAGATAAAAGGAAATCTGAATTTAGGCAATGCTTGTAAATTAAATCTACTCTGATGAAAAGATGACACAAATCCACAGTATGCTTTTTTTTTAACAAACTAGCTAGGAATTGGGTTTTTACAACAGCAAGCATCTTTGGGAAATCAGGAGTTGTTAAATTGGAATGCCTCACCTCAAATCCATCAAAGACATAAGCCTGGTCATCTGAGCCAAGCTCTTTATCTGGAGTACAGCCTGGTCGGGCCCAACCCACTCTCATATTCCCAGCTGTCAGGACTTCGAATTCAAAATACCACTTCCCCTTGGTCACCACGTAGGATTTATCTGGTCTGAACACTCTGCTCTTTTCCACCGAGAAGAGGCATGGCTTTGATAAAGGAGCTGTCAGTCAAAGAAACAGAGTAAAAATGGTTATCTCATAAAATGAAATTTAAATTCCTCCCTTGTTAGTTTATCTTTGCAACACTGACAGAACTTACAGCAATAAACCACAATTTAAAAACTGCAACTTACTGTAGAGTTTCCATTAGGTTTCATACATTAGCTATTCATTGATAACATGTACACGGTTAAAGAGGTCCACAACAGATAGAATAGAGATAAATTAAACTGAGACTTTAAAGATTAGTGACAGGTATTTGATTCATACTCTGTTCCTGGCTTAAGGACTCCAGGCTGTAGCCAAATGCCAGCAGGATACAGACGGCCTCTCTCACACTTTCAGTGCCTGCTTTTCTCATCCTTTCATCAACAAGACTGTAAGGTACGAGGTGAGGGCTCCGCTTTCCTTTTATATCCTACAAACATAGATTGGAAAGAGCAAAGGGGTAGTTAAATGTTGTCCGAATGTCTTTAACATTTTAAGGATCTACTGTATGTACAATTATGGGATATGTGTTCAGAGAATGAGCAGTCTCATGGCATGCTGCGGGGCGAATTTGATTTTATTAAATGATTAAACAGATTAAACTTAAAACTTGTAATTGTTTTGCTGCAAGACATTTGGGTCTAAAATGTAATATGATCTAGGGGCTAAATAACCTGTAGCATTTCGTACATAATGAAAAAAACTTAAACTGATATTTATAAAATAATAGGTGGTGTGTCCAAGAGATTTTTATGTTCATTTTATTGATTTAAGTTACAATGTGTTCTTTGAAATAAGAAAATATACAATTAGAGAAATAGAATATCTTAAATTTAAATTTAATTTTCATTTGTTTAAAACAACAGAAGTATAGAGGAGATTGCCTAGTTAAAATTCCACTGATGTTCTCCCAAAGGTGCATAAGGCAAAAAAGGTGACTATCAAAAGTAAGCTAGCTTCCTATATTGCTCCATCTAAGTGCACCATTGTACAAAAAAAAACCTAACTTCAAGGGCGTGAAGGACATTAACAATATATAGACTACAGCTGGAGCCAGAGCTTCAAGAACAACAGAACATAGTTCCAATCCAGAACATGGGCAAAAACAAAATTGGGAAAGAAATGTCCTACTTTCAGATATCAGAAAAGCATGCCTTTGACATGTACATCAAGTTTCTAAAGTTTTGGAGGAAGACTTGAAAGACATAGAATCCATATGTCATGATCGAAGCACCGGTAGCTTCTATGATTACTTACATTATTCACCTGCTATTCCCTCCCTGCTCTCTAATTATTATTAATCTTATTAACCTGCTCCCTCTGCTATATATACAGTTCAGCCCAGCTATCAGGGCCAGATCATTATTCATCTATTTCTTAATTTATTTGTCTATTCTTTGTTTATTCGTGTTATGTTTTCATGTCAGTTATTCATTTTTGTTTCGTGAGAGTTAATTTCCTGGTTCATGCCCTGAGTCTTGGAGACCAGTGGATTGAGAGGGTTTGGTGTTTGTCTCCTGTCTACTGGTTGTGTCCCGGCTCAGGCTTTTGGCTTGGAATGCGGGGAAAGTCAGTTTTAATTCCTGTAAGCCTGGCTCCAAGGTGGACAACAGTTTAAAGTTTGCCGTTTATCCTGGAACCATGTCTTGTCTATGTTCCTCTCTACCCCTGAGCGTGCCTGTCTTTATCGGGGTGTGTCTGTCTGCGTATGCTGGTGGTATCATAGAACTCTGAACCTGCCTTCACACTCTGAGGATTCCTGAAAACCCTGAATCTGTCTGTTCGGATTGGAACCCCTGGTCAGGCAACGTACTATGCCTGGAACTCGGAACTGTCCGGTTCTGAACTATTTCTCTGACCTGGATCGGTCTCCTGCCTGCTCACTGGGGTTGCTGCATCTGGGACACTTTGGACGGCTCTGAGCCGCATCTTATTTAGCAGTCCATCAGCTGGATCTTGCCTTCTTCGGAGAGGATGGACTGCACTGTTAAACCAGGTAAGTGACTCACTTGGATAATCATTTCCATCAGATGATCCTGGTCACTTACCTATGATTCTCCCTCCAGAATGTCAGTGATTGGGCAGTGCCCCGCCTCCCCTTGCAGCCACTGTGGTCCGATTATCCTTAGCAGCCCGCGTTTCTGTTCTGTTCTGTCTTATCATTTCTATAATTAAACGTTTTGAATCTTCCCATTGTCTGACTTGCCTTGAATACTGGGTCCATCTGTCCCATTTTATGACACCATATTTCTTAGGGTTGAGGATGGTTTTGCCACAGTTAGTGATTAGTCATTTCACCTGTGGCTACTGGGAAATTGTTCACTGTAAGTTATCAGTTCGAAGCACTTGAATGTTGTTAAAAAGGAATGGATAGTTCTGGATTTTATACAAACCCCAAAAAAGGTAACATCTGTAATATGTGCATTTTAACTCTCACTGTTTAAATGTTAAAACTAGTCTGTATTTGTAGAAACAATTCATAAATGGGGTGCAGTCACTACTATGAAAAAAGATGCCACACTAAATTTAAGGGGATAAAAAAAATAATGGAAGTGTTAACTGCATTTCAGTTGAGAAGTTAAGTTTAAATACTGTATATGCTGTACTGTAATATGTAACTCTGGGTGTAATGATTAAGTTCAATGAGTTAGATTTTTTTTGTATTGATTTGTTGAAATATATCAAATGTTTATGGTATTCTATTGTATCGTGATCCGCCTTTATGAAACCAAGGCCACATAAAAAAATAGCACCTGCTGAGGTCCATAGGTCCATCCCTGTTTGATACGGTCTCTGGCCCATACATTATGTTGGTTTTCTGCCAGCAAGGTAACCACATGCTCATCGGCTGAACTGAGGATAATTTGTCTTAAATCTATGGGTGCAGGCCTGTAGCCACAGGGCAGCTCATACCTGAAACAGATGATTGAGAAAAAGGCATTGGTATATCAAAATCAAATCTAAAACATTTGCATAAAATATTATGTTTTATCCAAATTCTAACGATTCAAATTCCATCAAAAATTCAATCAAGCACATTAAAATTATTACTTTGCGTGTAATCTCATGTATTTGGTGCGTTCCTCAGCGCAGTCATCAGCTAAACCAATGTGGAAACCAAGTGCAAGCAGGGTCCTTCAATAAGACAACAGGACGCATTAACACACTACGTCTTTCATAATTAATATTCAACTTTTTAACCAAAATTTAAACTTTGATTGGGTTTCAGTTTGTCATTTTATGTTTCATCTATTAAAGCTTACTTAAGTGTATCCTCAGCCATCTGTAGGTTCTGGTTTCTCTCCTGCTCTGGAAGCTTGGAGAACTCAACTAGACAAGGATCATGTAGTTTGCTTTCATCTTTCACCTGTGTGTCAAAAACAGCTGTTTATTACATCACAGGCAGAACCAAAAATTAAGAGAGTGGGGATATTAATTAAATGTTTCCCTAAAAACTACTTTTCTTACTATTCCATATGTCCACCCAAGGTCAATTCTGTCCTTTAACCAGAGTTCATGAAAATTTTCCGCCATTTTTTCTTTGATGTCTTCAAGTTGTGGAGGTAATACAACCTATAAGAGAAAAACACCTGATATTGCTTTATTCAGAATTCAGAAATTCACACACAGTCATCATAGGCCAAATTGATCAGGTTTCTGTCGGACATTTTAGCATACAATAAATCCACACGTTCCGTTTAGTTTCTAAACTGTTTGTCGACAATGGCAAAAATACAAATAAGTGGAGTTGAGATAAGTTTATGACTTATGACCATTTAAGAACTGTCAAGAATGGTGGAGGTAGGATAATGCTGAGGGTCCAGTGTCATGGCTGCATTATGCAAATAAAGTGGCATAATTACGATTGAGTGCTCCTTCCAAATCCTCTAAGTTTACATAATATTAACAGCTTAAGGGTAAAAATGTTAACACAGCTGAATGTTCTAACAAAACAATAATCCCTATCATTCATTAGAACTTGTTATAAATCGCATATCATGCTTCTCAAATTTTTTCTCAGAAGTTTTGGGCTGTGCTTAAAAACCAGACCTATAAACTGCTGATCTACTGGGATTTTAACGCACAACCATCTCTAGGGTTTACAGAGAATGGTCCGAAAAAGAAAAAACACCCAGTGAGCGGCAGTTCTGTGGGCGGAAATGCCTTGTTGATGCCAGAGGTCAGAGGAGAATGGCCAGACTGGTTCGAGCTGATAGAAGGGCAACAGTGACTCAAATAACCACCCGTTACAACCAAGGTGGGCAGAAGAGCATCTCTGAACGCACAGTACGTCGAACTTTGAGGCAGATGGGCTACAGCAGCAGAAGACCACACCGGGTGCCACTCCTTTCAGCTAAGAACAGGAAACTGAGGCTACAATTTGCGCAAGCTCATGGAAATTGGACAATACAAGATTGGAAAAACGTTGCCTGGTCTGATGAGTCTCGATTTCTGCTGCGACATTCGGATGGTAGGGTCAGAATTTGGCGTCTACAACATGAAAGCATGGATCCATCCTGCCTTGTATCAACGGTTCAGGCTTGTGGTGGTGGTGTCATGGTGTGGGGAATATTTTCTTGGCACTCTTTGGGCCTCTTGGTACCAATTGAGCATTGTTGCAACGCCACAGCCTACCTGAGTATTGTTGCTGACCATGTCCATCCCTTTATGACCACAATGTACCCAACTTCTGATGGCTACTTTCAGCAGGATAATGCGCCATGTCATAAAGCTGGAATCATCTCAGACTGGTTTCTTGAACATGACAATGAGTTCACTGTACTCAAATGGCCTCCACAGTCACCGGATCTCAATCCAATAGAGCATCTTTGGGATGTGGTGGAACGGGAGATTCGCATCATGGATGTGCAGCCAACAAATCTGCGGCAACTGTGTGATGCCATCATGTCAATATGGACCAAACTCCCTGAGGAATGCTTCCAGCACCTTGTTGAATCTATGCCACGAAGAATTGAGGCAGTTCTGAAGGCAAAAGGGGGTCCAACCCGTTACTAGCATGGGGTACCTAATAAAGTGGCCGGTGAGTGTATATATATATATACAAATAATGGTTATGTATAATTTTCATAAATTGAGGATTTTAAAAGTCAAAATTAAATTTGAACAAGAATACCCCATTCATAATGATAATAAAATATCAATTATGTATGTTGTAAATCACTGCACCTTAAAAACTGTCGACATGCAGTGTTATAACCCATGAAGCAGATCTGTAATTGGCTTATATGCAAATTAGCTTATTCAAATTTGGCACAAATACAAATGTTTACAATATTGTCAGGAAAAAGGTGTCCAATTCGGCTTTATCTTGATAGAAATATGCTTTTGTGTAATAAAGCTTACCTTGCTTATGTCTACTGGAATGGGAGTAAAGGTTACTGGAGTGATCGGCACAGACGGGCCAAAGAGCTCTTTTTTCCCCTCTTCACAGTCTGAGATGTATTTCTGACATGGCTCTACCTTCAGCTTGACTTTTGGGAGAAGAGCCTCAGAGCATGAAGCATAGCCGGGAGGGGGCAGGAAGCGAAACTCCCCATTTACCCCACCGAACAGAAAACGAACTCTGATTTCAGAAAAAGGACAAGATAGGATTTAGAAATTTTCATCAAACAAAACAAAATGTATTATAGTCAGTGGCTTTAAAAGGTTTTGAGACCTTATTATAAACAAAGAATCATAATAAAGGCATAACGTGAAAACACATGACGTTAAATAGGATCAAAAGAGAAGCAAATATATTAGTTAAATGACTTTAACACTGCTCACCTGACTCCAGCTGAGAAGCTGACCACAGGATACAAAAGTCCATTAGCATGGAAGTTCTCTAACATGCCCTGTACAGGCAGACCATTGACCCGAAAGGAGATGCATGGAACCGTGAGGTCAAGACAGCAACTCACTACATCATTATCTTTCAGCAGGTGAGAAAAGGGGGAACTGACTTTACGGCCCACACAACCTGAATATTGGAGGCAGAAACAAGTCACTTAAAATGCTAGATGAAAATGAAGCAGCATTTCTGTCATACAGCTGACAAAGACGAAACAGAAGATGTACATAATATCAAGCCATGATTGCGCCATTTGCATAAATTTTAATGGGCAATAAACACTTCTATGCTGCAGTTCCTGTTTCTCAGCCAGATAATGTTTCATAAACCAATATCACTTCTGACAAAAAAAATTGCAGTTGCACTCATAACACTCACTTCTCTGGAATTACTACTGATTTCTCTCACTGATGCATGCTTTGTGTAATTCAGTCCAAAAAGTAAAAAATAATAAAAAATAATTTAACTTTAATGATCTCAAATTTGAGAAATTTACCTCTAAATTTAACCCATTCCCTTTGGTAGCAGAGGGCTGCCACTGTTCACTGCCCGGGGAGCAGTGTGGGGTTGAGGGTCTTGTTCAAGGATCAAGAATGCAGGCTGTGGGGATCAAATCAGGTATTTGCATCCTTCTCAGAGCACAAATGCACTTCTCTAACCACTAGGCCAACACTCCCAACAACAATCACATTCTGTCATCTGTCTCATGTTTTGATGATATTGCCCCCCCCCCATTTACGTTTCCTCAACATTTTGATAACAGAATTTTGTAATAATTAAAGATATAATTTTTTAAAAGAAATATATACGAAATGTCATGTATTTCATACTAAATTATCAGAAACTCTACAGTCTTGAAAGCTTTTGAGCAGACAGAGATGATTACTGTCTACAATGACGGTAATCCACAAAAGGTCAAGGCAATAAAAAGGAAAGGAATGCATTATACAAGAATATCAAATCCATATATCTATCCACCTGGGTCACAGGGGGCTGGTGCCAATCTCCAACAGTCAGAGTACACCTTCTACAGATCAGCAGTCCAGGTCACACAGCAACAAAGAGACATACAACCATGGACACTTACACACTCGCCCCTAAGGCCAATTAAGGGTCACCAATCAATCTAATTTTAATGCTTTCCGACACTAGGTAAAAAGCACTGGTGGGACCTGGACAGAATCCAGGTAAGCACAGGTAGAACAAGCAAACCTCATGCAAAAGCATCCTGTCTCATGTCTGGATCGATTCTTTACCTTTTTGCTACAAGGCAACAACGATATGAACTGCTCAACTGTGCAGCCCAGTTGTAAAATAACTGTGCCAATAAGTGGCTGAAAAAAAAAAGATAAACGGAAAGGAAATAGTAATAAACAACCATATTTAAACACCATAAATTGCCAGGTGCAGCCAGGAACAGAGATGTTATCAGCCACTAAGTCATAAACTGGCTTTATGGATCGTTCAATTTTTTTCACACAGAGTTCTGAACTAAAGTTGTGTTTGTGAGGGCAGACAGCAAAGAAAAAGTGGAGTTCTGGCCTCTTCATTTACTGATTCACCAAGGGTAAAACAATACTATTGGGCAATTTGGACTCTTGAATATTTGGCACATCAGGTAACAAGCCCAGCTTGAACCATGTTCTTGAATATCTACAGACTTCCTAAGTCCAAAACAAACTTTATAAATGAGTTTAATGGCCTTGTTTTTTATGATAGCTGCTGATTAAGAATACCTAATTATTGGTTTTGACGTCCTGCAAGACTAAAAATCAAAAGAACTATGTGATTCACTTAGAAATGTATTTACAGTATGTAAAAAATAAACTACTGAATGGCTTAGCACCAAAGCATCACCTTTTAACTCTGATGCCTTTCTTTTAACATTTAGTCATACTGGATGTAACTGAAACTGTTGGAAATTTGCTATTTAAACCTCTTAAGTCTTCTAGCTCTTCTACTCTCCATACCCAAAACCAGAAACTGACATTGAGAAGCTGATTTGAGTTCCCATGCTCTTTTAATCTTGACAAACCTCCTATAAAACTGTTAAAGTGTTGCTATTAGTGTTGGCCGATGCCATTTCTTTGGCCCCCAAACCGATTCCTGGCTGTGCAGTATTGGCCGATACCATACCGATACCATCTGTTTGAAATTGATGTGTTTGTGTATATATGAAGAACTGCATACTACTTGGATGTAAAAAAAAAAAATGCCATCATGGCTTTGTCAAGCTGCTGTCTACCTTTGTGAAGCAGGAAAAAAGACTAATACAAAGTGAATCCAATAGAACTTTTTATTGCCTACCTGGAATGGGTGACAATAGTTGAATAAATTTATGGCTCTCAAAATGGAATCTGTGCCCTATTTGTTGGTACTCGCCTATACCGATACCACCATTTTAGTGCTGAATCGGGGCCCTGCCCAATACTGGTATAGGTATCGGTACAACACTAGTTGCAATATATCAATAATAATTTAACCTTATTGATCTCACATTAGAGAAATGAACTCTGTGCATTTAACCCATCTCCTTGGGGAGTAGTGGGCAGCCATTGTGCAGCGCCCGGGGAGCAGTAAAGGTTAAGAGTATTGCTCAGGGACCCAGAGTGCAGACTGTGGAGATCAAACCGGGAACTTGCAACCTTCTCAGAGCACATGTGTACTGCTCCAACCCACTAGGTCAATAAGATTTTATTTTATTTATTGGGAAATCCAAATCCAAACCTAAGTGATTTTTAATTACAAAAATAGCCTAACTTTTATACCAAACCTACATGAGTTACTTTTTTGAAACTGATTACCAACCAAGATTAACCTACAAATGATAACCTATCCCTCTTGGATGCACATGTTACAGAACTGTAAATGAAAACTCTGTCTCAGGTTTGATCTCCTCCTTACCTGACCACAGGTGTAGCCCATCAAAACCAAACGAGTAGAGATCATCTCCTACTCCGTTGCCCCCCCATCCTTCTCCTCCTGTGGGCCTAGGCAGGTAGCCTTTGGTGAAGGCCCAGCCAACACGCAGGTGTGTTGGTTCAGCTGTGAGAAATGGCTCAGCCTGATCTACGACCAACTCGTAGTACCACCTCCGGTGCTGAGCTGACGTGTCTCCCATAGCAAGGAAGATGTTCGGTCTCATGCTGTGTGGAGTCGTGCAAGAAGGAGGACAAAAGATAAGGAGCATTTATTTAAAAACTTTTATTCAGAAATACATAATTCAAGCGCATGTAACAAGTAACAGTAGCACTACCAACATGACATTAAGGTTCATATTGCTGGCTTGGCATTAAAGTAAATGATGTAATGTTTCTTTTTTCTATAAAAAGAAAGTTTCTGTGAGGCTACCATCTGCTTCTATGTGAATATATTTTTTTTGCATATGCTTGTTTTTTACTCCCTGGTTCCTGTTTGTTTCTACCTGTCAGTATAAGTACTGTATAGCTTAAAGTGTTACCTCAGCACCACAAGTTGTCCATATTCCTCCAAGCTGGAGGTAAATTAGCAGTCATTGTTTAAAAGCAGAGCAGCATTTGAATTATATATATTTTTTTCTTGTGAAAAAGATCAAGCTCATGCAGGGGATGAAACAGTTAAATTGACTGAAAACAGGACCTAACATTTAATTATTTTCGTTGCAGGAGTATTTTGAAATATAATTTGTAAAAAATAGCAATGTTGGTATCTTCTATAGATAATTGTAGGCACCAAGACAGAATCATGAGTCAGAGTATATATGTTTAGGCCAGTCACACAGTTTCTGAAATTCTCCAATTATCTGACTTCAATTAAAAACTCAACTTCATCTAGTGTAAAATCATAAGACAATAAAAGCTGTTTAAAAATTCAATGACAAAGACAAACTTTGCGCCATTCAAATTCTAATTGTACAGATATTTGAGCTCTTTTAAGGTTTTTTTTAAATATAAAGATTGCTTTAACACAACTAAAAAGTTGCTTTTTTCATACAAATTCATACTGAATCTCTGTTTGGGATTAGTAAAGTATTATTGAATTGAAATTAATTAAGATATTTCTTCATAAAAATGTTAAAGGATGAAGACAGAACATGACAGAGAAAGATATTTTCAGAAAAAAATTATAATCACATATAAAATAATTGTAAACAAAACTCCCAAGTGACTAATCAAAATACGAAGGAAAGGAGGAAACTCAAACGTCACATAACTCAAAGGAAAAAGGGAAAAAAAGGACACTTTCCCCAACATCAGACTGGTGCAGCAGGTCAAGCATTTAAAAGGAAGAACAGGAAAAACATGAAAGATGATGAAACTGATTTGAAAGTGTCCAAAGAGTAACTGAGATGACTCATACCACCTCAGGGAGCAAATATCTACACCAATGTCCCACTGTAATAGGTTAGGATTAACACTTGAAACACACCTGATCTAGGGCTACTTAATTATAGAAACATAATCAGCATTACAATCGTTAATTATAATAACTCATTGAATTGCAAATGAACTTACATTCCAGTTATGCTTGCAAAGTAGAATGTAGCAAATTTATCTCTTTGTTCTTGTGATGATTTAGTGCAAAAATTAAAATCAAGATTACATTTCATTAAATGCAAACCCCTACTGTAAGAATGACCTGTTCAAGAGAAAATAAGATGAACATAAACCTAAAAAAAAAGGTTCTATAATATGAGGAAACCTTCGGCATGCTAAAAAGCACCAAATATACCATGAAGAAAGTGATTATATAAATTTTTTAAAGGAAAAGAATAAAGACTAATATGATTATTATCGAGATGCATCTTTTTTAACAGAAAAATTGTTATAGCTAAAATCCTCTTTTAGTTTTGTGAGCTTTAAATGAGACAAACTGACAAAACTTCAAAGAAGTCTAAATGCAGGGGAATTTAGGGCAGGTCTGGGGTAACAGGAGAGAACACACAGACAAAGGACGGACTGAAACAACACTTATAAATCAAGTCTTATTTGAAAGAAACCTGTCTGGAGTACCTGGTGACCTGATTAGTGAGTCGTGTTTGAAGTAGCAAATCTCTGTCTGGCAGCAAGTTGTCACAGATGAGGTTCTGATTGGAGCGCACGGCTACGCCATGGCACACACACAGTGAGCACAGCACCTCCAGCACCTGCAACACAACCCAGTCCAAGTGATTCTGGCCAAAGATCAATGGTTAATCTTAAAGTTGCTTTCCAATACTTTAAATACTCTTACAGTATGTTTAAACAAATAACAGCACAGGACCTTTGGGAATTTTGTTTAACAAGCTACAAAAATATTATGTTTGCCTGTTCTACTTTTGTCAATGCTTAGATCTCTATCTATGGTTACTGGCACTGCAGATAAAGAATTGTAAGGTAGACATAGAATAAACTTTTTTTAGCATCATAATGGAATATATGAATCTTAAGATAAAAAAATCCAAAATGTATTTAGTGTAGAAAGAAAGCCTACATTTTAGGGCTACAACTGATAATGCAGTGTTTTGCTAATCGATTAATCTGTCGATAATTTTTTTCTATTGATCAATTAATAATGGGATAGCAAAAGGTTCCTTAAAGAAGATTTTTTACAGAATTAAACCAGGTGAAAATAAAACGCTTCCCCTTGTGGAGTTCTGGATGGAGCATATTGAAAGATTTAAAAGTTTTTTACATGTAAAATGCTAAATATTTATGTATATATTTTTAACAATTTTGGTATAATTACTTCTCAAAGTGGTTGCTCTGTCAGCTGAAGGCGTGTTTCAGAGTCTCTTTACTCTAAAACTTGATTAATCCACTAAAGTAGTTGTGATTATTGAAATACTCCTTTAATCATGATTAATTTAATTAATTTTTCGGCCCTACTACATTTTAGAATAAGTATTTCAATAAGATTATCAAGGCAACCACATTTAGCACATGTGCTTTTGTAACACTGCTTTTTCCCCCAAAAAGACAGCACTCACATGGTTTTTCACAGGGTGAGATCTCATAGAAAGAAGGATGTACGATCTTTCCTCTTGCATATATTCTTCATAGACCATCCATGGTTGTGGCTCCTGCATTATGATCCCCTCAGTTTACCCTTCAGGTTTCTTATCTAGACTTTTGATATTTGGCTTACATCATAACTCTGTTGAATTGTTCATTGATTATCCAATTTTAAGTTTTAAGGCTGTTTAAATTACATTTAAAATCCCCCCTCATGTGACCAAAGTAGACCCTTTCAGTTAGGGTTTTAGTGGAGCTTCTTTTCTGGTATCATTCAAACAATGGTAACACTTGCTGCAGATCTTTAACAATGCGTTTTAATTTAATTATTTTTTTTACAGTGTGACATTTATCTCCCTAATTAAACATGATTACACAATAACTTAACAGCTTCTCTTTTTTCTAAGACAAATAATCTTGATTTTTATTCAAAGCAAACAGAAAACATAAAGTTGTATACCTTGTGGTTCCGTCCATGCTTTTCCAGAAAAGAGATAATAGCCTCAACGTGTCCACTTTTTATGACAGTTATGGCCTCGGGACTCTCTACTAGAACACAGTGCAGAACTTCCAAGACTCCTGGAAATGGAAAAGAGCATTGGTATATCATAGAACTGCTGTTTTATAATCTGTGTTTTTATAATAAAATAATATACAAAGGACAGAAGAAAATGGTAGGAGTTGGAAAATCAGTCCTTTGCAATGGCACAATCTAAATAGGTAATTTTCATTCCTATTAAGAACAATTTGTGAAAATTGAAACATTAGTATCAAACCAACCGGAAGATGCTTCTAGATGGTCTAGTCTGCCTATCAGCCAGTCAACAGAGCTTGCGAAATGAGCACAGTTTCCACGGTTTCCCTGGATCAAAGAAGCTAAAGATAAAATAAAGTCAGACATTCTGAGAGAACTATTGAGAGACATGTGCATACCGGGCAGAAAAAAGGTTATCTGGTTGGCTTAGAAACATTTAAGTCAAACCAGCTGTTTATGAATGAATATTTTGGTACTCTTACCCAGTAACTCATAGAACAGGCTGATTACGGCCTCCCACCGCTCTCCAGCATCACACTGAGTAGCCTCGGCAAAATAAGAGGCACTACTATAATGGTGTAGATGATCAATGCAGTCCAAGACCAGATCTATCACACCCTGAGAAGAACAAAGAGGGCATTTTTTGGTTCCTCTGATAAACAAAACAGCAAACGCAGTTTGATTTCCACCATTCCTACCTCTTCTTTAAACATGTTCTGGCGTTTCTTAAGAGCAGCAATCTTTTTCTGCTTTTCTTCATGGCTTTGTTCCCCACATGGTGTCTGGAAGTACTTGATGAGATCCTGGAGGCTGCATATCACTGTCTTCATTGGCAGGCTGACTGAGGAAAGGTTTCCATCATGATTAAAACCATCGAGGTTCCTAAAGGAAATGCAAGACGTATTTTAAAGGTACATCCATTCATCTGCTAAAAGAAAATTTTATAAAAATTAGACGGAACATTTTAGTTTCTATATTTTAAATAAGGTGTATTAATCATGTTTTACAGTACTGCAGAAAGTGCCCAGATGTTTTGGCTTTATTACATTTGTCATATTGTTTCAGATCATCAAAGAAATCAACCTGTGTACGAAAAATCAATCCCCCATAATAAACGACTTCAACAACCTCTGAGGAAACAATTGCTATTAGGTATTTAGAATAACTGATGATAAGTCTTGTACCACTTTTAGAGGGTTTTAGAGAATAAACAATCATGAAACAACATCTTAATTGAATATCAGCCAATCAGAGGTGGACTTTCTCATGCGCTTTAGATCATTGTCTCCTACATAAGCTCAAGCTCATGTAGCAGACCTTCAGGGCTTTAAAAGGATTCTTTTGTGACCCTTTGAGTTTTTCATGAATTGTTTGATTAGATTTGGTACTGAAATTTACAAGACTAATTTTATTATTTACTAAGGTAAAAGGAATCTAAAATTTACAATTCTTTTTACTCATGACTTTAACTTTGTTGTCCACAGTTGAAAAATGTGATAGGAGATGGGATAAAGCTCATGGAAGGAAATGTGGTCATCCAAGCATGCCTGTACCTTCATACCAGAAAATCATACCTACTTAATTTAATCCAATAAGCATACTCCTTTCTAAACCTGCAGTCAATTAATAAAAAATAACTTAATCCACTGAACAGCTTCAAACCTCAATGAAGAATGACTTTCTGTGCTCTATATTCTCATAAAGCCGAATGACTTGACCAAGCACCAATCACCTGATGAAGTGAGTAAACAAAAAGATAGCATTCCGGATGAGTCTGGCAGTGTGAGATTCTTCTCTCTGAGATCGAGACAGAGTCAGCCCATCATCCATGTGACCCTCGCTGTGCAAAATAGCCTGAAAACAAATCATTTGTAGTTAGAATCCATTCAAAAGTGCAGTAAAAGAAAAGGAAACCAAGGAGTCTAATGTTTTACCTTGCGCAGATTCCCACCCAAGCGGCACTTGGCATCTGCAGCTTGATAGGTTAACCACAGTCCTGAGTCCAGATGCTGAACATAACACATGGAGTCTCCATACTTGATTTCTGGGATTCCCATACCATCAGTATCTGTCTTTTTGCCAGCATCAAGTTTTTCCTGCCCACAATTACAATTCTGATCAATTAGTCATAAACTATAAACTGTATTGTATCAGTATTTTAAAGTCATCTACTGGAATGTGCTACTTTTAATAATTTATATATGTTTGTCGTACACTTTCAAGTGGAAAATAATTGATGCCTAACAGTGAAACTGTCTTAGAAACATCCAATGTACTTCTAATTATCATGCTGACCTTTGATGATCTGAAGCAGAAAGAGGTTGTGTTGATATCAGCTTTGTCCCGATCGACTAGGTGCAAGCCTTTTTCCTCTGTAAGACCCAGGTACCTTCCAGTTGTTACATGGCACAATCTAAAAGGCTCGCCCCAGCAGGTATGCCTCCCACTCCACCTACACAACGTTGATAACAAACTCATACAACTTCCTCATAGCATTTTCACAAGCAAAGCTAAATATGTTTCTTTTAAAGGTTAAAGGATCCTCAAATCTTGTGTTCACTTACGCAACTCGTAGAATTTCCAGCCTCCAGAGGGACCGTGCATGACCAGACACCGATCCAATCTCATAATGCATTACTCTAGAAAAACAGAGGCATGGTCAGAGAGTCATACAATGTTTGTTTTTTTTATCTTGATTTTTTAAAGGCAATTTCAAAGGACCTTTGCAGCTCATCCTCATGCTCTGAAGAAGGAATAGTGAGACAGGCATCACTGTGGCTGTGAAGCAGACGCAATGTTTCACCCCCCTTTAAATAACCTGGAAAAAAAACACACTTTACATCATCAATTTATAGAGAATGGCTGTCTTAACAAAGTAAATCTAAACACAACTGAAGCTTTAAGTATTAACTGACGGAACCACCAATGGCATAAGCAGAGGTAAGCAGAGTATGCAGGTGTTTAGGGGCCCCCAACCTCTTAGGGGCCCCATCACTGACACCTGGTTGGCCCCCTACACAATTGTGGACTAGGACGTCTCTTTGCGGAAGTAATGGTGCAAAAAATTCCTGTAAAAACCCACCTGATACTAGGTTGACTGAACAGACCTTATTTATACCCCAACACATGCCAGATTTCAACATGATGGTGAGCCATTTAAACACGACACCAGTAGCAAAGCGGACAGTGGTACTTTTAATTACTATGTTAATAGCTGTGTATAGTTCATTAGACAGTTGGTAAAAAATACACTCGTATAATATGTTTCAAACTGCAAAACGATCTTAAAGGAAAGATGTATTTCGGTATTTCATTTTTTACAATACGACTTGGAATTATGGGTAATCCAGTGCGTAGATTAAAGTCATAACCGTTACGTACAATGTGTTAGCGACAATGGATACCAAGATGAGGTACTTTAGCGGATTTCAGGAAAGAACAAGTAAGAAGAGCTGCTGGAAGAACAGAAAAAACTTCCCAAAAATAAACACGTTCTGTCAAAGAACCGAAGAGGGAGAGGTGGACGTTGCTGCTGCTACAGTGAGTAAAGATTGCGACCAGGAAATGAATGGGGAGGGTGGGTGAGGAGGGGGGCTGTTAAACTCAAGGTAGCCCAATAAGAAAACTTTTACAGCAGAATATAATATATATCCATGTCTAGTGAAGGTGAAGAATGATACAATGATGAAGTGTGTATGTATGGGGCACATTTAAGGTCTTTGTCTACGGAAGCAGTGGCGACTTCATATGGGGCCCACCCAGATAATATTGCTTAGGGGCCTATTGCTGTGTCATTACGCCATTGTGAAACACAGTCATTCAACCAGAACATTAGCTTTTATAAACAAATCTATAGCATGTATGTCATGTTGGTGTTTTGAGATTTAAAAAACACAAAGGCTTAAAAAAGTATGATTTTACCTCATTGTATTTTACAGTATGATACAAAAAACTATCATATACACTCACCGGCCACTTTATTAGGTACCCCATGCAAGTAACGGGTTGGACCCCCTTTTGCCTTTAGAACTGCCTCAATTCGTCGTGGCATAGATTCAACAATGTGCTGGAAGCATTCTTCAGGGAGTTTGGTCCATATTGACATGATGGCATCACACAGTTGCCGCAGATTTGTCGGCTGCACATCCATGATGCGAATCTCCCGTTCCACCACATCCCAAAAATGCTCTATTGGATTGAGATCTGGTGACTGTGGAGGCCATTTGAGTACAGTGAACTCATTGTCATGTTCAAGAAACCAGTCTGAGATGATTCCAGCTTTATGACATGGCGCATTATCCTGCTGAAAGTAGCCATCAGAAGTTGGGTACTGTGCGTTCAGAGATGCTCTTCTGCCCACCTTGGTTGTAACGGGTGGTTATTTGAGTCACTGTTGCCCTTCTATCAGCTTGAACCAGTCTGGCCATTCTCCTCTGACCTCTGGCATCAACAAGGTATTTCCGCCCACAGAACTGCCGCTCACTGGATGTTTTTTCTTTTTCGGACCATTCTCTGTAAACCCTAGAGATGGTTGTGCGTGAAAATCCCAGTATATCAGCAGTTTCTGAAATACTCAGACTAGCTCTTCTGGCACCAACAATCATGCCACGTTCAAAGTCACTCAAATCACCTTTCTTTCCCATACTGATGCTCGGTTTGAACTGCAGGAGATTGTCTTGACCATGTCTACATGCCTAAATGAACTGAGTTGCCGCCATGTGATTGGCTGCTTAGAAATTAAGTGTTAACGAGCAATTGGACAGGTGTACCTAATAAAGTGGCTGGTGAGTGTATATACATATATATATATATATATATATATTTTTTTTTTTTTTTTTTTTTATGTTTGTGTGCCTTAACAGGTGTCCATTAAAAGAAGAGAATCTGGAATAATTATATAAATTATGCTATTTCTGTATCAGAAAATAAATCTCCAGATTTAACCCTATTTAATGATTAACTGTCTATTTAATTTGACAATTGCCTAAACAATAAAATAACCCCTAGCAACATCATATTTTTTGGTATTATCGGTTAATTTGGTTAATACAGTAACCTACTCTTTTACGTTTAGTAGCTTAAGCTTATTTTAATGTATACAAGCCTCCCCGCAGAAGCTTAAGCTACTAAGCCTTATTTACCTACCGTCTACCTAAAACAGCTTGGAGAAGTTTTTCACCGCAGCAAAATCTTTCACCTTCTTCCTCTTTGGGTTCCCGTATTGAGCCCCTAACTTCCTTTACAGCGCCACTGCTCCAAACAGGAGTTATAGTTATGCCTATGCACCGCAAACAGCGCATACTGCTTTTTTGCTCCACAGAATTTTATAAAACGTTAAAACAGGAAATTTACGGGAAAATTAAAACGAGAGGATGGCGGTAAAGGTGGTGAAATATTGTAGTTTCACAGCTAAAACAAGAGACTTGACTGCTATGCACACCTAAACCTAAACCTAATTGCTACTAAAAGAGGATAACTTCTCATGGAGACCAGTCCTTGGTCCCCACAAGTAAAGCAAAGCCTACCTATAAGTCCCCCAAAATTAGTATATTTCCAGAGAACTGTCCTCACCAGCTAAAAAATACAGGGACAACCATATACACTCTCAGAAACAAAAAACAAGACAACCAACACACAAAAAACCCTACCAACGCTAAACCAGCCACATTTATAGAGCTTTTCACCACAGGCTGGACTTTATGTAAAATTTAAATGCTATATTTCTAAATAATCTTTTGTTCATGTCTTCTACAAATGTTTCTCTTTTTTTCTAAGAACTGAGAGTTTAATATCTAAAATGTGTGTTTATTTTTACTGAGGGTGCTTGATATTTTTTATAGAGTTTTATTATTTTCGGTCTGTTGTTGTTTTTTGTTGGTTTTGTTGTTTTTTGTTTGAATATGCATTCTGAGTCGGATGTCTCACCAAATCTTATCATGTTCCCACAATGACAAGAGAGATTCTCAGTTCTGGAAAGAAACTAAGAATTAGATTACGTGTTGCTTTTCTTTAAAAGAACTGACAATGTGACTGTTCCTGCAGATTTCCATTAGAACAAAAATATTTTTTAGAGTTTATTTATTCTCTTTATTAAGACAATATACTCATTTTAGATAATCTATGTATGTTTTTATTTTTTTCCTTTTTATTGTATTTCTTTCCTTTTCATATAAAGTGTTACATTGTAGCGTTTTGCCTTGCTTTCATTCAAAGCCTCTTTAAACACATTTTACAGCTGAGCTTTATAATGCAAAAAAAAAAAAAAATGTTTATCAACATGCTTAGAGAACAAAAAGAAAGGAAACTTGCCTTGAGCAATGGCACCTCCAGAACAGATGGGAGCAACACTCCACAGAGTCTGCTGGAAGGAGGCGCTGACGATTAAACTGCCACTTAGGCTTTGGTTGTCTGACACAGTTCCAAAGGACAGATGCTGGGGGGGAAAAAAGAGAATATGAAAAATGCGCTCATCAGATGTAAACACAACTTTCTCTGATTTTTATGCTGCAATAACTGTTATCATAAGCAATTATGCAAAACACCTCATCAGGAAGACACTAAGGCAGCTTCTGCTTCAACTCAATGTACATTTAACAGATTTTAGTTTCTCAATAATACGAGTAAGACTAAGAACACAATTTAGACTGCACAAACAAAACATCATAGACACAAAAATCTTATGTTTAATTGTATTATTTCTGTTACTGGGTGACACTTCAATAACCGATACAAAAAAATCAGTATAAAAAAAATAAACCCCTTCCTTTACTCACCAGATATCTCTCAGAGGACACACTAACCAGTATAAGGTCATCTCCAACACGCACCTTCTCGCCCTCTGACCTCTGCCTGGAAGCTGGATGGACAGTCCACCAACATGCCTCACCTGAGCCATGAGCAGAATTTAGATGAGAAGAAACTTCAAAATAAAAAACACTTCACTCACAGCTAAGGGCCACAAAAAGGACTATGATAAATAAAACAGATCAGGTTGAATACAGTAGATAAATAAATTATTTACCAGCTTTATTCTCTTGCAGACCAACATCAAATGCCAGTTTGTCAGGTGAAGTCTGGGATGAAGACAGGCAGCAAAGATACTGGAAGGGAAATATAAAAAATGCATATCAAAATTTATATATCAATATTTCAAAGATGTATGAAACAAAAACAAAATTGTTATGAGGCATTTCAGAAAACATTGCATTTTGCACCATATTTATTGTATTTTACAACATATTTATTTTTGCACTGCACTGAAAGTTTTTCATATTAATGCCCATTTGCACCATTATTTAAACTGGTTTCTTTTTTCTCGTTACTTTTTTTACATTCTGATTACTGCTGCACTTTATATTAATAATGCTTATTTATTACAACTGTAATAATAATACACTGTTTTAATCTGTATACAACGAAATTTCGTTTTGTATACACTATGACAATGACAATAAAGTTTGTAAAAGTCTAAGTTTGTCTAGTGTAAAACATTAGAAAGTACAAATCATTTTCCCAATCCTAACTGAGGTAATGTACAAAAAATGTATTATAAAGTCAAACTATATATCAACATGGATGTTTTTTCAAAAATGTGTAAATATTTGGTTTCAACTGTGTGTTGGCAGGATCAGTTAAAACTCACCATGCCACTGAAGGAGTGTAAAAACATCACTGCCTGGCCATACAGCAGGGTCCGATGGGCAACTCCAGCTCCAGCCTGTTAATCAACATTATTCAACTTAAAATACTTTTTTTTTTTTTAACTTACATTTCCAGGTGAAAAATAAGAGGTGGCATTATTTCTTAAAAAAAAAAAAAAAAAAAAACACACACACAAACAACATGGACCAAATCACTATAAAGTCAGTGACTGATTTGAATTTCAAAGCCTCAAATTTTGCTGACCATGTGTTAAAACGAATATTAAAGACACTGTTATAAACAAAAATCTAGGTACCCTAAGTAAAAATCCTTAAAATGCAGTTTACAGTGCTTTCCCATTAGCACAATGCTGCACTTACATGTATTGGGGGAAAAATGTCTTTATTTAGACTACAGATTACATTTTTTGTTTAAAATTATTAGGGCTGAAACAACGTATATATATATATATATATATATATATATATATATATATATATATATATATATATATATATATATATATATATATATATATACATATACATGCATATTTATGAACATTTTGCATTCAAGTAAAATAAACAAACAAAAATTGTCTGTCAATATGCTCTATCCAGAACTCCTCAAGAGGAAAAGTTTGAGTTTTACCTGGTTTAATTTCGTAAAAAAAATCTTTGGTTATACGATTATTAATTTATCAATCAAAAAAATAGTCGACAGATTAATCGAATTGCAAAATAAATGTTACTTGCAGCCCTTAGAAATATACATAGAACCTCAGAAATCCGAGGTTCAAATTCAATTAAATGATGAATTGAAGCTTGTTCTATTTAAATCCAAAGTATCCAAGATCTTTGAATAAGAAATCTATGACTTTCTGTTTCCTCTGAGAGACAAGGTCAACTTATATACAAGATTGCATGCAAATGATGGAGGCCACATCTTTATCTGCATCGGTAAAGACAAATAAAAAAGTTTTAAACCAATTCCACTGTGATGAAGTGATGGCAAAACTACGACAAAGTGATGTATTGTTGGCAAAAGATGGCTATAAACAAATGTAACACTGTGGGTTCCAAGAGTTTGCCAAAGATGATGTTAAAGCAATTATTTATAAACCTGAGACTTTACATGTTTTTTTTATAAACCTGACAGTGTTATATACATATTTTCAGTTTTGTGTTGACATCTCGATCAAGGGTGCCTATAATTAGAAAGCTTTAATAACACAACTTATATAACCTCAGATCTGATTTTTAGATGTTACAACGCTACATAAAGTCCATCATTTGTTTTTCACTAAACCCTCAAACCAAAAAATTAGGCATGTGGAAAAAACATGTTAAGCTAAAATTTTATGAGAAAATGTATAATCTAAAAACTTTAGGTTTAAGGATGAATGTCTGATTGTAAGACATGTAAGGGGAAATTGATTAATTTAAACACGGACTGTATAAGATAAAGTGAGTTATCCCTCAGATGAGCCAAGAGATCCATTCATTAAGGTGCACTGAGAGGGAATAGAAGGGAACAGATCCTCACCTCTGCTGCCAGTTGTCCACCATGGGCCAACATCTCCTGCAGGGCTCGGACTGAGAGACACTGAGCCAGAACGAAGCCACACACAGACAAGTCTGGAGGAACATTCTGGCAAAAAATAAAAGAACACAGAATTCAGTTACTAATCCACTTTCATGTCTAATTTTTTTTTTCTTTTTATGTTTGCTTTTGTTAAGAATAACTAGTAAAATACAAAATTATGTGTTTTGTGCACACTAAAAACAGATAAATCTATAATTATTTATAGATAGATAGATAGATAGATAGATAGATAGATAGATAGATAGATAGATAGATAGATAGATAGATAGATAGATAGATAGATAGATAGATAGATAGATAAAAATAAAATATATATTACATCTTGTTACAAATGATTATGCCTTGCAAATGTGTTCCTTCTCCTTTTATTAGGATGCCATGGTGCACCCAGAAACTTTATTTTCATTGCATCTTAATTAGATTTTATGTGACAGAACAAAACCAAGTGTTTTGTAATTGTGAAGAAAAAAATCCTACATTGTTTCTAGAAATCCCATAAATAAGAATATATAAATAGTAACGCGCATGAGTAAATAATTTTTTTTTAAAAGTGTTTTACTGCAGTTTCAACTTTTAGATGTTTCCCTTAACCAGCTCTCAACACCCACAAAACTGTGATTTCTACAGATATACATATATTTCTAAATAGCAGAGAGAAGCAAATAATAAGTCAGATCCTTAATTGGATTTAATTATAGACTCTATTAAAAGGATAATATGCTTTGATCAAAATCATTTGATTATATGTCTTTTTTAAATATCACTTCCACATTGTAAGTCATTTTTTAATCATTTTACCTTCAGCATTACTTCAGTTTTTCATTGTGGATTATTTTTATCCAATTTGTTGAATTATTTCAGTCACGTCCCCTGATGTCATAATGGTTGAAAAATGGCATCACAGAGGAGCAACAAAATCACCTCAGAGGAGCTTTATACCTTGCAGTTTGAAGTGGGCTCAAGCCGGCAAAGCCTACTGCCAAATCCTTCAGCAGCAAGACAGAGTTTCAAATTTCCATCATGGGAGGTAAATGTGCTCTGCAAAACCACCTCATCTCCCTGAGAAAAGAAAAGAAAGAAAATAGAATCGAAATATACACAACGGTAACAGCACCAAGCACTCTTACTTAAATTTTCAATTTCGACAAAAAATAAAAGTCTGCAAAGACATTTTTTTTTTTGTGATGACTTTAATTGTATGATAAAGGAAAAGAAAACTATAATAATAATGGTTAAAAACTCAAAGAGCATTTACAGTAGATCTCAACCACTATCCTTTATTATCTTATCTCAATTTAAATGCCACATGCACCATGTCAACCGATTAGACAATACAGTCTATTTAAAGAAGTGCAAGAAAAGGACTCCAGATGGCCAGGAATACCAACACCTCTGTACTTATAATTTAGGCAACCATATCAGGAACGTGCTGCTCTATCTGACCCCTGATTCAACTGTCTTTCCACTCTTCATATCAGCAGAAGCATGTGATCAGTGGAACACACAACCCAAGCCGAAGCAGCCAGGGCCATTCTTAAAGCTTTAAAACTTTAGCTCAGCGGTACATCCAGGAGGTAATCATTTAATATGATGTAGGTCTTGATGAAAAGGTTAAATGTCAGGGAATATCATAATATTGTAATGAAATCAACCTAAGTTTGATAGAACTATATTTGAAAAGAATTTTGTGAAACAGAAAAAAAAAAAATTATTTAAGTACTTATCTTTGTAAAGCAATTTTATGTGTCCTATCAGTTGTATTCAAGGGTCAGCAGAGCAAGTTATTAAGACTTACAGACTTAGCCAAGTTCCTACACCAGATTCCCTTTGTGACACAAGCAGGTTCCCTCCTTTACAGTCGAAGATTTAAACTACCTCCCCTTATCGACTGCTAGTTTAGTCAAGCAATTATTTTTTATAGACTGTTGTGTTTTCGATTTCCGTAACTAGCTAATTAATGTAAAAGATTTTATGAATGATTTTAAGAGTTACTTAAGTTTATCTGCATGTTCTTTCGTCTCACGTCCACCATGACATGCTGTTATCAGAAGGCAAAGATTACAAAGTGTAAGTGGACAACCATCATGCAGACCACAATGATAACATCTTGTAATGAGAATGAGAAACAGGAGAAAAAGCTTTTTGTTTCGTTTCATTTTATCCCCTTTAATTTAAAATAAAGTTGGAGGAATCGTCTGGATGTGTAAGGAAGGAGGTATTTATAATATTTAAAAACCTTTTGGATATATAATTCGTGCAACTAAAGAAAACATTGCCTTCATGTAAAAATGAAAAAGATTTTCAACTGATAGCCTAACTTAAAAGCTATATTTTACAATTCAATAAACTCTGTATGTTACTGTGAGGATTGTTAGGAAACACATACAATATTAATTCCCTAAGTCTTTAGTATTAAGTTTATTCAGTAGCAGTTAGCATCAACTAAGTCAAATAGGGTTTGTGACTTACCGTTCGCAAAAACTGAACCTCATCGTCTCCCTCTCCACTGGTGGTCATTATTTAACTAAAACAGGTGACATCTGACAGGACTCAGCGGGAGCATCCACACTGAGGGGACCCAGAAAGTTTGGAGCAGAGACACAAAGTAGCAAGGCCTTTAATCTGTGGGCGGTGTCATTCTTAACAACTTATCTCATGAGGCCTTTTTCAGCCAGAGCTGTTGCTTCAACACAAATGAGGACAGACAACTTGATTTTTGATTGAATTCTAACGGAACGTTTGTACTAGATTATTTGGCTCTGTTTAAGATGTACTTACAAAATGCCATGAACGATAACTTTCCCTTATTTAAATCAGTTTCAAGGTTAGGAACATGTGTGCAACAAAATGGAGCAAACAAAAGAAATATTTTTAAGATGTAGAGGGCAAGTAACAGTCAGATGCAACATCAGGAAGGTAAATGGGCTAAAAGAGCTTTTCAGTATTTATTCACACCTTCCCAGTGTTTTTGGAATTACAATTCATATAACAGTTTTATGACAATCCCATTCTGTCACCATGAACTTGATTAAATTGTTCTAACAAAGTAAGCAAAATATAAATAGAAATACACACAAAAAAAAGTGCTTTCTTTTGGAGATATTCAAAAGTAGTGAAAGACTTAATCACTGCTCAGACTCTAACTCAACAGCCATATATTCACATTTTCTCCATCCTGCACTCAGAATGTCTTTGTCACATCATCTCTTTTAAATATCTGAATATTTGTTTTGTTTTTTATATTTGTGTTTAATTATGGTCACTGGAGAGCATAGAGTGATTAATTACACAGTCAGGTTTGCAAACTGAATAAATAGGTCAACTCTTAATTTACTGCCATAACTTCAGAAGCTCACACTGTTTTCCAAAAAAACAAAGACAATTAGAAGAGTTTTATTGATACAATTATTTAAGTCTTTGGTGCTCAGACCTCGGCAGGAAACATTGCCACAGAATTTGCTTTAATATGCATAAACAGGAGTAAATAATAGGGATGTTTCCCTTGGGTCTGAAACTGGTGGTGGAGTCAAGAGGATGAAGTTGGTCAGTCCATGACTGCTGGCTGGCGAACGGTGTGTTTGAGCTATATGAAGAGATCTGGTGGGCTGCGTGAGCGGAAATTAGTGCATCACTCTAGGACCTGGAAGATGGAAGTCCAGCTTGGATAACACGGGTTGCCTAAACCTGTCCATAACGAGCAAGCATGAAGCGACAGTGGAGAGGAAAAACTCCTCCGGCAGAACCAGGCTCAACATGGCGGTCTTCTGCGAGACTTGTTGAGATGAGACAGCAAGAGTCTGGGAGGAATGACACACTGATGAACCTTTAGCTACGATGGTGGAGGAAGGGATAGAGGTGGGTTGAATTGGGTTCATCTGAGTACAAGTCCGACAGCGCGATCACTTCCTGCGCTTGGGGCAGCCAACTGAGATGTGGATTAGAGTCCTTTTAAGATGTACTATGGATGCTGATTAGCCAGTGACGGAGACGAATAGTAATCCTTTCCTCAGTTGAACTTCCACCTAGGCTCCATTTAATGAAATTAGCCAAAAACTCTTAAACTCCTAAAGGTACATGGCTCTCTGCAGACCTCATTAAAAGAGAACCATATTGTTGCATTCAAGCAGCAAGTTCAGTGCAACAGAAGGGGGATTATGATTTATCAGTTTATTTCCTTCCACACCAGTAATCACACTACAGATGTGTCTGTTCTAATAGAACTTTATTGATCACACAATGGAGAAATTAGCTCTCTGCATTTAACCCATCCCCTTGGGGAGGGTTCGGCTGCCACTGTGCAGCACCCAAGCAGCAGTGTGGGGTTAAGGGTCTTGCTCAGAGAGCAGTCTGTGAGGATCAAACCAGTTACTTGCAGCCTTCTCAGAGCACAAGCACAATGCTCTAACCACTAGGAGAAGAGTCCCGCAGAGTCCTTGTAGAGTTCTTTAATTGTGCTTTCTGGGTACATCAGAAGGAAAATGCTCTTCGGGGACTTAAAGCCCAACATGCTCAACTGATTTCCTGAGAATGTATATCAATAAAGGCCTTTTTTTAACTCTAAAAAGATTGAAATTTATAAGATACAAGGCAAACCTTGGCATTTCAAATAGACATTCAATAGCTTGAGAGATGTTTACCACCCATATATAAGTGAGTACAAACCTATTCATCTCTGTGAAAAATAACCTTCAGCTATAAAACATGTTGATTCAAATTTGACGGTGGAGGTTTTGTCTAGATAATTCACATTTTTCTTTATCAGTATACTCACAAATTACATTATAAAAACATTAAGCAATAATTCCCCAGGCTCAAATAAAAGTTTAATTTGGCAACAATGCTTTATTGAAGTTATTCATTAATATGATGTACAAATGGTTTATGATAACAGGGTAAAATATTTTCATTTCAGGGGAATCTACGAGTCCCAACATGTACCTTGACTTGTATATGTTTTTGACAAAAAAAAAAAAAACTTATGGAACATTATAAAAATGTTAAAGCCAATAAAAGACATTAAAAATAGTAAAATAAAAAACTTCAATCAATGATCTCATATGGTATTATAAGGCCATACTCATAGTCAACTGGTAAAATAGTTTACTTTATTTATGGAAACCAATTTTAAATGCATGCAAAGCAAAGGTAGCCTTTCTAATGCTGCACAGGCAGTTATTTTTATTCAGCAGGTTTGATCATGAACAGAAAACTACATAGAGGTAGAGATACTATTACTGTTTTGGTGATTTCCACAAATGTTTATAAGCTAATGTAGAAATAAAAAAAAAACTTGTAATTTTATTGCAAAACTAAGTGCTTTTCTAAGCAGCTATTTTGCATTTCTGTGTGAACAAATTAGTCTGCTGCTGCCAAATAATGTTTTATCCAACAGTACACCCAAAAATGAATACTGCATATTTAATCTTCTGTGTTTTCTGTAAAGCACCAAGCCTTTGTAAATATTTACTTTCCCATTCATGCGGTTTTCAATTTTCCACTCCGTTTGGTGATGCATATTTCTAGCCATTTGGGAACCTTTTGTTTATTGATGGATATCAGTGGGTCTGAAATTGCTTTTTCCAAACTATAATTCATTGTAGACAGTTTAAAATCGTGTATCATCAAAGAAAATTGTCAAAACAGAGCCACTGTGATGATACATGAAAACAATTGGAAACAGAAATAGGACAAATTATAGCACTGATTTCCTGGTAAACACTATATTGGTTATGAGTTTTGCCTTACCTTCTAATTTAGGTGAATCTTCTTTGAAATCCTCACAAGTCAACTTCAGAATCCCTGAATTTTAAAGACACAAATTCCAAAGTTTTGGGCTTCATTTGATGTGGAATAACAAGTAATTAATTGATGTTTACAAATGGTGCAAAAGCAACTGCCAGTTTATGCTTAATTAGCCTTTTCTGATTTTATAATTTGAGTCTTTTTCAATAGTGTCTGGTCATTTTTGAGACTAACCTTTCAAAGGAAACAACATGTTTTGTTTGAGGTCTGGGCTTGTGATGCGTACAGTATCTGCATGTTGTCATATTATCTTTTTAAAATAGAAAGGGTTGTTTTAAAGTATCAGATGAAACTATGTCTATCCAAATCTTAGAGTTCCTCATACGGACATCATTATGAAAGATTTTATTGATTTTCCAGATGAAAATTTTACTCTAAAACAGTACTGAATTATTTTTTCTCCTCAATTTGTTGTACTTTTCTTTAAAAAAAAAAAGGGAAAAAAAAAGGTATTTTGATATTTCTTTTTTTTTCTTAGAAAAAAAAAAAAAAGCACAGGTGAGTGGTGCATCCAAGTCTTGACAAAGCTTTTATCTAACTAAACATGTGGTTCATTTTGTTAAATGATACAGAGTGGGAAGAGTGAGGGAAAATGACCCAATGAAAGGTCGTCTTCTCAAGTTAAAGGTCACTTTCTCCATAAAGGGCGGTGGAGAAGGCGGTGTAGTCTAGCGCTCCAGGTGGAGCTCCGGGCCCTTTGTAAGGCGGCATCCTCATGATGCAATACTCCGCCTGTTCGGGAGGAAGTTCTCTCCTGAGCTCATCCACGAGGATGTAGGGCTGTTTGAGCAGAAAGCAAAAGGAATGTTAATTAAGAAGAGACACTCTGCCACAGTAGTCCTCAGCCCTCATGTTAAATAGCTTGTCAAGGGAAAATCTTGCACAATTAAAACTTTTTAAACATTCCAGCTTTCATTTGAGCATATTTGTTCAGTGGCAGTTGGGATTTGTAGGATAATCTTAAAGACTAGTATTCTTTTTTTCTTTCAATAAAATCACCTTGGAGAGCCTGGGATTTAATACCAGTAAGACAGTCGACTCTCAACATCAGTATTAAAAGTTGGCTTAACTTTTTTTTTTATTATTATTAAAACCGACTGTCTGCAAACAGACCACACGGAAGGAAATTAGATATTTTTGAAAGCTGCTGACTGAAAAGAACTATGAAGTGAGAAAAAAAAAAACAACCCTAACCTTTTTTTTTGCTTTTCTGAAAAAATAACCAACACATAGGTGTGTGTGGTGCAGGGCTCACAAAATCCTGATTAAGGGGTCTGGGAAGCACTTCTCTTGACCATACTAAATCCAAGGTTTTCTCTTTTAGAGTTTTATTTTTAGCTCAACCTACAGAATTATGAGAGGATTTTGGTCTTGCAACTAAAGAAAAAAAAAAAAAATGAATTGATTTTGTACCAGCTGAACTTTTTCTATGAAGATCTGGCCATATGTATCTTTTTTTTTTTTGTCCTGATGGAAAACCCAATGAGGGATAAAAAGGTTCCCAGAATCTCAACATGAAAAACAGGCCCTCAGCATCACCTTACTCAACAGTGGCAACACAATGATTCTCCAAAAACAATACCGTCATCCAAAGCATCATTGGAAGCTTGATGCTGAAAAAAAAAAAAAAAAAAAAAAAAAAAAAAAAAAAAAAAAACTAGTGGTGTGCTGTTATCGGGGGATAAAAACAATTCTCACAGTTGGGTTGGGAGCTGGGTCCATACTAATGATGACTTTCATCTTGCTATTTTATCGCGGATTTACAGGTGCTGGTCATAAAATTAGAATATCATGAAAAAGTAGATTGATTTCAGTAATTCCATTTAAAAAGTGAAACTTGTATATTATATTCATACATTACATACAAACTCATATATTTCAGATGTTTATTTTGTTTAATTTTGATGATTACAAATGACAACAAATGAAAATCTCAAATTCATCATATCAGAAAATTAGAATATTGTGAAAAGGTTCAAAATTGATGGCCCCTGGTGCCACACTCTAATCAGCTAATTAACTCAAACCACCTGCAAAAGCCTTTAAATGGTCTTTCAGTCTAGTTCTATAGGCTACACAATCATGGGGAAGACTGCTGACTTGACAGTTGTCCAAAAGACGACCATCGACACCTTGCACAAGGAGGGCAAGACACAAAAGGTCATCGCTAAAGAGGCTGGCTGTTCACAGAGCTCAGTGTCCAAGCACATTAATAGAGAGGCGAAGGGAAGGAAAAGATGTGGTCGAAAAAAGTGTACAAGCAAGAGAGATAACCGCACCCTGGAGAGGATTGTGAAACAAAACCCATTCAAAAATGTGGGGGAGATTCACAAAGAGTGGACTGCAGCTGGAGTGAGTGCTTCAAGAACCACCACACACAGACGTATGAAAGACATGGGTTTCTGCTGTCGCAGTCCTTGTGTCAAGCCACTCTTGAACCACAGACAGCGTCAGAAGCGTCTTGCCTGGGCTAAAGAGAAACAGGACTGGTGAGTGGTCCAAAGTCATGTTCTCTGATGAAAGTAAATTTTGCATTTCCTTTGGAAATCAAGGTCCCAGAGCCTAGAGGAAAAGAAGAGAGGCACTTCATCCACGTTGCTTGAAGTCCAGTGTAAAGTTTCCACAGTCAGTGATGGTTTGGGGTGCCATGTCATCTGCTGGTGTTGGTCCATTGTGTTTTCTGAGGTGCAGGGTCAACGCAGCCACATACCAGGAAGTTTTAGAGCACTTCATGCTTCCTGCAGCTGACCAACTTTTTGGAGATGCAGATTTCATTTTCCAACAGGACTTGGCACCTGCACACAGTGCCAAAGCTACCAGTACCTGGTTGAAGGACCATGGTATCCCTGTTCTTAATTGGCCAGCAAACTCTCCTGACCTTAACCCCATAGAAAATCTATGGGGTATTGTGAAGAAGAAGATGCAATACACCAGACCCAACAATTCACAAGAGCTAAAAGCCACTATTAGAGCAACCTGGGCTATCATAACACCTGAGCAGTGCCACAGACTGATCGACTCCATGCCACGCCGCATTGCTGCAGTAATACAGGCCAAAGGAGGCCCAACTAAATACTGAGTGCTGTACATGCTCATACTTTTCATGTTCATACTTTTCAGTTGGCCAACATTTCTATAAATCCTTTGTTTTTATTGGTCTTCAGTAATATTCTAATTTTCTGATATGATGAATTTGAGATTTTCATTTGTTGTCATTTGTAATCATCAAAATTAAACAAAATAAACATCTGAAATATATGAGTTTGTATGTAATGTATGAATATAATATACAAGTTTCACTTTTTAAATGGAATTACTGAAATCAATCTACTTTTTCATGATATTCTAATTTTATGACCAGCACCTGTATATGTGAGGGTGAGAATGAATCAGTCTTCCAACCTGTATAGACGTACATTGAAATTACCACATCGAAAGTGACGCACTGGAGGCTCCTAAGAATCAGATTCATTTTTTTTGTGCTAAATTATTAATGTTACAGATCTAAGGTTATCTGAATGTTAGATCTATTGTAATTTATCTTATTTGACCCTCCTCCTATTCAGGCTGCCTCCTGCTGTGATTAACAAGCAGAAGCAGCTGCTGTGGTTGATCTGATTGTTTGGGGAAGGACTGAAACAAATTTTCTACCACCAATAATGGTTGTAAGTCAACTTGTATATTATTTCTGTTATTTTTATAAGTAAAGAAAACACCTTCTGAAACCAGAAAACTCTCAGCGAGTGCTTTTCATTTTTGAATGAAAAGCACTACTCTGGAATATTTTTTTTTTTTTGGGAACTTGCAAGAGTAGCCGTAACAAGTAGAAGAACAAAACTGATGACTTAAAGAAAAGCGTAAAGTTGGGGTATCCAGCCGATCACCCACAGACGAAAAAAGAAAGCAGCCAACAGACCATGAGTAAAATAAGCTGATTGAGTTTATCAATGAAAGCTCTGCTGTGCTTCAGAGAAACGATCGATCACCACAGAAAGCAAAGTAGTTGATTTTGGAAAAGTATTGTGGCAAGAAGGATGTTTGTTAATGGACGTTTTCAAAAGTAAAGTGATCTGTGTGATCACTAATGCTGTCTGACCCTGAAACTCCACCTGCGTCCAAGAACATGTCAATCATGGATGCAGCTATAAAGACGCCAGGTTTTCTTCAAGGAAAAAGCACTGACTTACTTTTACTTATTGTTTAGGTAGCACAAATACAGGTGCTGGTCATAAAATTAGAATATCATGAAAAAGTAGATTGATTTCAGTAATTCCATTTAAAAAGTGAAACTTGTATATTATATTCATACATTACATACAAACTCATATATTTCAGATGTTTATTTTGTTTAATTTTGATGATTACAAATGACAACAAATGAAAATCTCAAATTCATCATATCAGAAAATTAGAATATTGTGAAAAGGTTCAAAATTGATGGCCCCTGGTGCCACACTCTAATCAGCTAATTAACTCAAACCACCTGCAAAAGCCTTTAAATGGTCTTTCAGTCTAGTTCTATAGGCTACACAATCATGGGGAAGACTGCTGACTTGACAGTTGTCCAAAAGACGACCATCGACACCTTGCACAAGGAGGGCAAGACACAAAAGGTCATCGCTAAAGAGGCTGGCTGTTCACAGAGCTCAGTGTCCAAGCACATTAATAGAGAGGCGAAGGGAAGGAAAAGATGTGGTCGAAAAAAGTGTACAAGCAAGAGAGATAACCGCACCCTGGAGAGGATTGTGAAACAAAACCCCTTCAAAAATGTGGGGGAGATTCACAAAGAGTGGACTGCAGCTGGAGTGAGTGCTTCAAGAACCACCACACACAGACGTATGAAAGACATGGGTTTCTGCTGTCGCATTCCTTGTTTCAAGCCACTCTTGAACCACAGACAGCGTCAGAAGCGTCTAAAGAGAAACAGGACTGGACTGCTGGTGAGTGGTCCAAATTCATGTTCTCTGATGAAAGTAAATTTTGCATTTCCTTTGGAAATCAAGGTCCCAGAGTCTGGAGGAAAAGAAGAGAGGCACTTCATCCACGTTGCTTGAAGTCCAGTGTAAAGTTTCCACAGTCAGTGATGGTTTGGGGTGCCATGTCATCTGCTGGTGTTGGTCCATTGTGTTTTCTGAGGTCCAGGGTCAACGCAGCCACATACCAGGAAGTTTTAGAGCACTTCATGCTTCCTGCAGCTGACCAACTTTTTGGAGATGCAGATTTCATTTTCCAACAGGACTTGGCACCTGCACACAGTGCCAAAGCTACCAGTACCTGGTTGAAGGACCATGGTATCCCTGTTCTTAATTGGCCAGCAAACTCTCCTGACCTTAACCCCATAGAAAATCTATGGGGTATTGTGAAGAAGAAGATGCAATACACCAGACCCAACAATTCACAAGAGCTAAAAGCCACTATTAGAGCAACCTGGGCTATCATAACACCTGAGCAGTGCCACAGACTGATCGACTCCATGCCACGCCGCATTGCTGCAGTAATACAGGCCAAAGGAGGCCCAACTAAATACTGAGTGCTGTACATGCTCATACTTTTCATGTTCATACTTTTCAGTTGGCCAACATTTCTATAAATCCTTTGTTTTTATTGGTCTTCAGTAATATTCTAATTTTCTGATATGATGAATTTGAGATTTTCATTTGTTGTCATTTGTAATCATCAAAATTAAACAAAATAAACATCTGAAATATATGAGTTTGTATGTAATGTATGAATATAATATACAAGTTTCACTTTTTAAATGGAATTACTGAAATCAATCTACTTTTTCATGATATTCTAATTTTATGACCAGCACCTGTATATCATGAATTTCTTTGGCAGAATTCAAATAAGTTATTTTAATCTAGATTTACAAAATTAAGCTATACCCAGCACAAAAAACAAAAAACAAAAACAGACGTTTTCTGCAGATTTCACAGAATAACATTTGTAACAGTAAGAGAGTAAAATCTTCCTTCTGGCATCAGAGTAAAAGCGACCAGTTTTCATGTCTTTGGATCTATCTGCTCCATAAACAGTTACTGATCCCCAGATGCCAGTCTTTGCTGCAGTTCTCCAACAATTGGCTTTAGAGATTTCCTTTTACCCCAATGCCATTTTGCTTAATGACAGAAAACGATAATGTTTCTTGTCTAAAATAAAACTAATTAACATTGAAATCTCATTCCATTATTCACCTAAGGCAAACACAATGATTATTGGAGGTTTCTAGAAACTAGTAAAATTTGAATAAAAAATATTGATTGCATTTATTTTAAAGATGCTGTGAGAGCCACAAATAATTAAGCTAACTGTGATTAAATTAAGAACAATAATTATTTAACTTGGAAATTTTCTCCTAATGAAAATAAATATAATTAACTGTAAGATTAGCCTTTTTCGGTGTTGTTTAGTGTCATATTATGCAAATAAAAAAAAATATTATTTTACTTCTAACTACTTTTAATTAGAAAATAAATTAGACTGTCGCTGTTTTTACTTCTACCTTTTCCAAACTAAGTTCATAGATGCAAAATTAGCTATTAGGCAAAGAAAATGCATAGTAACAATGTCTGGAACAGAAAAGTTTCAGATATGTTTCCCTGCACCAGGAAAACACAGCAGCTCCAACCCACACACCTTATCAGCTGCCAAGATCCGGAAGGATGCCACAACCTGCTCGGCAGTGTCTGTATCAGCCGTCTCTCTGGTCATGAAGTCAATGAAAGACTGGAAGGAGACAATCCCAGTTGCATTTGGATCCACCAGCATCATTATGCGAGCGAACTCCACCTCTCCCTAAAGCAGGCATGATTTCTGGGTAAGCATACAAGGATTCATATGCAGTAGGTGAGAAGAGAAACAGCTGATAAAAGAGGCACCATACCAAGTCATAACCCATTGAGATGAGACAGGCTCTGAAGTCATCCGTTTCCATTGCTCCATTCTTCTTCTATAGAACGACCAGTCAAATGCAAGAAGAATAGAGGAGTGAGGTGAAATAAAGTCCAAAACATTTACCCAAATCAAACATTTTAGCAATAAGCTCAACTCTATGGGCATAACCAACATTTCTCACACATCTTAAACTGATTATTTTTGTTTGTCATCATTAGTGGTGAAATGTAAAGTCTAGAGACACCAGGAATAATCCTTAATACATAATCACACTCTTAATCTACCTTGTACCTATTATAAGATCATAGTGGGTTCATTGTATCGTAAAGGGTCTGCGGTATAACAAAAAATATTCGTAACATTGGACATGTTTCATATAAATATAGTATGTTCAACATATATTATCACAAAGAGGTGGAATAATCAGGCAGATTGTTATTTGATTAGCGCCATTTTTTTGTTGTTGATTTTAGCTTTTTTAAATGTTTCTTTAGTCTGTGACCACAAAGTGAAGCAGGGACTGGGTTAAAAAAAAAAAAAAAAAGTATTCCAGCATCAACAGTTTTAATCTCAGTGAATCGGACTCTAATGCACCAACCAGTAGCAGCTAGTGTTTTGAAATTGATTAACTGAAAGTGTAAGAAATGTTGATAAATGTTCAATAACCTACATCAGAAAGGATTTGTACAATGTTGCAGAACATTGATCAAAGAGCTGGTTGAGATTTTAGGAAACAACACAAAAGAAAAGTCTTTGGAGGTGTTGCCCTCAGGGACAGGGCTTCTTTTGGATGCTGGAGTAACCTTTTACCTTCCATGTATTGTTGCCACAGCTTTTCATTAACAACTCAGAGAGACACAATATGGCCCCTGAAGTGTAAATAGTAAAAGGATGTACCCTGTCAAAGTGATTGAAAGAAGATCTGAACTCATTCATCTGCTGCTGGCTGATGCCCTTGGCATCCCGTGTCAGGATCTGGGTCTCCATCTCATTAATGGTTCGAGCGATGGTGGTGAGGAGCAGCTCCCATCCCACTCGGATGTGCTGTGAAAGTGATAGTAGATATGTTAGCAGGAGGAGGGTATGTCTGGAGAAACTCAACAGATGTGTGTTCCTAAAAAAAAAAAAAAAAAAATGTTTACAACCATAAAACTGTTTTTTCATGTTACAACCACTTAAAATATAACTGAGATTTCATGACTAATATGGCCAGCAGTACTGCCTTTTAACATGTTTTTCCAAATAAACGTGGTTGCTGACTCAAATCTCTCCATCCTTACTCGTGTGCTTCCTGTCACCAGGGTTCAGGGCCACAGGTAGAGTATATACATGAGACCTGCAAAGGTGTTCAGAGGCATATCCTAAAATACTGGCAGCAAACTTGCAGATTGAAGTTCTATAGTTTATTAAGATTGAAATTATATTCTTATAAGATTATCTGTAAATAATATTGTTGAAAGCATCTTTTTGTCATTTTAAATTTAGAAATAACTTTTAAAAATGTTTTCAAAGTCAATTGAAAATTTCGTGTTTTTGAAACTCAAAACTAACTTTTCCTCCGTTTTTACAATTATAAGCACCACTTTTATAGAAGCCTTTTTACCTTAGAATCTGACTGTATAATCTGGTTGAATTGTCTCTATAAAGTGCCTTAGGATGACATGTGTTGTGAATTGGCACTTTATAAATGAATTTGAGTGAACATTGAGTTGGCCGACCCCTAAAACATCCTAATAAAATTAAAGTTTATTTTCTAGTTAAAGTGTAACAAAATATAACAAGAATAATCTGTAATCACTTTTGCAAAGAAATAGAAAAAGTCTATAAATGTTCTAATAAATACATTTAAATACAATTCAGACATTCTATAAATGTGCTTATGTTTTATGATTCATTTTTGCCGTACCTCCATGGTGTAATTGGTGTGTTTGTTGTCAAAAATGAGTGACTCTTGGATAAGTTGGTGGTCTCCTTCCAACTTGTCAATGTTTGGCTTGTATGCAATGATCACATGCTCCATTTGCTTTAGCTGGGTCATCTGGTCCTCCAGCGTGCCTCCAATCTCCAGGGAGCAACGCCCAATTTCCTGTACATAAGAAACACAGGGTGCAACGAGGTCGATTAATTTTAGCATCGCATAGGGCTTGACCATAGAAACCCTCGGTGGCAATTAACCTGCCTGAGTTTTGTGAACATTTTTAGAGAATTTTTCTAGGTCTCATATTATAAAAATGTAGTTAAGATATTTCTATTATCAACTTTAAAAACCTAGACTAACTTTATATTTGTTGCGCATAGCCTTATTCAAAAATTTTATTTCAAAGCTTTTGTAACCTCCATCCTGGTTTGAATCCATGGTCCAATCAGATTGGCCTGAGCAGCAAACTGGCGTCTCAGTCTTTCATGGGCATGCTGGCGTGCCATCTCCTCCTGGAGAGAACCATCTCTCTGAGGAACCAGCTTCTTTACCTATGAAACACACATATTTGTAAAAAAATTAATCAACCTCTCCACCAGAAAATTATTTAATATAAATATGTATGTGACTATACAGAATATATCCTAACTATGATCAAAAATTAATAGAACTATTCCATGCATCAAAAAAAAAAAACTAATGCTTACGCAGCTCTCCTATTTTTTTTTTGTCATTTTAAAATGGGGGAATAACCACCAGCTGAATGCCTATATTTAAAGATAACGCATTTATGCATAGGTTTTATAACCAAAATCACCTTCTCCCACTTGTTAAGAAGCTCCTCTGTTGAAATGGTGCTGTAAGGGTTGATGAGGTTTGCCTTAATCCCATAGCTTTGGGAAATCTTTTGCACCTCGTTGTGGATTCCTAAAATGGCCTGTCTCTCTGTGTCTGCCTCAGGCAGAGTTGCTTTGAACTGCTCATGAGCAGCAATTAGACTCTGGAAAAGATATATTGATGTTAGGCAGGATCGGACTTTATCAGTGAAGGTAAAACGTGGTTCTCACAATGGGGTGGAAGGGGGCTGTACCTGGACCTCCTCAATAGTGTGAACTATGAACATGTCCTGCAGATCCTCCATAGCTCCTTCCATCCAGTTGTTAAAAGGAGCTGACCTTTTGGCAAACTCAAGGAACAACTGGTCAATAGTTTCCAACAACTTCTCTGTGCGCTGAGAGAAATACAAGACAAAGTATAGGTGTTTGTCTACTTTACATACACATTCATAATGTAAAAAAAAAAAAACGACTTGGCATAAGAGAAGCTATCCAAGTTCTCTTACAGTGTCTTGCAAAAAATACATAAAACCCTTCTTTATACTTTAATCACATTAAAACAATAAGCACAATGTATGTTTAGGGAATGCTATAAGGTTCTGTATGATTATGAAGTCGAACAGAATGATTATATGTTTTTAGCATTTTGTAACAGATGAAAACATTTTGTACAACCACTAATGAATGTCAGAAGTAACCTATTCAGGAACTTGAGTACAGACTGCAAAATAATGCAAATCTGAGTAAGTAAATCTTTCTTGAAATAAGTATAAATACATTTTAAAATAAAAAGAAAAAACTGCGTTCTCTTATTTCAAGTGCATTTCATTGGCAGATATTTTCCAACTCAAATTAAGGGTTAATATACTTATTTTAAGAAATTTTTACTCATTTTCAGAGTATTTTTATAGTGCATCAGTCTTTAATCCAACTGTGGTATAATTAAAGGTTGTCTGAAGGTTAGGGATCATTAGTGAACAAATGGGAGCAGCTTTTAGTTAAAAAAAATAAATAAATAAAAAATAAAAATAAAAAAAAAGGTCAGACTGAAATATGATAGAAGCCATTCAGCAAAACAACTAATGTACTGATCTAGGTGCTAAGATACGAGAGAAATAGCTTTTTGGCCAAAATGCAAAACTATATATGGTTGAAACTAGACATACCCTAATACACAATCCATGGCGGAATCATGCCGTGGGGATTACTTGAACAGAATAAGCTACTAGAAACAGATCTATGGAATAAAATTCAGATCCACAACAAAAATGTTACATTGGTTACGACTTAACTCCCAGGCAGCAGTTCCATTTCAATGAGTATAACGCAAAAACTTAAAGCTACAAAATTTTTAATTAGTATTCATATACCGGTATATATTGAAACAATGCAGCCAGAATCCCAATTCCCTAAGAGATTCTATATTTTTAAAGCTTGCTCTGGCTTAAGCAATTTTACAGGAAACTGGTTGTACAAAGCACAACTGAGGACTACATCCAAATACATGGCAACTGGTCAAAGAATTGTATAATTTTCCACAAATACGCTCTGTTGGTCCATCAAAAAAACCTAATACCAGGATACTGTTGAAAACAATTTTTGGTTTAAAAGGGACAAAGTTTCAAAGCATGTCATAAGAGGAAGTGGCTAGAGGGACTCTGACAGCTATTAAGTAGACAATGAGATTTAGACCCGAGTACCAAAGTAAAGCTTTTTACTTTTAAACCATATTAACATTAGTTTCTATGTACAAATCCATCTTTAAAACATCAGCACCCTCTGGTGGTGACAGACAAAGTGGTTGTCTGCTTTGTAGCCACAAACAGAAAGGTTTAGAGAGATTGTATTCTCACCTCTAGTGCCTCCCTCCTCTTCTGAGTCAAGGTTCCCAATTTATCCCACAAGTCACAGATGCCCTGGCAACGCTGGTTTACAGAGGCAATGTCATGGTAATCCAGCTCACTACGGGTTTAGGAAAAATAAAAACTCAAGTTAAAGGTTTATGGTCTAACAAAAAAAAAAAAAAAAAAAAAGCAGTTGCACTTCAAGTTCACCGTCAAACCATTTTAGTTCCATAAACTAGGGGGGAATAAAAAAAAAAAAAACACCACAAAGGCCAAATTTATTTAGTTTCTTTATTGAGAGTTTTAGACAGGATCAAGCCAAGACTAGAAAAAAGTTCAGGAATTTCCATGACTGCCTTCAGCCTTAATTGTTTGAGACAGTTCAGGACTTTGTTGATTCAGCTTTCCTGCAACTGCTAGGTGGAAGCCTTCATTTGGTGGTCGGTACCAGTGCCCTCAGTCGAGGGGAAGCTCTCGTAGCCAACATGAGTTGCATGGTCTCCACCAACCTCGTAGTCTGTCTGGATATGAGACAGTGTCCCATGAGGAAGCTGCCCAGTCAAGAATAAGTAAAATAGGTTTGGAACAACCGGTCTGCCGTATGGCAGTGGCATAACACCCAAATAATCCCTTTCTGCACTGAGGGGGTAACTTGGAACAAGGCTAAAATCTTTGATTTCCTGTTCAGAGTTTCCATCTTCATAGATCGAGGCCAAGTTACTCAACTCACCACCTAGATAAAAGGATTCTGGATATTCAAGGGGTAGGGGCTCCTTTTCTAAAGGCTCAGTTTCACCCTTTGTGACACCTAGCTCCAGGCCTTCCTGTTCAGTCAAAGGTTCTTCAGACTCAAGTAAAAAGTTAAGATCAGGGGTGAATGAAAATCCTTCCATAGGTGAAGCACTGAAAGGATCAACAACAGAGCTGGATGGATCGACCTTCTGTTCTTCCATGTTGACTCCTACAGAAGCAGCAGCAGGACCTTGGGGACTTTCAAGCAGTTCTCTTTTTGGAGGCCGAACCATCCATTTTGCATTAGCATCCTCAGAGTTTGACGGCTTATCCACCTGCTCCATTTCTGGAACATTTTTAATTAAGCCAGCCAACCATTTGTCTGCTGATTTTTCTGAAACAGGAGGAGTTGGGGGAAACTTTTTGCGAAGGCCAACTCTCCAGGACAGAGAAGGCATTTCTGGATTGGAAGGGAAATAGAGTCCCACATCAGGGTCAACCAACCATGAGACTGCAGGACCATCTGGGTTTGAAGGTGGTGGAGGAAGACTTTGTTCTGTGCCAGCCACTGGTAAGGCTGCCAAGTCTTCTGGGTCTTGGGGGAGAGAAAAAGCTTCTGGGAAGCCAACATGGTCATCTGGGCTCGGAGTGGGAAAGAGCTTAATCTGGGAACCAACTTCCCATGACGTCCTAGAATTTTCAGGAAGCCCTTCTGAAGTTTTAGCTGCCCATAGAACAGAAGGCCCTTCTGGGTTCAGGGGAGAGTTAGCCTGTGTGAGTGAAGGGCGTGCTTTAATAGAATGTTGCACAACTGGGTTTTTGCTTTTTGGTCTAGCAACTATCCAAGATACAGAAGATTTAGCTGGACCCTGGACAGTTTGAGTCAAGCCTTCAGCCTTAGTATTTTGGGATCCAGGGTTCACCTCTGCATTCCATCCTGTTTAGAGAAGACATGTTAAAAGATTGAGAAAGAAAAATACTACATTTAGAAGTTAAATGAAACTCACCAGATTGAGTAGGGAGAGCCCCAACACTCCAGCTAAATAAAACAACCAGGAACAACTGGCTAGAACAGGTAAAATACACAGTCAAAACCTTAAAATGATTCAGAATAACACAGCTTTTTAAAAAAGAATAAAAAAATTATTCAGGTTACAAAACTGTCCACAAACCTTGGAAATTTCCAGGAGGCCATTTATCTTGTCTGTTGAACCTTTTCCCTTCCTTTGTCTGGACACCACTTAAATAATCAGCACAGACACTCAGTAGCCAACCTCAGACTGAGAGCTCAACAACACTCAGGTGTCTGTCATTCGCTGCTGATTGAAATCCTCAAAGGGCTGTGAGAAAGGTGCTTGCTCGACTAGATTCAATGACAAACTATACTCTAACATCTTCAGTAAGAATTGTTTACTTCAGGGTAATGATGGGTTTATGAGACGTTGTGAAGCGTTTCAGCACATTGCCAAAGGGAATTTATATTGAGTTGATACTGTGTGCTGGACCTTTAAAATCCCTACATGCATCCTATCTGACAAAATAAACTGACACTGATTCAATGACTTAGTACAATAATATAATTGAAGTCATTCCATTTTTGATTGTATTATTTCATATCTTCTTTTGAAAATATCTCTGATATTTTTGGATGCAGTCAATAAATAATCGGAACATATATCATAACATGAAAATGTAGGTAAACACCTGAATGAGGATGTTTGTGAAGGAGGATTTTTTTCTTTCTATTAAACCAATAAATACATTAAGTTAATAGTCAATTTGAATTTAATTTAAATTCAGATGACTCAAGTGATAACTTGAGAGCAACAGAAATACAAAAGAAAAATTAAAACAATATGAGATCAAAACGGTCCCACATGGCTGAAAAATTTCTTCTGCCTTGAGGCTGCTCCATATTTCCTAATAAATTTAATAATGATTTTCCACAGATTTTGCAAATATATCCCATTGATAGATACACTTATAAACAGTTTAGTGCTTTAGTCAGTGTAAAACAGCTCCTGTATCTTCACATGACATTCTTGACACAATAAAGGCACCGACACATGATTGTTCTCTATGAGCTTGACGCATGCAATGATGCGTCTGTGTTGCTGCACCCATCACTACTTCAGGGTTTAAGAGCTTATGAAGAAATCATTGTTTCATAGTTCTTATAGCATGCTGGCAAGAAGCAAAAAGCAAGCATACATCAAACTGTTTTTAAAGTCTGCACCGGTTTATCTGTGGAGTTGTTTTTTTGTGGTTTTGAAATGCATTTACTTTGCAAGCCCCACAGAGCGACCAGAGATTTTTAACAAAACTAAGATAGTGGATTAAACTGGGATCTTCACCATATCCTGGCTTAATTAAGCCTTGATGAGGTTTTGACAAAAGCAGTGATATATATAATCTATCGTAGTGATATATTTTGAATTCGTTTGGACTGTTGATTAAAATACAAACATTATGTTAATAGACCTAATTTTACTGAAAATAAATTAGTAGTCCTCCTAATTGTCAGTAATTCTGGTGATAGGTTTACGTAAGGCCATCCTACTTGCTCGTCCCCATTTTACTTACCTTCTTTTGGAAAGTAAGCTTGTATGAGTGATGCAATAAGCAACTTTTAATCAGAGCGTCTTTTCAAAAATTTGCCAAAATGCTCCACTATAGGCCTACCTTTAAACTGTGTTAAGCTTAGCTTTATTGTGACTAATTTCATTGTATCCATATGTTAGAGTTATCTACAGTTTAATTTATTGCATTTTAATTTGATCTTAGTAATTAGTATAATGTATCCTTTTCAGTTTTTTTGCCACTGTTTTAAATTCTACAATTAAAAAAAAAATTTACTGTATATTTGTTGTTTATTTTTAATATCTATAGTTGAATGGCGCTGGCTGTTGCACCATTCAGCTATTTTCTAATAAAAATTGATTTATGTCAACTGCATATTGTTTTTTCTGTGTGTAGCACCTTAATCAAAATAAAAACTAATTCCTCATACATCAAAAAAAATATATATATACTGGGTAATAAAGCATTTAAAGTTATTATTTTAATTATTTCAATAAAGTTTTCTTTATATTTGTCTCTTTTGGTTCTTTATTTCTGACTTAATTTCCTCAGTTCTAGGTCATAACAAAAAGACTACGGTAGTTGTTTTATTATTATCACTATTTTTTTCATGGTTTTTCTTAGTGTTTTTTTGTTGCCTGACTGGTTAATGCTTCTGATAAGAAAAACCTATAATTGTATACCCTATAAAATCTTTTTTCATGTTGCGGTGAATAAAATTTGAAAATACCATAGGTTTTATAGCCAATAACCCATAAATATTATGAATGGGTATGTAGGATGACACTGTGCAATTACTGCCTCATTTGTATGCATAATTAGAATTTTGTGTATTAAATGCTATTGTTTTTTGTTATTATTATTTTTTTTTTTTTGCTTTTGTCAGTGCAAACATGTGCTGTGGGGATTTCATACTTCAGTTCCTGTGCAATGGCAGCAATCTGCTCCACTCGGTCTTGGTGGGCTGCCAGATCACTCTCAAAGGCCTCATGTTTGCGAAGCAACGCTCTGACTTCTGTCAAGGTGGCAGTCTCATAGTCCTTCTGGGTGAGGATCAGCTCTTTACCTAAAGAAGCCAGCAAATCAATGTGTTTGATATTAACATGGGCAAATGTTAAAAAATTTAGATGGAGAACATGATATGTCACAACTGACGTGCAGTCTTATATCTTTAACAAAATCTCATTAGGAGCAACAATAAGTAAATAAAGAAACATGGTCGAATTTAGATCATTATGACCGTGGAAGAGATACAAAGATCTTGTATATAGTAGGTTGAAGGGATAAACTTTTAGAGCTACAAAGCCTGGAAAATATTCTTGGAGAATGTTCAGTCAACTGTTTAACAATAAAACTACAAATATCCCAAAAAAATATTTTAAAACCGGACATCCACACGACATATCATAAAATGAGTTAGTCTTTTATCATTTATGTCTTCTTTTGGATAATATAACAGGAAAAAATATGGAATACCTCACTTTTGATGAAAAATATATAATAATGCATCTCCAAAAGAAAAACAGAGCAGCATGATCTAAGTCTGCAAAGTCTACCTTTAAACCTGTAGACCCTTAAATGATGATTGGCAGAAAAAAATCAAAGACTCATAAACCCTCTAAGCCCTTAAGTATTACTTCTAACCATTGCTTGTTATTCCCAATCTTTTCTTTTTTCTGGTTGTTTTTAAGACCGATGCAAAATTCACAGATGCAAAAGCAATATTCCTTACCACTCTTTTTAGGTGTTAAATAAGTTCGTTGTGATTGCAACTACACTCATTCTGTTCTGCATTTTTTATCTTTTTGTGCATTTTGCTTTGACTTCTGACACACTGTTTCCTTCCACCTAAAAGTTTTGACTTGAAATTTGGCTTGCCTCTGCACCAGGTGTTGGACACAGCTAGCTGTACAGAACCAACGTACTAACCTTTATAGAGTTTTAAACTTTGTTACCATTTAAAGTGCCACTCTTTCTTAAGTACTCATTTGTCAGGCAGATCTTCAAGCTCCCCTTTTAACTGCAGACTGATTTCCACAATTAGACAGGTAATTACTTGGGAAACTTTGCCGTCTTAAAAATATAAATACTATTTATCATTTAATCACATATAAGGCATGTTTTTAGAGCAATAATTTCCCGTTGCTATAAGTTTGCGTTCGATATTTGTAGTTTATTTTATTTAAAAGCAAAGGAACTAACTGAGGATCCCTCAGGAATTGAGTTTATATTTGATAGTATTTTTTCCCCGAGGAGGTGCATGGACATGTCAAATTGAAGCTTAAAATCAAACTTAAACCCAGTTTAAAAACTAAGTAGAAGTAGAACTAACCACAAGCCCAATTCTCATGGTTGGTGGCTTTTTGGCGAAATTTTTCAGCGAGATGATCTAGTCTCTCAAGTCGTCGTATTTCAGTCAGAAGCCACTCCTCAAAGCCTTTCTCTGCCTGCTCCAGGCCCTGCCAGGCACTGGCTATATCCTGAAAACACATCAAGGTTTAGAAGATTTTTTGTTCTTCTTTTTATTTAAAATAAAATTGTTTAAATTACACTTGTTTGGTAGAGTGTATTAGCTTCATGTTGCAGGGAAGGAGTGTGTGACTTACAGAAACCATCTTCCCTTCAGAAGGCATAAAAGCAGGACGATTGCTGATGCGCAGCTTGGTCTGCAGGGTGTTGAAGTTGATCTCCAGCTGACACTTCTCCTGAACTTTGGGAGGTTTGTGTTGTCGCCTGTAGTCCCTAAAGTCCTCTAGTTTCCGCTGCATCTCTGCCATGGTTTTTTCAGGGGTCCGGTTCTCCAGCCAGGGAGTGGTGCGGCGGATCCACTCCAGCAGCTATGAGAGACAATAACAAAAAAGCAATAAACATAGAGGTAGGAAAAAAGTTTATTATTTCTTATCTTAAACCACATTCTTTTATTTCAGATTACTTTTATGGAAACATTAACGTTCTCGGTACAAAACAAGATCATATTATCCTTTTAAAACTTTACCTCACTTGCCAGTCTCTCATATTCCTCCATCAGTTTCTCATTCTCTTGGTTAACACCAAGGACCTTGCAGATCCTGTTGGCTGCTGTCTCTGCCTGGGTGGGCAAACCATAACCATAATTTATTAAAACCTGCAAATTAAAGCAGTAGGACATCTCCCCCATTGATCTATGATTATAAAAACATTACATAAGCATTTCTCACACAGCTTTATAGCTGATCGGGAAGCCCTGTCAGCTTTTTTGTGCACCCATCTGTGTTCTCGGAATGTCTTTGTAAGGATAATGTTAAAGGACAGTGTGGTAACAGGACAGTTTGTCCTCTGTTACCTGTTCAGCTCCAGCAAATGCGTGGTAAAAGCATGACACGTAGGTCATGATGGCCCTCTCATCAGGCTTGGGGGTATTGATGATATCTGAGGCATAATAGTGGCATAGAAAAAGATAAGCAACTGGAAAACACAACAAAGACAACACAAATAAGACACTCACATAAATACGCAGTAACTATATATGTTAGTATAGTGCGGACAAGGAAGGAAGGAAGGAAGAAAGGAAGGAAGGAAGGAACCGCTACTTTAAAATTTTGAGTTTTTAAAAAAAATGTTGTTTTCTTTTTGCAAATGAGAAAAAAAGAAATTTAGTGCAGTATTGATTTTTTTTTAAATAAATCATTTCTCAAACTCTAATGAACTATGCATCACTTAATATAAAGTCAAGCCTATACAAGTTCCGTAACAAAGGTGTTTAAAAAGTGCAGGAGGAAAAGACATACCGTATACTGTCACAAGCCTTCATTTCTAATAGTGGTTAGCCTTTTCACCCAGGACAACTATTCATAAAAACAGTGATGCTATTTAATTTGTAAACCTTCATCACAAAGCCCTTTAGGATTTGCCTCCTATGCCTTTATTCAGCATTTGTGTACAATGAAATGTGTCCCAATAAGAAAGAGAGGTTTAGTCAACCAGCCAATGTTGTTCTGCTGATCTATCACAGGAGGAGGTCATTAACCTGTTACCACAAAGAGCTATTGGAGGTATTAAATGACTCGAGAACTTGTGTAATAATATAAAGTTAGAGGACACACTAGCTTGACTCTGCTAGTGTGCAAACAACTGAGACATTGTTTCACCCTCTAGTGTACTGTACCATTATTCCCTTGTGTTTGTACTAGAAGTTTTTTTTTGTTTCTGATGAAGCAAACATTAGGGTGTTTAAATAAGTCACCACCTTGCTATTTTTTTTCTAATGTAATGTCTCTGTTTAAAATGGCAAAACCCTGAACGGCTGCTATCTCACACTGTTTGACACTGTTTTTGAATCAAATTAAAATAGTTAATAGCTGCCTGCAGCGGAAAGATTGTAAAAAATGTAAAATCTGTCAATCGTAATTCCTTGAGAGAAATCAGAATGCACTAAAATCAGCAAAGTAAAACAGGTGACTGGAATTCCAACATGTATGTACAAACTAAGCCTGACCCTGTGTAGCTATAGTGATCAGACGTGAACATACTTGTGGAGAGGAATTTGCCTGTGAGCAACTGCTGCAAAAAAAATTGGCAAAAAAACCCCTGACCAGCCGATCTTAAGTAAAAAGAGGTTATAGGATTTTATTGTTGGCACTTCCAGAGAACATTACCTTCTGCGTCCAGCATTTTAGGAATGTCCAGGTGTTTTTCGGCTATGTCAAAAGCCAGGTTCAGGTTCCCCAGAGGATCATCCTAAAAATAGCAAACAAAATTCTACATTGTTACACACATGTGTAAGAATTAAGGAGATAGAGTGAGCAATGTGAGCAGCTTTTAGGAGCCCTACAACTCAACCCTATTCCTGACATTTTGAATTGAAAAAGCTTCCTGGATGGGAAGCAAAACGTCTTCAAACTTGGAAAACGAGTCCAGTGGATTGTTTTTAAATTTCTTTTTTTGGAGCCCTAAAAGCTTTTGATGAGATAACAACTTTGATGCGTTATGCTGTAGAAGAGAGGGATTTAGAAGTTTCTCAAATAGGGCCGCTAAACAATGTTCGGCTGTATTATACAGTTAATAACTAAGCTGGTCCATAACATGAAAGTCTTTGCTGGTAAGTGGGCCAAAGGGGAGAGTGGAGTGGGGTAAAGAGATCATGCCATCATCCTGTTGCTATTGTCACTGTTTTTTTTAAAGGTAACAGATGGTCTGAGGTACATTACATGACAAAGCCAGCTGCTCACCGATTCAAGTGCAAAACGGAAAGACGGCTGGAAGGGAAAGTGGTAGACTGGTGGCATGGAGGGATGGACAGGCAGATGAACAGACAAAAGGATATACCCTGAGCTTCTTGTGTGTGTCAGTGTCTGACCAGGGCTGTATCAGTAAGCTGAATGAAGCTTAATGAACATGTTCCCACAGAGCCAGACTCAACAGCTGCATGGCTCACAAAGTAACTGTCTCCTGGCAGCATGAGCACTACTGACAGGCATAAATGTGACAGAGTACATTTAAACAGCAGAAACTGAACAACCCAATTAAGGGTATTCTCTTTGTCTTTTATAATTACGTAAGATTCGACTAATTATTGTCAAAATGGTTTATTCAGCAAACACGTTCGTGACCTTTTTAAGGACTGGCACAGGGCAAGATTGCATGACGACATGTGCAATACCAAAGGTAAATCTCGGTTTGATCTTTGCAAGCGCCATGGCTCATGTTTCTGGGAATGCTTAGCATTGACTCCATGTCACGACACTGAGCTGAGTGCTGAAAACCGTGTGCCTCTGTTTCCAGAACAAATGAAATTGCCACTCTTGGTTTCTAGCTTTGGGGTTCCCCTGTTTTACATTTGAGGACGCTCTTCGCCTGGGTAAAGTGAATGTTGCTATTTGAAGTTGTGTATGCAGACTTTCCTGAGCATAAGATCCTGTTTGTTTTAGGCACTGGGAAATTTAATCATTGGTGCTTGAACAGCAGTGAATTTGACTTTTTTACTCATAAAAGTTGTTTCACATTTCATATTTTCAAAAATGCGAGAAAAAAAACTTAATGAAATTAAAAGAATAGAAGAGTAATTATGTGCTCCTTTAGAGAATGAGAAGTTACTCTATTTCAGTGAATGTAGCTCCTGATAACCTTTGCATATATATTTATACCCTTTTCACATTACCTCTTCACAGCTACAAATTCAGTGCATTTTATTGGGACTTTAGGTGACAAACCAACGCAAATCTGCATTATTGTTAAAGGAAAAAAAAACTACTTTGTTTTTTTACTAGCTTTGCACATTTAGAGAGGGAAGTTAGCTACATTTTGTCTCTGCTAAATAGTTGAATAATGGATTAGGAGGGTCTGTAAAAATTATTTTCTAGGTCTTGCCACAGAGTCTTGTTTGGATTTAGGTCTAGACATTGATAAGACCCATTTTAACACAAGAATCTGCTTTGATCTAAACTATTTTCACTGTGGCTTTGGCTGTATTTTTAGGGTCATTATCATGTTGAAAGCTTAGCCAATGACTCAGTCTCAACTCTGTTGCTGCCTCTAACAGGTTCCCTTCGGGAATCCCATTTGTCTACCTTTCTATCCACTCAGACAGCCTATCTATCCCTACTAAAGAAAAGCTAAATGCTGTTTATCCACTCTTATTCTCTACAAGACAGCTTCCTTTATAATGCGATGAATTTGCACATACATTGTAGAATCTAATGCTAACTGGATTTTACTTAGTGAAGTCAGGAAAACGAAAGTACATGATACAAGGCCCACTTTTCAATTTTTTTGTAAGAAAATTACAATATAATTCTGCTTCCACCTCGCAGTCATCCACTACTTTGTTTTGCAAATCAACCTATTCTCATTATGAGTTCGCATGAAATCGTACGAAAAGTTATGCACCGTAATTTCGTATGTTTTGGACGTTTTTTTCGTCGTGTGCGCATGTGCATCTTACGCACAATTCAAGAACATAGAATATAAATTACAATTAGCCCTAACCCTGACCCTAACCCTAAGACATAAAACAGCAAGCAACATAGAGACATGAATAAGTGATTATTGCACTGTTTTTCCCAGTTTTACGTCCGTCCGCGGATCTGCTTTTTTTTTCTGTCTGCCAGCGCATGCGCACTGATGTGGTTTTTTGAGAAAAAACGTCCAAAACGTACGAAATAGTGTGCATAACTTTTCGTACGATTTCATACGAACTGATAATGAGAATATTTGTGCAAATAAAACTCTAATGAAATACATTGAAAGTTTTCATTTGAACATTATAGATAGAAAAAGTTGAAGTATGTACGTGCTATGTAGTCCTTTTAACATCAGTCTTAAAGTTGAATACTTCCATCTATTATAACACAAACAAAACTTAGTTCAGTAAAAATACAATCCTCTCCAAAGAGTATACATTAATTCTTCACAGACTTAACGAGACTCTTTCTCGTAAATGTACATCTCTTAGGCTGATAGCCATAAAAGCTCCTAACAAGAAGGCAACAACTGGTCGGGTAAACAGATTTACAGCACGGTTTGACTTCATGCTACTCGGGAAGGAAGGATAATGAGGCCTGAGGTGAGATGAAGGATGAACACGTTCTGTGTGAAGGTGAGGCATCCATTAAACAAGGGTTCATCAAAACTATTAGCCAAACAGCATGCATGATATATTAATTATTTGAATTGTAGTACCTCAAGTTATTATAGGTTGTAGGCTGCTTGTTATTATTTGTAAAACTAAACTTTTAACAGCAAAGTAATAACAGTCCACTAAGCAGGAAGGTGCGTCTCTATGCTCAGGGGCAAAGGGAATGGATTCAAGATATGATACACACCTCAAATCCTGAGCCTCCATCATTGCATTTCTTTTATCAGCTCACACAATGTAAAACAGGTTAATTTAATGGAACTCTGTGTGTTAGTTGGAATTCAGCCAAAACACCCTGACTACAAGGGAAAACACACTGAACCTTGTTGAGCTTAGAGAAGTCGAGGAGATCTGGTCTGTGTCTATGAATCAGGGCGCAGAAAGCCAGGCCATCCTTCCAGCTTCAGAAGCCAACAGGCAGAGAAAACCAACAAGTCAGTTCAGATGTAAGCCTCTAATGATGCAGCAGCTCGGCTTGGCTGCTTTTTATTAATGCTATGCCTTAGTTTTAAAGTTCATTACAAAGTCAATTTCAAAATAAATTTCTAGTGCTCATATTTTATTTAAACTGTTAAACAGATATTTTAATGTATTTAATACATAAGATAAAATAACACTTTAACCAAAACATTAACAAAACTCAGGATTTCAATCTTTAAAACTCACCTGACATGGAAGTTTTGAACATTTACATTCCTGTAGGGGGCAGTCTTTCTCTGACACCACAAGAGCAGGCCTTCCTTTGCAGAGGTTTCTAATGATACAAAATAATTTCAAAATTAAAGAAATTTTTTCATTACTCACATTACAGCTAGATTATTTTTATCAGTATAACAAGGTAAAAGGACCTCTAAACTACAGAGGTGCTGCTATTTTCACTGTTGCTAACATTGCAAAATCACGTCCGAGTAGATAATAGTTCTGAAATTTTAACAGCTCAAATTTAATGTACTTTTTTTTTGGTTTGTTTAAGTTAGGTATATTTGAAGTGTTGTTTTAATGTCTTCTCTAATATGACAAGGCCTGTGCTTCCCAGACTAAAGGCTTCTGATTCGCAAGATAACGTGTCAGAAACCACAATTACAATGGCCTGGCATCCATTAGAGTTGTACATCATTTTCTGATAAGTGTTATTTAATCACCTCTTTGTGTATTTTTTATTTGATCAACACTACCTAAGGACGGTAAGTAAGAAATTAATGAGATAAAAAATTTACCTTTTTTCAAAATAAACAAGGAACACTAAGTTCCCACTATTGATGTTCAAACAAACCAACTTACACTGTAAAAGTATTTAGCCTTTTACACTGTTTTGTGCTTTGGTCAAAACGTAATTTTCATATGATCAAACCCATTCTAATATGGTACCAGGAGAACCTGCTCAAGTACCAAAGATTTTTTTTTCTTTTTTTTTAAATAACAGTATTACTAATATTGTTAATAAAGGAAAATAAATATAAAATAATTATTTATGGAAAAAGAAAATCCTCAAAATGGTCCAGTCTGTCAAAAATACTGAGACAAGATACTGACAAGAAATCTTATTTTCAAATAAATTCTACACTGATAACATGATAATAAACAGTTATTTTCATGTTCTCTCTAGATCTCAGTACTTCTTAGCTGTAAACCAGGGACTGGCTACAATTAAAAAACCTTAGAAGAACATTGTTGAACAAATTCGGTGTCTTTGCATTGACCTTTAAACCTGTCGGATCCGTATGGCCTCAAATGTTAAATTTGCCCTTTTTTGACTGATGATCCTACCTTCCACAGATATGTCCTGAATGGCAAAGCGGAGAATGATGGTCCAGATCATTCCAAGAGTCATCTTTACATTCCCATCCACAATCTCTACAATTGAAAAACGAAACAAATTTCCTTAAATTGAACTTGTTTTCTTACTATTTCAGTTAAAAGTTTTATTGACCACTTAGAGGCAATCCTAGGTTTGGTATATACATTGAGCTTTCAGCTCAACATTTACAAGGAATCAATAAATCTGAAAAAATTTTAAACATGATCCATCATCACACTCACAGCATATAATCAAGACTGAGTCTTTCACACTAGGCACATAATTTCTTCCCATTTAATCACACAGTAGCTCCATATGGTAAACTGCATGCTGTAACCTGCATCACAATGAAGTAAAGCACAGAAATAAGTATGAAGGTACCTTCAGCTCCAATGGAGACCAGTTTAACTCCTTTACTTGTGATGAAGTCCAATGCTTTGTTGACATTAGCAATCTTGTGAAATCGCATTTTCCCTCTATCTGGCTTAGGTAACCTCTCTCCTACGGGCAGAACATGATGAAAGAAAAATACTGGTATCGGAAAATCACACTCTGAGGAAAAGAATCTTTCATGAGGTGCTCAAACCTGAGATGACTTCCAGGAGCAGCATGAGTTTTAATCCATTTCTGAAGTCCTCCTCAATGTTTTCAATTTGGGTCCCAGCCTTCCTCAGATGAGAATTACACCACGCTGTGAAGGTCTAATAAAAAAGGTTGCCCAAGTCAGCTGAAACAAGTCATTTAATACTTAGTCTTTACTTAACACTTACTGCCAGATAAACAATGGAAAATAAGTAAAAGTCTAATTATATTTTTATATTTTAGGCATATTAAACATATGAAGACAATAATCTCCATGTTATCCATCAATGGGACAGCAGCCAATTCAATCTTTCTCTACAATAGACACTCTGCAAAGACTATTGAGAAGACTTGTTATGTATTTAGAGTCTTAAATACTGTAAATCAAGCTAAGACAAGATCATCCTCTTTCTTCTATTTTTATAAAGTCTGTCCATGATCAGGAAGCAGAGTTCTCAGTACTGTATAGATGAAAGCTGGGGAACAGGCCAGAGGGCATTCCAGCTGATACAGGTGTTAAATTTAGACCACCCTGCTGGGACTCGTGATAAGAGACAGAAAAGGGACAAAAAAAAATAAAAATGTCTGTCTCTCTCAACATGTATCACAAATCACACAAGAACAAAATTAATGTTCCCCTTCCATCACCTTTTGTCGTGATTTATTTAGTCCGTTGTTTTTGTTAATACAACAGATAAATGTCACTTGAGATAAAGAGAGTTAAAACAAATGGAGGAAAGATTGAAAAATATTTAACATGATTTCAAGAATGTGCTACAAAACAGAATGAACCAGAAGATGTCTTACAAGAAAGAAAAATATAACATTACAACAGCAAACTTAGATCTACTAAAGTTTAATTTGTGATTTCCTTTTCAAAAACTAGTGGCATAGCCTGCAGTAAAATAAAATAAAAGGTGTTTTATTTATGGCATAGAATTTAATACAAAAATATGACTCTCAAGACAAAAACTTAATTATTTGACCCTAGTCCTGACCTGTGAAAAATTAACTGATCACAATTAAGGCTAGACTTTCAGGCCTGATTACCTGTACAATCAGGAAGTCACCCTAAACATTTTAAAAAGAGACACATTAGAAACTGAGCTAAAGAAATTCAGGAATAGATGTGGGGGGAAAAGTAACTGACATCCATGAGAGGAAAAAGTTTTAAAGCCATTTTTTTATGTTCTGAGAGTCCTCCAAACATGATCAGAACCATTATTTACAACTGTAAGAAAATGAAAGTCTGAAGCCCCTGACCAGAATCAATAGGCCTACCAAATTACTAAAAGAACAAAAAAGCCTTACTCATTATTCATCCAGGAACCCTTTTAAGGCCACACTGCCACAGTTCAGGTCAGTGTACCTGATAATGGGGAAAACAGCATCCATGAGTGAGTCCCAATGTTAAAACCCATTGCAAGACACAAAAGGACAAACTAAATCATAACACCCCTTTGGGTTCCCTAATATTCTGCGGACTGATAGAACAAAAGTAAACTATGGAGTTACAAATAAAGAATAAAAAAAAAAAACGTATTGCTGCAATTTTGACAACTTAAGCGCAGGTACAATGGGTATGCAGAGAGAAACTGATCCAAAGTCAATAAGAACGTCGACCTCTGAATACCTGCTCCAGGTTTTTAAGTATCCAAGTCAAATTCTGGAACTAAAATCTAATTAGGATGCCTTGATATAATGATATGAAGCAGTCCCCTGTATGCTTAAAACCATTTCAAGTTATGTCAAAGACTGATTCCCAGTTATCCCAGTGGATTAATGGTAGCTGTTACTACTGAGTATGGCACATCTTGTTATCTAAAGGGCAGTTATTTTTCACATAGGGTCATTTTTGTTGGGATAAACCTTTTTCTTTTGTTAATATTTATTTTAAACCTAAATTTATTCTCTTTAATCATGCTCTTTTTTGCTTCATATTAAAATAAGTTGCATGAACTGAAAAATTTAAGAGTGACAAAAAAGCAAAAACAGAATAAATCTTTAAGTTATCAAATACTTTTCAAAGCAGTCAATGTCAATTTATGAATAGCATTTAATAGCTTTACATTAGCTGTGACCTGAGGTAACTATGCATCCTTAGTGGCCTTTTCTGTTTGTTATGGCTGTTAAAATCTAAAGATTTGTCTTTGTTTAAAAGAGATATCTTAAAAGGGAGATTTTTTTCCTGACCTCTCAATGGACTATTTCTCTTCAGTTTTGGGATGCCACAGGGCACTATATTGGTTCATATGCCATTTATCTTTTGTTTTACCTTTGCGCGGTATAATTGGGGAAAATATCTTTTTAATTTGCAGCCAATCTGTCAGTTGAGCTCAAATCAACACCTGGGAAAATTAGAACTTTGTGAATTTCCTCAGTTTTTCATATCTTTTTGGTTACTCTGCTGTAAAGAACACAAGCGTATTACTCATCAGCTCTTGTAGAGACGGAGAAAAGTTGAAAGTTATTAGTTATGTGAAGATTTACCCTCCTTTTTAAAGACTTCAAATTCTTCATAATTAAACTCTCTCTTGTGTGAACTATTGTAATGCTCTATATGTTGATCGAGATTAAGAGTCCCCACAGTATTTACTGTAATGTATTTTGGCTGGTATTAATCAAAACAGTTCAAGTCCTGAAGTCTTTGAAGTTCTTATCTGTTTGTGCACTCAGTTCCAAATACGATTTTTTTTTATTAATTTTTGATAATACTGGCCCTGTCATTTTGTCAGTGTGTGTGTTTATGGGACCCCCTGACTGTAAAGATACCTTGAATTGAGCTTGGATCAACCAGCCATCATCTTTGGGATGATCTAAAATCCATGTTAAAAAGTAAAAGTGATCAAGATTATGTTTAGCTGTTCATAAAGCTTAGACAAGAGATTGGTTAAAATGCCCTTTTTTTTTAAATAGGCTGGCCTTTTTTAATTAACTGGCCTGTGATGAAATCAAAGATGACAAGCAGGTCCTATATGAAAACAAAAATACATAAACCTAATCATTTGAAAGCAGCACTCCATATTTACTCTACGTTTACAATCGAATGCATCCCCAATAGATCTCCCATCATTTTCAGCCTATAGAAAAAATAAAAACAGCTTGTGCACTGATATCATGTTTCTAAGTTAAGACAACAAAAGCATGTTAAAGTTAAGGACATATCCAAAATCTATACTGGTTTTGGTTTAAATTACTTGTTCTACTCAGTTCTAACTCTAATTCATGTGCTCTGTTTTAGTTAAAATGCGTCAGAATCAGCAGATTAAGCCTGAAAAGAATTAGAGAGTTTTCTTCTGATTATAGCATTTCTGTTTTTTCAGTCTTTATTAACTTTATGAGAATTAAATTTCTACTTCTATTGTTATATCCCACTTTTGCTTATTCTTTATATTTTGCCTTGCCCAGCTGTTAGGTACCTAGATTATCCTTGTTTTATGGGCTTTACTTTCTATTCATATAGTGTACTGTTATTCTATTTTATTAACCACTCACCTTCCAAACAACTACAAGCCCTAACAAATACTTTACAATTTGATGTGCAGGTGAAGTCAGAGGAATGCATGCAAATCTTGCTGAATGTAATATGATGGGTAGTTCAAGTTTTATCTAGTTCTGTATTTATCAATTTTGCTGAATCTGACTTTATTTTTCTTTTCAGTTTTAGCTTGATTACCAAAAACACTTGAATCCGTCAATAAAAAAAAGCATACTTATTTTTCAGCATTAAATTGGTGTGATTTCAGAGTAGAATTTGTTCCAACAACAAGGTTGTGTTTAATTAAGAGTACTTTAACCTGGGAGCCTGCTCCCAGTAGTACCGTATGCAAGTCCAGCCGGTCCCAAGCTTCAACCTCCTGGTGTGTGGGACATTCTACGGTAGTAGAAAAATAAAATTGCTTGATAGTCCTTCAAACGGAAATCATTCACAGTTCCAGAACACTGCTGCCCACTTCACAAGCCCGATTCATCACCCCCAAAGCACTACCCAGTGACGATTACTGCTAAAAATATCACTGAATTACACCCAATGATTAAATGATGCCTTTGTTGACTGCATGAAAGACAAAAAAAGAGGAAATGTTGCCTTACACATTTTTTGCTGATTGAATTAAATACATAATACACTTTCCCTTCTGAAGCACTGTGATGATAAGAAGGATGCCCAGTGACAGGGGTTAATATATGGAACCTGTAGGGATTCTGTTCAACTCTGGCTCTTTAAATAGATGCAAAACAGAGAAAATGAATAACAAGTACAAACAAAACTGTTACCAGTCAAAAATACATACTAATTGCTTCATGTATTCCTGCAGTTTGACATTCTTTCAGCGAGACACAAGAATAGTTAGTGTTTTCTAGTTATTTCAGCTCTAAGGAGCCTAGAGTAACTCAGCATTATGTTTATTGAGATTTATTGAAAGAAAATAGTTTCATACTAATCTGGCCCTTCTCTGAAAATATAATTACCACATTAACCAAGTAACTGGTTATGTTAGCCTTATGGCCAAAACTTCAAATTCTTGTTGATCAGTATTTTCTGTCACTTTCTGTGTTCACTCTGTCATGAACAACTGTTCTAATTCAGCCATATTAGAACACTGATTCTTGAAACTTTGGCAAAAACATGTCCCACTAAGAATAGTGCTAATTCTGTTGGAAAGAAATAAAATTTTCATGAATAAAAACAATCAAGGTTATAATCAGGGGGTCCTTTGCACAAATGCAAGGTTCTTTTAAAGTTTTTTTATTTTATTGTTAATTTAATGATTATATGCTGGCCCATTGCCTATAAAATCAGTTGTCCTTGGATAGGAGATAATCATTTCAACTTGATTAAAAAAACAAAAAGTAATAATTGAATTGAATAATATCTTTACCAAATGAAAGGGTACATTTTAATATGTATTTAAAACTACAAACAGTGAGTTTTGAACAATAATAACCATTATTTTGTGATTGTTCAAAATGTGTCCCACATATTTGTCACCACCGTCAGATATTTATAAAAAGCAATAAAATCAGGCAACTAAAAGGTCAACTACATGCCTGAGGACCCCATTTTCAAATCTTCAGCTCTACTGGATGCCTTAAGGTCACTCAAGCTCCTGTAGGTTTGCTATTTTCTCTTAAACTTGTTCATATTTTTTGGACACTGCTAATGTCACAACCATAACATGTCAACACCGTCTCTTTTGTATAAAAAATATTAGATTAGATTATGACATAAATGTTTACTTTTTAAGAAGAGGTCTAAAGTAGCTAGCAACAGAGGGGAAACAAGATGGCTAATGTGAACAACTCATGCATATCATGTGAAAGAGTAGGATTTTGTCACCACCATCAGACAGAAAATCTGACGGTGGTGACGCACAGTCTGACGGTGGTGACAAAAAACTACAAATGGTTCTCAATGGAGGCTAGAAAATAATTGTTGATCTGTAATGTTTCATTAACCTCTTTTATATTTTTATTTATGTAATTCCGCCTAGATTTCTTACATATTGTATAACCCTAGGGGATGGGGTGTGCCTTCCCTGTCTCTCAATTCACTATTATGCCATGTTCATTTGGTTTACATCATTTGGGATGTACATAGTGCACCTACTACCTACCTACATAGCACATAGTATACAATATTCCTTGTAAGCTATGGCAGGGCAGCATTTAACCAAATCTAACATTTACTGTAATTCCCCCCAATTTCATAGTCATTACACTCAACTTTGACTTTATGTATTTTAGGAAGTTATGGCTAGGAAGCAGCTATCTGTGAAGGAAAGAAGGAAAAGAAACAGGGAATATCAAAAGAAGTGTGAAGGCCTACTGACAAAAAACCTACATATATTCAAGCAATTACTCAGAAGGTTCAAAATTTCTACCATAATGCAGCACGAATGACAACTGACAAACAGGACACAATCACACGCAAGAAAATAAAGCATCAGAGAATGATTCTGACTGATAATGATATTTCTTAATTGTACCTTATATTCCTTGAAAAATATTTGTCACAGTGCTCATGATTGTTATTTTTTGGACCAAATAGTTAAATAAAGTTAATAAGCAAGAAACCATTGACTTGAATTGTATACAGTTTGGAATTGTATGTTGAAATGAGGCCACTGTCACCACCGTCAGTTCTAAAGTCACCACCGTCAGAGGGCTTTTTATTCGTTTTAAATTAATATGCTTGCAATATGTTTCTTCAGTGCTGTTCTCTCATTAAAGTAATGGTCTCTTTTAATACAAAAATATGTTTGTTAAATAAAAAAACATGACTTTTTCTATTTAGGCTTAAAGTAAACGTTATCTGATGTTAGATATTTTAAAGGACTACACATGATACAGTTAAAAAAAATTAACAAAAATTATTATTCAACATTTAACAGCATAAATGTGTGCTAACAATGCCAGATAAAGATTTAAAAACTCTAAATACTTATTAGACCAAATAAATAAAAAATAATTAGCTTTTTATTGTGTCTGATGGTGTTGACAAAAACAAAGTAATAACTGGAAAAATGCCTATTTTATGAAAGAAATACAAAATGAGGAGGTTGCACCTGTACACTGCTGAACAGCCAAGACCTTGGTCTATAACAATATACCTTCAGATTTTGTAATCCAACTAACTTTTTATTTTCAAAATTAAAACCTGTTTTATCCAAATTCCCAAGAATCAGTGAGAAGTATTTCGGTAGGAACCTCGTGTTTAATGTAGACATCTGCAAATCGATCAGATTTAACTGCAGATTTTGAAAAGTCTGCCTGAGTTTAGGTTAACAAACTGACTGTTGGACATTCTCTCAAGACTTTTTGGATTAGAACAAAAAAAATTTTAAATGTAAGATTTTGTCCAAAAATGCCCACATATTGGAAGTCCAAATGATAACTAGAAGTTATCAAGATGCTTTTCAGCTAGACAGACATTTACGTTCTGGTCAGCTGCCGAAGTCAGGTGAGGTCTTCAGTGCTTTTGTGACCCTAAAGATGATTCATCAATACTCTCTTTGAGTAATTTAGGTATAGCCTGGAAGCCTCCTGGGAAAGCTCACCACCATGCTGTATTTTCTCATTGTTACTAATGTCTCTCTGAGGTTTGTAGGACCTTAAAGGTATAGCGTAGGACTTTCAGTTTTTGAAAAGATCCGCCCTCTCCACTTTAAAAAAAGATGCACATGCACAACCCTGTACCCGCTCCCAAGAGGGAACATCTATTAAAGACGGGTGAGAGCATGCACGAGCCCATTTCTCCTTGTGCACGCTCTGTTTAAAAGTTGCTGTTTGCATTGCTCATACAAGTTTAGTTTCCAAAAGATTTAAAAAATTTTCCACTATGTCAGACTCACCACCAGTAAGTGAAAATGGGAATAAGCACGTAGGACGACCTTATGGAAACATATTCCCAGAATAATTGACAATTAGGAGGACCACTTATTTTGATGATCCACCAGGAAAAGGAACATCCTCCACTATACCTTTTAGCAATAAAAATGTCTTTATAGTCATTTCCAAACGAATTACTTTATTTATTGTTTTTTTTTTTATTTGTGTGCATTTCATGTTTTTAGAAAGGTCCTATGAAAGTTATTTCTTGATTCTGGACATCTGGAGAAAAATAGACATAGATCGGACTAGAGAAATTAAACTGAGCTTTATTAAAAATTGAGTTAGGTATTACTTCTTCATCCACGTTCAATTTCTTTCATTGTTTTAAAGACCTGAGACAGGCTCATTAAAAAAAAAGTAAAACCTGTGCTTCTTTTGCACAGCTCTGTAAAGCCATAGAAGTTTTAATACTGTTATATTGTTTTGAATGCTTTTTGGGACTTTACTCTTGCTTAAAACAAAGAAGTATAAGAAACTTTACGATCAACTTGTATTCCTAAAAATACACATCTTGTCATCATTTCCATGAGGGCCAGAGAGGGGTTATAGAGGGCATAGTGCTGTTGGAGCTGCAGTTTCAAGGCTCAAGCCAACTCTTAAAGCCCTGAAAACCCCCAACTGGCAGTATGGGAGGCCAAAGCTATAACGAGTTGAGCTGCTGCTGGTAAACTCCAATATATATCTGCCTGGTTTCTATAAACAAAAGGATTCCACCACCCAAGGACGCTGGATTAACCCCACTATAATGCCTTTTGGTCCTAGGGTTTAAAATTAGACGCTGCGTCCATTCTGATCCGGAGAGCGTCATCATGTGCTGGGAGCATCTGTTGACAGCTTGCATTCCACACGTATCAGTGGAGAGGCAGGGGCACGGCTATTGTTAGACACTGTGGTACCCGCCGCATCCGTCCGTCAAAGCCGCACAATTTGGTCCCCGTCGATCTGACGTCAACTGCACCGGAAAAGTCTAAGCTGTCCTTCAAAATACAACCAAGACCTATTTTACTCTTGACTCACTCTACATTGATAATATTTAGATATATATATATGAAGATATATAAAATTTTGTGTATAGTGACTTTTATAGTGTTTTTCCCATCTACATACACAATAAATTTGTCAATAATTTGATGAATAATTGCAGGAACCTTCTAACCACTCGTATAAGTGAGATTATATGCATTAACTTTTGGCTCCTCAAACGTTGGGCGCTTCTTATCCCAGAGCACTACTCCTAACATTGATATAATTTTATCACAAATCAGTTACTAGTATTGCGTTCCCATTTTTACCCTAAAGAGCACATTCCACGCTCTTTCTACTTTCAGGACTTCCTCAATATATAGGCTAAGGATGAAAGAATAATAAGATATTTACTAACAACTTCTGTTTAGAGAAAACTCCAAATCAAATTCAAGAGACAATGAAAAGGACAGCAATGAATATGTACTCATGTTCCTTATGTGTTATTGTTACTGGGTGTTTTTTTTTTTTTTTTTAAGTTGAATGAATTTCAGTAACTATAGTTTGCTCTAAAACATTTCTCTCCTCTGTTTTAAACAGGTTGCTCTTGAAGAATAAGACTGCATGTCTCGATGACATTGCCATATATAAATAAAGGTGAATAGGCTGTACTTCAAACTGTCACTGTATCTCATCAAATAAACTGGCTAACTTCCCTGTAGGTCCACTTAAGGGATATTTTCTTTAAGAGCAGTGACTTTGGAGGTTGAGAATGACAAAATTACGTTACATGGAAATAAAAGTGCTGCAGTGTAAATCATGAAATGAGAAAATACAATGTGAAATAATGATATACTGTTTTTGTAATACATGTGTTGAGATATGTATTACAGCCTATATTTTCCACATAATTTGTGTATTTTTCCTGTTGCAAATAATAAAAAGACAAAAGAAGGAAAGCTATGATTATTTTTTAGCAATTTTGACTCTATGGATTTTGCCAGGTGTTTTATTTTGAAGAGGTTGACCAGATGAATCCTTTGCTCTTCAGGTTCTCCATAAGTTCTGCAGCAAACTTTGCTGTTAGATGTTTGATTTTCATTTAAAAATGTAAAATTTGATTTTAAACTTTAACTCTAGGTTAATATGAATAAAAACAAGATTAAAATAGTTTTGCCACTTTTTGTAAATGAGCATAGAATACCTGATTTATTTTCAGTATTAACTAAAAAGACATACTTTCCTCTGCTGTTGCTCCCAGGCAGGGTCAAGCAGCATGTCTCTGTCCCATTCCTCCTCCTGGAGCATATATTCATCCTCGTACCCGTTGTCATAGTGCACCGTTGTCTCTATCTGGGTCATCATCTTGTCCCGGCACTTTGTCTTTTTTTGCAAAGCTGTAACTTTTTTGTTTATCCTTGAATTGACGTTGATTTAAGGTAAATCTGTGGACCGGTATCTCTCTACTAAGAGCTGCTGTTGCCCCTCTCTCTCTGTGCCTTGGCCTTGTCCGTCCAACCTCACAGAAGGCTGGATGAGCAAATGACTCTGAGATTAGTACTGCACCAGGGGCGGTCCTTGCATGAATGGCCCCTTCGGGCGAGCCCCTCCCTCTTAAGGCCCCCACACATGCCTGCATTTTTCTATGACGGAAAATATGTGTCAGATAAAAGTGCAGAGCAGAGATACCCAGAGCTTTGAGAGAATTGTGAAGCAAAGTCCATTTTGTGGAACTGGTCAGTTGTCCTCCCTATATTTTTAGACCATAACACAATACTTTCTGTTTTTAAAATGTGCCAAACTTGGATCTTGGATTGTCATTACATGTAAGCTTTAATCAGTTTCATTTGATCTGTTTTCAGTGTTTGTGTGTTTTAAATGGTATATTTTTGTGATGGTATTCGAAAACAAATTCCAATACAGAAACAATAAAGTGGAGTTTATAATGTCATCCAAAAATAAAAGGGTAAATGTCTCAAATAATGAATTACAACTAAATTATAAAGCTAATTATTCATAAACTATATAAACTAAAATATATTAACCTGAAACTACCTAAATTGTAAATGGCATGTACTTATATAGCGCCTTTATTCAAGTTAGGAGACTTGACCAAAGCGCTTTACACTACATTCATTCACCTATTCAAGCACACACTCACACACTGATGGTGGCAAGCTACATTGTAGCCACAGCTGCCCTGGGGCTCACTGACAGAAGCAGGGCTGCCGTACACTGGCGCCACCAGGCCCTCTGACCACCATCAGTAGACAATGCAGGTGAAGTGTCTTGCCCAAGGACACAACGACACTAAAAGTCAGAGTCGGGGCTTGAACCGTCAACCCTTTGATTTCAGGGCAAACTCCTACATCCAACGCCACTGTCGCCCCACAGTGACAGTGATCTTGGTGTCGCTTACAGTGAGCTGTTTTATATTTAAAGAGCCAAGAGTAGTTTGACTGTTTGATAGAATAGAGGAAATATTTTGATTGATACTACCCAGACAGCATCATCATCGAACCAAAGTTTAATTAACTCTGTCAGTAACAGTTATCAGTGAATTTCCTATGGTTTAATCAACAGTCATTATGTGATGGATATGTTAGCGACGTCTTGACTGAAAATTTACGTTTATTCAGCGATGGTTTCTCAGTGTTGGATGCTGAACCTGTTTTATATTTCTGCCGAATACCGGAGCTCAACGCAGCAAGGCAGCTTACTGTGCTGGACAGGAAGTCCCACACAATCCAGCACTGCACAATATAAAATAATTTTACTATTTTATACTTTGACATTGGTCTGCTCTGGGACCAGGGAAACTAATTTTGTTTCATTTCATGTTAACGTGTTGAAATAACAAATAAAACTCCTTGAAATATGTGGTTGAAATGGCATATCGTTTTCATTTGTATCGGTTTAACTTTTGCCTGTGTTGATATTCTTCACTAAATGGAAAACAGGATAGGGAGGAAAAGACTGAGCCAAACCAAGCTCCTTAAAGGGCCAATGAGCAACAGGAGCAGTGAGGAGAAAGATAGAGGGAGAGCAGGTACTAGAAAAGGAAGATACTGTGCCAGAACTGTATACGCTGTAAAAGCCAGTCCTAATGCATGATGATTGAAGTATTGTGTAAGATTATAGTAGAAATGTGTCCAAACGTTGGCTTGCCTTAACAAGAGTGAACTTATCAGGCTCCATCCTCTACATAATACTGTAATAATAGTAAATGTGAAGCAACTTATTTCAATTATATCGCAATATGATTTGTGACACATTCCAAGCTATTGTAGATAGAATCACCAAAAGAAAGATGACATAAAAATCAAGTTTATAATGTCTGGCAGGGGAGACAGGGGAGGAACAAAGAAATTCTCAGCCTAGCCTTTTCAGAAGTAATCATGATGGATCCTTAAGACTGAAAATGGCCAGATTTAAATGATGGAATTAAAAGCAGAGGGAGCATGTCATCAAACTCACTTTTATCCCTGAACTTTTGTCCTCAGTAGTTTTTTGGGTCTGGCGTAAGGCCCTGGGCTCAGCCAAACCCAACTTAACTCTTAAGATTTTGGAAGGGATGGCAAGGAGGCATTTCACCTTAAAGACTGAATTAATACCAAAGCTAAATTCCTCAATATACCAATATAATTATTTTAAAAACTTGGCAGCAATTATTAGATTAGGGTTATTGTTTTCATACCAAAAGTAGCCAATTTTTAAAAGATATCTTTCTAATTTCCTCTCAGAAACACACTTCTGATTTAAATATAAATCAATTTAAATCCAGGCCTGCCAGAAGTATTTATAATTTCAAGCTATTTGTATGAGTTCCCCATTTCTTATTATTTTTTTGTGTTTTTTCACTTATGGAATAAAAGCTTCCTAAATCTCTGATTGTCTTTTGGTACATGATGTTCCAGCAGGTATGATCAAGTGAAGCACAGAGTCAGATCAACAAAAAACAACAAAAATAGAATAAGGCCTTTAATTTATCACATCTTCTTTAGCTGTTAGCGATCAAAGGTATATAGTTGTATTGTGTTCTAAAGTATAACACAATGCTGTTTAACACAGTATAATGTTCTCACTACAGAGGAGAAGATTCCTGCCCTCTAAATATGCAGGAAAAAATTTACTTGTTTTCACAGCAACTTACAACTGTGCCTTCTGAGCCCAAGGAAAATATTACTAAACTAAATTTGTGCCACATGGTAATTTCATTTTACTCTAACTTTACTTGAACATCATCCCACCCAAACTATGAAACACAATACAGTTATACAATTATTTTTTTTCTGTCAATAAAAGGTCTTTATTATAAAAGAAGACATTTAAAAGTTAACTTGGGACATATAAATAAAACACATCTCTGGAAAAATCCAAATATTTTCACACTTACTACCATTTATCACTGCCAAAAAAAACAAATGTAAAGGGTACCTAAACGCCAACTGAAACTTCCATACACTGAAAATGGAGCCTAATTAGATGGGATCTTATATGACTTTAAAAACAACTTTGGTTTAAAAATGATCCAATTTTTAGAGCGATGTCAGAGTGTAAACATTGGAAGTAAAGTGTAGCAAATCACATGATGTGCAATGGGTGATAAAGTATTGCATAGATTAGCAAGAAATAAAAACCTTGCTCTGAATTCCCCCTTTGATAGCTTTAAAAAAAATGTTGGTTTGTTCATGCACAAAAGGTTTTCAGGTCAAATCTGGTTGAGAAAAAGAAAGATTTCCCATATTCGGTGAGTCTAACGCAGTGTCACAGTCATATCTAGCCGATAAAGCATCAGCTAGTCAATGTGAAACATTGATGACATTTTTTCTCTTATTAAAATGTTAAACTTTTCCAAAAATAACAAACAAAACTCCAAGGGCCAATGTAAGGAAAGCAATTAAACAAATAAAAATGTGGGAAAAAAAACCCTCTGATGTTCACTTTAGAAAAAGGGGAAGCGGATCCCTGCAGTCACAACTGAGGGATAACCTCGCCACAGAGCAGGAGTTCATTCAGAGTGCAAAGGCTGACTCAAGGGAGTGAACAAAGCTCGGGTCTTTCTCAAATACTCTCCGACAATCCCAAGAACAAGTTATCTGTCACAGCGACGCGGATGCTGTCCGGGGGAGCTCGATATTATCAAAACAATCTCTGGGCTCACAGACAGAAAACAGGTGGGGAGAAAAATGGATCACTCAGGAGGGAGGACGGGGGAGGAGGGGGGGGAGCCATTTGGACCCCATGGATCATCTGTGGTGTGCTGCAGTGTTCTCTGATCCTCTGTGGTTAAAAAGAGGACTGGGATAAGGGATTAGATAGGAAAGGTTGTTGTTCTCTCTTTACATCATTCAGTTTCATTCAAGCCGCAGGGTCGCCGCCACTCCTGACCCCGTTCATGGATCCACTTGTTTGATACTAAAAGAAAGAGGAAAAAAAACTTGATCTTAAGAATAATCTAGATCATGTCTTTACACATATAGTGTCTTGAAAACAAATGAATAATCCTTTCACTTTTTACATTTTCTTATGTCCTGCTCACAAATATCTTGTGAGAAGAGGACAAAGCTAACACTGCCAATCCCCCTGAACACATCATCTCCCTTATGAAAAACATGGGAAGGCTTTGCCTTAAACTGGGAGGAGGTTGGACCACAGAGTTAATAGATAAAAGTATAAATATACCAAAAGGTATATATATAGGCATGTTTTCAACGACAGAGTTCAGAGCAATGCACATTTATGCTTAGAATTAGATTTAACGCCCAGCTTTAAATCAAACTAGCAATCAAAGCTTAAAAACTGCTGTTTAGGGAAGCTATCTATCCACCTGAACTGAGCTGAAACTTTTTACAGAAAGCAAGACGTATACCACAAAATGCTTGTATCTGCGCTTTCTGATTCAAATGTTACCATTACTTTATTTATACCTCTCATAAAAACCTCCAAACATAAATGAAAGTTAAATTGAAAGTCTGATACTCAAAAGAGGAACTCACCCCACTTGTTGCCCACTAACACTGGACAGGCTGCATGCCGGGTGCTGTAGTCTCCTTCCCCGCTGGCAAACAGATTGTACCAGAACACAGCCGTACCCTGAAATCAGCGACAGAGGTAAGCAGCAGCTCTCTCTATTAAACTGTTAGCATGCATTAATCTCAAACATTCACTTCCAATTTCTATTTTTTAAAAAAACTGCTATAATTTTTATGTAAATGTATTATTTTAAACTATGCTATCTGAATCAGAAAGATATCTTTTTTTTTACGTCAGTAATATATGGATGCTATGAATCACAAAACCATTTAGTGTATAAAAGATTTAAAAAAATAGATTTTTTTTTTAAAATAAGATCAGATATTTGAATTTTGCATTTGTTCTAATATAATGTAGCAAAATTAATATATTAGTAAATTCTAGGTGTTAGTGCTTGGTTACCTTTTTAGGCCAAACTGCTGCACCTACATCAGGGAATACTGTGGCTCCCCCTGCAGTCACGTCACTCATCTGCAGCAGATAAAGCAAGGAAAAGAAAAGGTATTAACAGGCTTGTTGGGCTAACATCAAACCTTAGTCGCTCTTTACGATCCTAAGCTGCTTCTGAAACACAATAGTCGATGCAATGTTTATTAATTATTTATATTCATAGATTTAAGGTCAGCTCCATTCTATCTTATTCATATACATTATTTATAAGTTACTATACAGTCAATAACAGAGAATGAGTAGCACTACTAATACTGGGGAATACATTTAGCTGTTTTGTTTCTCTCAGCTATTTGCAACAAAAAAGTAGAAATATAATAAAAGCTAAAATGAACTTGCATGGAACCTTATTAATTACAGCATGCATTAAAAACCATTTTTTATTACTGTTTTGCTCATGAGCCTTGGTACATAAAAAAAAAGGAAAAAAGGTTTTATTTAATCAAATTGTTAAAGCTTCAGATTCCACTGGATATATCAACACTAGAAGTGTGCATGTGCAGCAAGAGGAAAGTAACAAAGAAGGGGTAAACACAACAGACACAAATGACTGGTGTCTGGGGGAAAAAAAACAGCAGAAGAGGAAGGAAGATCGTCCCTCTTCTTATTCAATAGTTAGTTTATTTTAGTAAGTGAACCTTTTATGTCTTAAATATATAAATAATATACTGTATTTTTCATATTTATAAAGTGATTTCTTTTCATTAAAAATAGGAAATGATTCCTTAGTGTTGCTTTTTTTTTTTAGCAGACACTTTTCTAAAATTTTTCCATAAAAAAATTATGCAACCATTTCTAGCATTTATTTAATCATATTTAGTTACTTTAACCCAATTGTTTCATGTTGGCAGTGTAGGACATTAAAAATTGTGTTAAAGTAACTAAATATGATTAAGTAAATGCCAAACGTGGTTGCATTATTTTTTCAGTGTACCTGTTTAAGCATGGACATTTTATGTTTATACACAAGTTTTCAGCAGGAAGCATTTAGCAAATTAACGTCATCTCAAAATCAGTTTATTTTTCTAAAACTGTTGTTTACAAACAATTATTTTTACATCATATTCCAACACCTTAGACTGAAAAGAATCATCATAATCATTTTGACACATTAGATGTGAAAAAACCCATCTAAGTAACAATCAAATGCCATTCAAAGCAACCTGTTATTAGCATGTGTTTACTCACATAAAATAGCCAAGTCGCAATACGATTTCCAGTTCCCAGCTCTTTAAAGGCATCTGGTTCATCTTTCTGTAAAAATATCAGACACCACATAGACTGTCATATCATATAAAGTCACAGCTTGACATCAGAAATCAAATTATTAAAAGCTTACCCTTCCAAAGTCAAAGTGAGGTTCATACTGCCCTCCAACACCATAGTTGGCAACCTTCAACATCAAACAAACACATTTTGTTTAAATTCACTCAGTGAGAAGCTTCTGGTGGATATTTATCAGTCTGCTGCGACTAAATGAGATCAAAGTCTCGATGTTGATCTTTAGTTGATATTTATATTTAAATTATTTCTTTAACAGCTTGCTCTCTAGTTTCAGGGGTGTCTTCAGCAGACAGACTGAGGCACACAGGTAGATGTTTTACATGTCTTCCACTAACAGACTACATTCAGTATGTTGCTCTAATCTTCTTCCCAAAGACATCAGAGAGCTCCATTTTTTCCAGAAGTTGACTCCTATTTCAACAGCCACAAGCAGCAGTTCTGTAATCTTGTATGATGTAAAACTCAAATATGTGATTAGGGAGTGAGGTTGTCCAAATTTATATTTTACAAAAGTTGTATTTTTATTTATTTATTTATTTTTACAGAATTTGAACCTTAAAAATATATTTTCTTTATTGTTTATCCTAAGCACAGTAATCATGTTGATATAAAACTTCTAAGTATGTTAGAAAAAAATACAGTTTTTAACAGTGAACGCATTTTTATGTCTTTGTCTAGAATAATTAATTAAAAGTCTACCTGAAGTTCTTCTGCTGTGTCCATTTCCAGACCTGTGATGGCCTCAATCCTCTCATTGATCTTTTCAATCACTGGATCTTCATAACTGGTGAGCCAAGCGCTGCAGTAAAGAAAGGCACAACACAGAGGCTAAGATATTCATTCATTTTTCTTAAAATACCAATCTGTTCACTAGATGGCAGTATATAGCTCTTTGGTGAAGAGAACAAAGCCATGCCATGCTCAGAACATGCTGAAAAGGATTAAGAAAATATATTGTTAATTTTTTTTTTTTTTTTGGAAATCTTTAAAAAATTAAGAAAAAGTGTGAAGAAATTAGAAAACCGGAAAGAGCCCAGTGATCTCCAAAGCAGCTTAGGGTACAGGTTTGTGCACTTTTATAGTCTGATTGAGCAACAAATAGAAAAAAAAAATCTTAGCTTTCACTATTCTAGAAAAATGTGTGCTTTTGTTCCTTTCAGGGTCTAAAATACACTATTTAAATTGTCCTTGTTATGGAAGAAGCAGTAAAAACCCACAATATCCACATCAAACCAGTCATACCACTAAAAACTGTTTCCATTTTAAGGATCATAATAAATTCCAAAACTTTAAAAAGATCTTTTTAGAAATGAAACAGCAAGTTAAAAAAACAGCTCAACTGCCTAAGGGTTTAAATGTATGAACCCTCACTTTGAGGTAGATAGGTAAATATAAGAGGTAACTAGATTTGATATTAATTGTATTTTTATGCAACGCCGAGTTATATTTTCAGGTCAAACATGAGCCAGCAGAGCAAGTATCTTAAAGCCAGTTCAAAGAACTGTTTCTCCAGCTCATCATATACTTATGCTCACTAAATCTAAAACAACATCCTGACTCACACATACAAACTGGGAAAAAAAAACACACCAAAAGGACACCACACCCTAACATCCTTGCACACTGACATTAATGACCAGGAGCAGTAAAACCAGAAAGATGTGGGGGTTTGAGTTAGCGTGCTATTTTTATGATGGTGTTCAGATGGATGCTTTAAAATAGATAACTAGCATTTATGTTTGCAGTTAAATTCTGAGTATTTAATACTACAATTAATGTAATGATATAAAAAAATATAAATCTGCTGCTATTACCGTAATACAATAGGAAAAAGATCTAAATATATGGAATTGCACACAGCAGTCCTTATGGAGATATTCATTCCTGTAGGGAAAATGGCTGAAAGAAAATGAATGAGTTTAATAAAATGTTCTATAGATCATCCAGTAGAAGGAATTAGGGGTTTAATTATCTTGGTTTAAACAAACTGTTTGCATCAATAATAATTAAACCCCATAAATTGTTAGTTTTACATTTAATTTTTTTTTTCTCTGTGCAAGGTCAAACAAAGCCAGGAGGCTGACAGAGATGAAGCTGGATTAAGACCTGTTGACCTGTGACCCCTTACCTCTTGGAGACTCTGTACTGGGCTGTGGTAAGTTTCCCAGTTTGAGGGTCATGCACCGTGGCCCGTCTTAGCTATGGTAGTTTTTAGAAGATACAGGAAATAAGGAGAGAAAAGAATAGGAAGAAAAACAAGAAGAGGACAGACGGAATAGGAGATGGAAAGAGGGAGAGAGAAGATGAGGTCAGTGGTTGGTGGCGTTATTAATAAGAAAAAGCAGAGCGCTGTATGAAGCAATACTGGACCTCTACATGTTTCAGAATATTAGCTTTCGTTATTAATGCATCAGCTGCCTCTGATACACTAAACGGGAGACGAAGAAACTGTTATTATTAACTAGCAGAAAAAAGTCAAAAATGTCCCCCTTCAGCTTGTTGTTACCTTTGTGTAACAGACTCCTGAGCAGCAGATCGTCTCGATAATTTAAAATATGCTACTTTTTTACCCATACCAAAGTAAGTTGTAAAATAATAGAGTTTATACAGCCTAGTATATCTCTATTTCCTTTAATGATAATCTATTGATGAGTCTAATATAACTTTAAACTAGTATCAACACCTCTTGTACTTTCCCACATTAAAAAGAAAAACTTCTAGGTAAATATTTGGAATTTTATGTGATAAACCAACACAAAATAGAGCCTGTGTGTCAGACAAATATGATACGTTGTTTTCCAGCTTTAAAAAAAGGAAAACAATGAAATATGAGTGTAGTATTCAGCCCCCTTTACTCTGAATCCCTAAATAAAATTGTGTAAACATTTTGCAATCTTTTCTCAGGTTGACTTGTATATAATGTCATATAATACAGCTGTTCTGTAAAACACAGCTATAACAAATACTCACAGCTATAAAAAATAGTCATTTTTAGTAAAACTTAAAACAGATATATCATTGCATAAAGCTATAGGTACAAGGCAAACGCATAAAATAGGGTGCTATGGTCAGGTGGGACAAAAATCTTTATATGCAACAAACTAGCACCCGAAATCTGCTTGCATCAGTACTTTGGTGTGAACTCTGCAGTAAATACACAACCAATATAATCAATCAGAGCATTTACATTCTGTTTCTGACTGATGCTGGAACCAATTCTGAGTCTATCTACCAGACCAAACAAACAAGCACAACAACCATATTTAAATAATTCAGATAAGAAAGACTAGATTGTCTTGCTTACTAAATAAATACATGCATTTATACATATCTAAATTTACCATTTATGGCTATGCATGGTACAGAAATTAAATGCACACCTGATGAATAAAAAGAATAAAAAGAAAGCACAAATATAGCTTTTCTGGAGGAAAATGCTGAAAAAAATCTGTTGTTTTATGTCTTTTTTTGATCTGACTGTTAATGAGTAAACTCATAATTCTCTGAGCACATCCGGGCTTCACAGCGGAGCAGAGCATGTAGTTTGAAAATGGAAATGAAACGACTGGAAGAAAAGTACCGAGTTGAGCGGACTGGGGAAGTAACCAGTGTAAATACAGGAAAACACCTTCCATCACAGAAACAAACCATCCCCATAGTGGTGGCAGCATTATACTGTGGGGAAAACCAACTTCAGCACTAACATAAGCTAGCCAGAGTTACTGATATTACAGATCCCTCCTGGAAAACAACATGTCAGAGGCTTTAAAGGAATTAAGACTAGACTTAAAAATGGAGCTAGAGCTGTAATTATATTCTGTACTTTGAGGTTCGGTATATTCATGTGTTAAAATGTTCCAGCCAGATCTAAACTCAATAGAAAATTTATAAATTGAAAGAGTCTCCCTATTCAACTTGAATAAATGTATCCTACTTTACAAATGAAATAAAAAACCTTGTAGATGAGCAGAGCTGGTCGAGTCACGTCCCCAAAAGGCTTTTATTGGTTAAAACTACTAAGAGGCTTGTGTCATTTTTGTTCCAATTTACCATTATTTGCTGGTCTATCACATAGAAACCCAATTTAATACATGGAGAAATTTGGCTTTAAGGAACTAAATATGCCTTATAAATGTTTTCTTAATCTGTATTTCGCTCAGGAGCCTTGAAGCTTTGGAGGGGCAGCAAAGTGGAGTTTTGGACTGACGGGAGTCCAAAGAGGGAACTAGAAGTGTTTTTAAGGGGTGGAGGATAATGCCCTCCAAAATCTCCCCCATAACCTCTATCTTACCTTTTGCTGATCCTGTAAGAAGCTGTTTCCAGTACTCCAGTGACAGGGTTGGAGATGGTTGCCCTGCGCAGCTGTGAAGCCAGGAACATGATTTAACCCCCACACTGAGGCACAGGTGCATGTCTGTGTGATTGTCTAACCCACCAAACCAGCCTCAAGGCTTCCACCTACCACAACTCAACATGTTGAATCACATCCAAGCCACTGCACACAATCCTACTGCTCCTAATTACTTACTCGTGGTTTCGCCAGTTGCTTGATTTTCTCGATTTCTTCATCAGAGATAATGTCAAGGTAACGAACGATGTAGGGGCGGTCCCACTCATCTTGCTGTTTGATAGGTGCCAGCACATACCTGGGGTGGCGGTTGTTGTCATAGTATCGACAAAACAGCCTGCTCTCTCTGCGGGGGGTCTGATGGTGAGATAGCAAAATAAAAAAACTGTGTTGTAGATAGAAGTAGGGTTAACTCAGACATTATAGTCCTCTTTTCTTCCTTACCATCCTAAGCCCCTCCCCTCGACAAAGCATTTCGTACTTCTTCCTCTCTGGGATCAGAGAGAAGGATTTCTTTGAGGACTGTTTCTTTTTTTTGGGTGTCTCCTCTTTTTCTCCCTCCTCTGGTTTCTGGGCCTTTTCCTCTGCCTCTTTTTTCTGCTTCTCCAGCTGATACTCAAAGTACTTCACATTGCCTTTGGCACGCTGATGCTCTGGGTCTGAAAAGGTGGAAAACAAATACTAGTAATGCTGATGATGTCACCATAAGGAGGAAATCAAAGCATTCAATTCTCTGAAATAGTTAAAGGAAGGTTACCGAGTTGAAGCAGCTTCAAGGTGTACTCTAGCGCTCGCTTAATCTCCCCCTGCTGGTAGATGGAGTAACTGAGGTAGTCCAGCACCGTCACCTTGTCTATGGTGGACTCCTCTCCCTCGTCGAGCTGTTTCAGGGCCTGGGCCATCCACAGCTCTGTGTGGTAGTAATCAGCATCTGAGTAGGATATTTTCCCCAGCTCGTAACAGTCCTCCACTGTCATCTGGCTCTTGTGCTTTACTCCTGGTGAGCAGAAAGCAAACAGGAAGGTCAAACATTATTAAAAAGATAAAAATCCATCACACCACAGGTGGCTGCTTTTTACACAAAAGCTTAAAAACATGACAACCAGGAAAAATAGTCATTTTTGTACACTATTTTAAAATGACAATGGCTTTGTTAGGTTTTACCAGGAAGGTTTCCTGTTGAAATGGTGTTGGCATCAAGTTTATAGGTGTCCTGTAACCGAAGCAAAGCTTTAGCAGCCCCAGTTTGGTCCTCCTCAGTGGGAAAGTACTGTCTTTGGATGGTTAGGTTGGAGATAAATCCTGGTAGAAAAGAACATGACAAAAAAAGATAAGGAAACACATTTCCCTGTAAGGATATAAACACAGTTTGAAGAGCAATCAATCTAATGACTTTATATATTTAAAAGGGAAAAATTTTGATGTAAAAAGCAAATAAAATAAAACAACGGATACACACACACAATTAAAACAGTGTTAAACTAGAATCAGCTTTAAAAAGGAGCTTGTTCTAAAAAAAAGTGAATCACAAAACATTGATATTTCCTAGCAGAAATAGATACAGTAATAAAGATATATTTACCATTTCTTAACTTGGAGAAATATAAACTATTATCTGAACTAAAGATGAGTAAAAATCCCTAAGATAAATACTTGTTATGGAAGCATTTGAGTTTATTTAGCTTCTTTATCACCCTTCACATTGTCACACTGAGAAGAAAAACTTAAACCCTCCAAAATCTTGATTGACAAAGTTCAAGTGATTATACAGTTCAAAATGATAATGCTGCTATGACTTTATTACTACTTTAATTGTTGTACTAATAGGTATTATTAGCTATTTGACAGAACTGGTTTAAATTATTTAAGACATCCTCAGTCATCCATACCATCAGTGGTGTCACTAAGTACCAGACTCTCCAGGTCCCCCCACTCTGTGTTCAGCCTCTTCATCAGTTTGAAAGCATTGACAGGGTGGCCTAAAAACCCTTCAGGGTCCTGCGTGGCTGTTGCTGTCAGGGAATCCAACTTGTCCGCCCACCTGTCAGGAAAATGGTTACAAGTGTGTTGATTAGCATTATAATGCAAACATGTTGGCCAAACGTGACTGATACCCAATGATGATTGACTTCAGCACTACAGCTGTAATCTAAAAATGCTCACTTGTGTCTGAACTCTGTAGTACCGGCAATAACATCACAGTGTAACTCATAACAGAGCTAAAAATCCTCAGAATGATATAAATGCTACCCTCTTGGGGTACGTTTTTCTTTTTTTATGATTCACTGGAATCTCCTCATGCGCTAAAAACATATTTTATGTCTGGTATCCTCTTGTCTTTTTTCATACGAAGCCTATGTGTGTTCAATTTAATCTGTTTTTTTTTTTTTTACCAAGAAGTCACTAGACTCCACTAGGTGCAGCCAATGTCTGGATCCCTGCTTTTTGCAAATGACAAGATTCTGCTGACTTCCTCCTGCCAAGACCTACAGCATGCGCATGCAGTGAAGTTGCCCGGGATGAGAATCCACTCCTCCTAGTCAGAGGCCATGGCTCTCAACCAGAAAAAGGTGCCTTGTCCCTTTCAGGTTGGAGGAAAGTTCCTGTTTCAAGTGGAGGAGTTTAAGAATCTTGGGGTCTTGTTCACGAGTGAGGGTAGAAAGGAGTGGGAGACCGATATAAACAGATCTGTGTGGCTGCTGCTATAATGCAGACACTGCTCCAGTCTGTTGAGGTGAATATAGAGCTGGGGGAGAGGCAAAGCTCTCGATTAACCGGTCAGTCTACGTTCCTAGCCTCATCTATGGTCATGAAATCTGGATCATGACCGAAAGAACGAGATCCCCGATACAAGCGGGTGAAATTAGCTCGCTCCTGAGGGTTACAGGGGCCTTAGAGATAGGGTGAGAAAATTGGTTATTCTGGAGAGCCACAGCAATAGAGCCGCTTCTGCTCCACGCCGAGAGGAGTCAGCTGAGGTGGCTCCGACATCTTTTTCATAGACTTCCTCCCCTGCAACCCGGTCCAGATATAGCGGAAGTCGACGTGTGTGAGGAGCCAATGTTTTTTTTAATAACACTGTTTTGACATAAAATGTGACTCATATGAGTATTACAAAAGACACATTTCAGATTAAACTTCAATGTCCAAAGATGGAGTCTTTGTCTCTGCAACTCAAAACATTTATTCCTTTTAATAGTTAAGAATAGTAATTGGAAGCTGACTGTATGATGATGAAAGTGACTGACAAAAAGCTAAGCTATTCTTCATGTGTGCTAGCTTCTTTGCATAGACTTACCGTTTGACCCGCTCCAGTTTGTTTTCCTCTGCTCTGATGTAATCCTTCAGAGATGTGACGAGGTCTTTTTCAGTGTACAGCAGATCTGTCATCTGGCCTGCGGAGTAACAAACCAAACACAGATGCATGAATTGAATAATGCATTAACAATCTAATCATTTTTTATGATTTGCAGGTGTTTGCTGTAGTCAAATGAACAGTCAGAAGGGTTGGTTTTACAATGTGAATATTACCTATGGAGGTGAAGAAATCATTGTGGGCTGAGAGCGACTGCAGGCAGCTCAGAAGCACTAAAAAGCAACATGGAAGCTCCATTCTGAAAGAGATTAAGTGAAATCCTTCTGTAAATTCATTAGAATCAGCTCCAGTTTTTCTCCCATAATGCAATGCGCAACTTTTTTCACTTCCTCAAAACCTAATAATAGAGGGATTATTTATCAGGTTTTAGACTCCTAATGTGCAGAATCAGCATTCTCGTTATAATAAGGCACCAAAAACTGAACTTGTTTCGTTTCAGATTATTATCAAGACTGATTTACTTACAGTTTTTGGCCCAAGTATTCTCTTTCCTTTCCCTCTCCTCTGATAGGTTGCAATAGGAGGGCTGTCTCTTAGGCTGTATAAACAACCTTTCTATGAAGGCTATATCTAATAGATTTTGTAACAGGATCCTATTCCTTAAAAGGCAAACTAACATCTCTTATTCACAGAGGAAAAAACATGAGCCTACTTGCATGGGTACAGATTCATGCATTTGCACCTTTGCATGGTTTTTCAGTATCAGTTGTTTTTGTTATTTCTTCTTTTTGATGTTGATAAAGTTTCACCTATTTATTTCACCTATTTATTTCAACAAGTTGGAATATATATAAAAAAAAAACAAACTGTTTTCTCACCCCTCGTGGGGTGGTATGTGTCATCCTCAAGCTCGGGTCCTCTACCAGAGGCCTGGGAGTTTGAGGGTTCTGCGCAGTATCTTAGCTGTTCCTAGGACTGCGCTCTTCTGGACAGAGACCTCTGATGTTTTACCTGGAATCTGCTGTAGCCACTCTCCCAGTTTGGGGGTCACAGCCCCCAGTGCTCCAATTACCACTGGCACCACTGCTGCTCTAGCTCCTCCTTTAGTCCTTGGTATTTCTCAAGCTTCTCGTGTTCTTTCTTCTTGATGTTGCTGTCGCTTGGGATTGCCACATCTATCACTACTGCCTTCTTCTGCTGTTTGTCGATCAACACGATGTCTGGTTGGTTAGCCATCACCTGTTTGTCAGTCTGGATCTTGAAGTCCCATAGGATCTTAGCTCGGTCATTCTCAACTACCTTAGGAGGTGTCTTCCATTTTGACCTTGGGACTTCCAGCCCATACTCATGGCAGATGTTCCTGTACACTATGACAGCTACCTGGTTGTGGCGTTCCATGTATGCACTTCCTGCCTGCATTTTACACCCTGCTGTTATGTGCTGTATTGTTTCAGAGGCATCTTTGCACAGTCTGCATCGGGGGTCCTGCCTGGTGTGGTAGAACCTGGCCTCTATTGATCTTGTACTGAGTGCCTGTTCTTGTGCTGCCATGATTAGTGCCTCTGTGCTGTCCTTCAGTCCAGCCTTTTCCAGCCACTGGTAGGATTTTTTGATATCAGCCACTTCTTCTATTTGTCTGTGGTATACGCCGTGCAGCGGCTTGTCCCTCCATGATGGTTCTCCTTCCTCTTTCTTGTCCTCACTTTCGGTTTTCTCCTGCCTGAGGTACTCACCAAGCCATTTGTCTTTGGGGGCCATCTTTCTGATGTACTCCTGGATCTTAGTTGTTTCATCCTGGACAGTGGTCTTGACACTCACTAGCCCTCGGCCTCCCTCGCTACGCTTGGTGTACAGTCTCAGAGTGCTGGATTTGGGGTGGAACCCTCCATGCATTGTGAGGAGCTTTCTCGTCTTGATGTCAGTAGCCTCTATCTCCTCCTTTGGCCAGTTTATTATACCAGCGGGGTATCTGATGACTGGTAGGGCATATGTGTTGATGGCTTGGATCTTGTTTTTCCCATTCAGCTGACTTTTCAGGACCTGCCTTACTCTTTGTAGGTATTTAGCTGTGGCAGTCTTTCTTGCCATCTCCTCGTGGTTTCCGTTAGCCTGTGGCACCCCAAGGTATTTGTAGCTGTCCTGAACATCTGTAATGTGGCCTTCTGGTAGTTCAACCCCCTCGGTTCTGATCATCTTCCCTCTCTTTGAGACCATGCGACCGCACTTGTCCGGTCCGAATGACATCCCAATGTCGTTGCTGTGGATCCTGGTAGTGTGGATCAGTGAGTCGATGTCTCGTTCACTCCTGGCATACAGCTTGATGTCATCCATGTAGAGGAGGTGACTGATGATTGTTCCGCTTCGGAATTGGTATCCGTAGCCAGCCTTTGTGATGATCTGGCTGAGGGGGTTCAGGCCTATGCAGAACAGCAGCGGGGATAGTGCATCGCCTTGGTATATGCCGCACTTGATGGTGACTTGTGCTATTGGCTTTGCATTGGCTTCCAGACTTGTTTTCCACAGCTTCATTGAGTTCTTGATGAAGGCTATTAGAGTCCTGATGATCTTGTACATTTCCAGGCATTCCAGTTTTTTTTTTTTGCCTGGAAATATATATATATATATATATATATATATATATATATATATATATATATATATATATATATATATATATATAAATTATATATATATATAAATTTAATGGTCCAATGAAGGTAATTTAAAAAAACAGGACATTTCCTCACTTTCTAAAAAAAACCCGGGACGCCCAGGACCGGACGTGAAATACGAACATGTCCTGGGAAATACGGACGTTTGATATTTCCCAGGACATGTTCGTATTTCACGTCCTTTCATTGTGCTATTCATTCATTACAGGAATTGGTAAACATTTTTAATAAATACATTTTGAATAAAATTATCATTTGTTATTGGAGTTATTGCTGTTGATTTTTACTGAAAAGCATTTTTAATAAATCAACTGTTAATATCATGTTATTGTAGGATTACCTAGGCCTATGCATGGGAACAGAGATCCCCCGCCGCCGCCCCCCCGCTCCAAGGTGTCCTGGTTTTTCAAAATGAAAATATGGTCACCCTATATATATATATATATATATATATATATATATATATATATATATATATATATATATATATATATATATATATATATATATATATATATATATACATACAATGGATATTATACAGATAATATAAAAGAATACAATACACACAATGAAAGAAAAGGAAGAATGTGTGTAAGTAAAAGCCACGGGGAGTTCATCCAGCCACGCAACCATGTCAGAAACAAAAAACTAAGTCTGTGTTTGATGTCAACATGCATGGTTCAGCTCTAATTTTTCAATAAGCCTTAAATCCTGAAAGGCATGTCAGTATTTCTGGGCAGTATGGGGCAGAAAATCAAAGTTACATGAGAATCTTGAAATAAGATCAGTAACTGAGCCCATGGTGGATCAAAATTTAAACCCAACAAACGTCTTTAGATGCTTCAGTCGAGTAAGATGAGTAGAGCAGTCTATTGCCAGAGCAAAGACAAACACACACAATGTACACTTACACTTATGGTCTATTTAAACAAAGTAAATAGGCACATTTTGTGAGGGGAAATGAGCAAATGAGAACTCACAGTGGAGATTTGCATTGGAAATTTGTTTAGAGGCAATGGCTCAAACAACCACTGAGCCAGCTAAGAGATCCCAGAAAAAAATATATGCAAAACTGGTTAAAATGGGAGGATAAATGGTTAAAACAATGGTAGCCAACTCAACAGCCTTACCCACAGGTTAAAAGAAATTCATCCAAAAAAAATATGTTTTTGTGCAGCAGCTCTCCCGAGTGCATCAAACTATCATCAGACTACAGGTTTAGACAAGCTCTGACTTCGCCCTCTGGTTTTTAATGTAGGTCATCAGCATGCTGCCACAACAAGTTCAAATATATTTGAACACCTACCATTCAATCAAAATCAACCTAAACTGACAGTATGCATAACAAATGATCACTGAAAGCTCTTCATCACGAAACACCAGAAAAAAAGCTAAAACATAAAGGAATTTAATTACTGTAATCAATGTAATAACAGGGTAACGACTACAGCCTCCCAGATACTGTGTTGTATAAATCCAAGTGTAACGCCCGGATTAAAACTGCTCATTATACAAGAAAAAACTTTTTACATGTTTTATACCAAACCCAAGAGCCAGCCTCATTGTTGCTCTGCATCAATTGTAACAGCCAAGGCCATTGCCATTTCAACTTTGATAAGCCACAAACCAGGGGGCATCTTTTTTATGCTTTCCAACAGATCCTCCTCTTTTTGCCTGAAAACACAGCCTATTGTGGAAAAACGGCTCCTACGGTGTTTGTTCTTAGCTACAATATCAACATAAAGGATCAATCAATTATTTTTTAATCTCATCAGTAAAAAAGGTTGATCAACAAAAAGCATTTAATAAAACATTTTGCAGACTGAATAAAAAAGCTGCTATTAATTTGGGCATTTGGTTTACAATATTACTTAATGTTCTACAACAAAAGGCCATAATAGGTGTATTTCTATTTTGTGTATTTAACACTACACAAAAAAAGCATACTTTTAAATAGCTAATAATTGATAAGCCTTATCCATTAACCATATTAACACACAATACTAATCTTATTTTTATTTTATTTGTTTTTATACACTTTTGTAAAGCCTCCTGGCACAGAAGCGTCTAACTTAACTTTTAGTGTAAGCATAGCCATGCAATGAAACGCAGAGGAAATGGATAAGACTGCCACGTCTTCGCCCCTCCCCTCCATGGAAACTCATGAGGCTGACATCCCTTAAAGTTAAATTTAAAACTAACCAGATTTAGGGATCCTTCAGCTCCTCTAAACTAGATATGTTCTATTTACGCTCAATCTTTGCTGTAGACATTATTTGCAAGGCAAGATTCATCTCTTGTAGTATTTTCTATTAAATAAAACCCCTTAGAAAAGTGCAGAAGGGTTTTTTTACACTGTATTTATATTTCTATGTGTATTTGAGTATTGTTTTTGTTGCTGTTTTATAAATAGGTGCAACTTTAAAGCAGTTTCATCCTACACTCCTACTTTGCATAGGAATGCCATAACTCCGCCAACAACGTGGGCAGAACCACATTTTTCTTTTGTCTCCTGTTGTTTTTGCATTTTGCTACTTTTTAACCTACGTCATCCTTCCTTCCGGTCACTAATATAAACCCATGATTCTCAGTTCTTACGCTAAACAGCAAAGCCCTTAACAGTTAATTGGGAGGAAAACAATCAGATGAGTATTCAGTCCTGATTTATGTCTCATCTGATCCATGAGGCTGTATTTACCTTTTCCAAAGCATCCTGTGGGAAGCAGAATCCCCGCGTCCTCAGCCGATGTGTCCTCTAATGTAAAAGTCTGACTTCCTCGGTGAAGACTTGAATAAACGGGCAGAGGATCCTCCTCCTCTCCTGTGATGTTTCGGTGAACTGTTGGCTATGCGGAGGTCTGGGCTGGATTTTCTCTGTCTGAATGCTACGTGCAGGCGCACATGCCTTCAGTTTGGTGCGGATCTGAAGGGGGTGCTGTCCTGTAAATCGATGGGGGATTTTTTTTTGTGCGTAGCTACGCAGCAACCGTTTTGTTGAATAGATCCCCCGAAACAAAGTAACGCCACGCTTCTGCCACGTATTAAGACCTTCCCTACAATCAGGGAAATCATGAATGATGACAAAATAAGGATTAGACACCCTTATAACCTAATCAGCAGGACACAATGTGTTTTTGTTGTTGTTTTGTATACAGGCTGTAAGGTTTCAAGTGACTTGAACAAATCCCCCCATATTTCACCTGCAATCTCTGCTTCCCTCATTCATAGCAGGACATTCGTTCCAGTTTCAAAGGGTTTCTGGAATGCTGCTTAGATTCAGCAGGGAGGAGCCAAGAGCAGCTGGACTGTTTACTGCAGTTTCTTAGTGCAGTGTTTTACTTCTTTTAGACTAGAAGAAATGCAGCCTATAAACATTTTGCAGGGGAGGTGTCTAGAGCAAGGTCCTCCCTAAAGAGAATTTTCATGGCTAAGGAAGAGTGGATGTTTGATTTCTTGCCAATGTCTGTTTTCCAGGTTCTCCCTGAGAACTATTTAAATCTGAAAAACTCACATGAAGAGAAAAGACAATTAGGAGGAATTTATTGATACATTTACTTTGTCATTGGCGCTCAGACCTCGGCAGGAAACATAGCGCTGAATTTTGATAGATATGCATGAACAGGGGCTCTGTTTCTCCCCCAGGCCTTAAACTGGTAGTAGAGTGGAGATAGATGAAGTTGGTCAGTCTGTAGACTGCTGATTAGCGAGACGGTATGCTGAGCTTTATGGGGAGATCCAGTGGACTGCGTGAGCTGATACTAGAGCTTCACTCAGGGAACTGGAAGATGGAAGTCCATTTGGATAACAGGTTGAGAGAACCTGTCCATGAAGAGCAAGCATGAAGCGACAGTGGAGAGGAAAAACTCCCCGTTGGGAAGAAACCTCTGGCAGAACCAGGCTCAACATGGGGATCTTCTGCCGGACCGGTTAAGATGAGACAGGGAACGCAGTAAGAGTCCGGGAGGAATGACACTCTGATTAAGCTTTAGCTACAATGGTGGAGGAGGGGCTGGAGGTGGGTTGAAATGGTGTCATCTGAATGAAATCGCACAGCGCATCCGCCGCCTGCGCACAGGAGCAGACAGGTGCGTATCAGAGGCCTTTAAAGATGAACTTTGGATGCCGATTGGCTTTCGTGGAGGTATGGCTCAAAGCTGATTGGCTGTGTCGCAGGTGGATTTAGGAAAGCAATGAGTTTCTTCAGTTGAACTTCCACCTAGGTTCCATTTCTCTTTTGTAAACAGTTGCACTGCAACAAAAGAAAAGGGATTAATAAAGTTTTCTGATTCAGATCCTGATTCAGCTTTTCCGGGTAACTGTTTGCTTTTTTGTTATTTTTTATTTTAAAAAAGCAAGAGGTACTGTTTCTTTCTTTAGGTATTACTTTTAAAGCAAACAGATAAATAAATAAATAAAATTATACAAACTATATAAAAGGCCCTTAAAAGAAACTTTGAAACCATGTTTAGAAGCACATGCTCGTACACTGCAAAAACGATCTAGAAATAATAACAAAATCTTAAATTAAGTGTATTTTCCCTTAAATTCAGTAGATAAATAAGATGATTTTCCAACTGAGTGAGTATATTTATTCTTAAAAATAAGACAATAAGATAGCATGTTTTGTATGCTTTTCAAATAAGACAATGCAATTGTTTTTTCTTATTTTAAATGTACATTTTCTTGTTCCATTTGTAAAGCATCTCACTTACCTCCTCAATTCAAGAAAAAAAAAATCCCTTAATTTAGGAAAAACTGGCTAATTTAGATTTCAATTTTTTGCGGTTTAACTGGAAGAGCTTTGCTTTCTCCACCGGCTACCTAAGTTTTTTTGAAGTTTGTATTTCTTTCTTTTAATTCCAATGTATTTCTAGGTAACTGCCTTTTTAAAGGGCTCTTGTAAAGGTGTTTGCAGGAGCTTTCTATATTTTCTCTCTCATAGCAAAGATTATATATTCATAATTCACAGTTTCCTGCTTTCCCCTAACACCGGAGCTCTCATGGTTACTGAGTCAGCACCCTCCCTATTATGCTCCACATGGAGAAATTACCAAGGTTGTTCAGAGAACCAAAACAGCACTAGATTCATAGGTATCCTCCAATTAACACAAGGCACCACAGTTTGATTAATAATGTACTTATATTACCAAAAAAGTTTTTACTGTCTAAATACAATGATGTGCATGCAACATGTTGATAATCAATTAGTTTTTCTGCATAATTACCATCAAGATCTTACTTGCACAAGATATTCTACTCATTAGACTGACTTGTGAGGGAATTTTTCCCTGGGGCTTGCTGTTGGTTTAGGGACTATCCTGTTTGTTTGGATTGCTTATCCCTTGTTCCACCTATTCTCACACACAACCAGCTCCTTGCCCATTCCAAACCTGTATACCATTGGGAAATAAAATCCTGCATAGTTCAGTAAACTGGTCTTTGTGCATCTGCAGGGGGAAGGAAGTTGGTCATTGGTGGCAAGGTAGTGAGAACGGCAAAGACAACAGGTTATCATACAGGTCTGAAAAGAGGATAAACCAAACACTGCTGAAATGTGGGTGGAGGTAGATACCATTAAAAGTAGAATGCCAAATGTGTCACTTACTAACCTGGTTGAATAAAACAAGTAATAGTAATAATTCGCTTATTTAAAAAAATCAGTAATCTAATAACATTTCACACTTTGGTTACACTGTTATATTGTAGCATGTTGCTATTAGAGTAGAAGGATGGTGTGCCATGAGATAAATACAAACATGGAATGGAATATGAAATATGAATGATGCACAGCACCACAGACTGAAAAAACCCTGTGTTTGCAGACAGTATGTGCAACTGGAGGATCTCTGGGAGCTTAACTCGCCAACTCAAATTAGCTATAACTGATAACAAATCTGTGAATGCTCACATATGAAGGGGCGGGTTAAAGGTAATAGACCAGTCACAATAATGAGCGTAGAAGGAAGAGTACTATTTTTTTCTCCTGTGAGGAACAAAAACGCATCTTAGAGAAATAAGATGCAAAAAGGTGACAAATAGTGTAGCACAGGATTGCTGACTGTGTCAATGTTTAAGGACACAGCAATGTCTCCCAATCACTGTGCTGCATATTAACTGAATCTGATCCCCCAGATGTAGCCCTCACCAAAAGTGAAGAGGACACCGGAGCAGGAAAAAAAAATAAAAAAAATCATTCCATCAGGTTTGTTGGACTTTATTTCAATTCACAACACATGTCATCTCAAGGCACTTTACAGAGACAACTCGACCAGATCATAAATTCCGATTAATTCAAAGGTTTCTATCTAGGAAAACCAGTTGATTGCATCAACTCATTGACTCAAATGCAATCCCTGACACCAAGCATGCTTGCAGCGACAGTGGAGAGGAAAAACTCACGTTTAACAGGAAGAACCCTCCAGCAGAACCAGGCTCTGTGTGAGCAGGCATCTGCTGAGGGCGACTGGGGTTCAAAGAGACAGAAGCAGGGATACAGAAGGGAGCAAAGATACAAAAGGTAACTGTCAACAAGCTCCACAGAGGACCCCATCCAGGAAACACACAACCAGGCAGACGAGCTCCGAACCAGCTCCCAAGTCAGAGAATGTATGGACTTCAATAAAGCTGGAAGCTGATGTCACAATTGCATCATATTACTAGAAGTGGTTTATCTGTGTGAAATCATCCTTATTTTTTTTTTTGTAGGGTTACAGCATTGTTTTATTATTTCCTACCCTCTATTTTTCCATTAATCCCCCATCGAGGCAGTTTCAGTGTAACATCTACCCTTCTCATCATATTCAAACAACAAAAGAATAGAATACTGGCCAAATTGTATATCTAACAGCCTCATTTTCATAATGCGGTGAATATGAAATTTCACAGAAATCCAGGTATTGACTTGCCTGCAATAGCATAGAAATCCCTCTCTTATATGGTGCAAGTGGCCTCGAGAGATACTGAATACCCAAGCTGGGTTTGGTAATATCCCATAGCCATACATAGAGTCTGTGATACAGTGAGGGCCACACTCCTGCAGGTCACACACAGCTCCAGGTTCTGGAGTCCAGAAGCCCATGAAAACCTTTATCACTCATATAAGTATTTGTCACCATGATCCAAAGGATCTTCTCACAATTTCCTCTCTGATCTTTTTATTTTTTAGCTTATATATAATTTATACAAGAAACAAGTGAATGCCAGGGGTGTATAAAGACATTATATAAGAAAAAATTGGTAAAAAGTTGGTTTGTCAAAAAGAAAAAATATATATATTTTTGAAAACTATTTAATTTGTAAAGAACACATTTTGTTTTTAAGTTCAATAGCCTTTCTAACAATGAATCCAGCTTTGTGGTGCTGGAAAGTCAGGATTAAACCTGAAGTTGTCTTGCTAAGTCAGTAATCCTGCTTCATGGTTCAGTTCTCCCTGTGATGTCATGAAGACCCCAACATAGCTCCTCCAGCTTGAAATCATCCTCTTATTCCGCACAGCACAGGGAAGAATTTAGTATAAGTCTCATATTTGCTTGCAAATCCTACAACTTGGGTTCAAAGTCAAAGTCTGTTTCCTGTGTAATCAACAACGAGAGAAGGCAGCCACAGGGACAAGCTGTCTGAAATCTTTTGTGTTAGCAGAGAGCTGGTACAAAGGATCACAGATAAAATACTGACACAGCCTCCAAGCTGCAGATTATCATCATCGTACTCAATCTCATGTTTTATCACCGATCACCAGCAAAACTGTTCTAAAAATGTAAACTGAAAGCCATTATTGCTCTGATGAATGGAGCCAGATGAAGATTCATTTAGTTCTTTTTACAGTCTCTTTTTAAACCATTAAAGTTGTATTTACTGTTGAGTTGGTTTTGCACATTTCATTATAAAAAAAAAAAGATATTTAGCAATTATCTTGATTTTATTTTTTTTAAAACTGCTTTCACTCTTTTCATT